GGGCTAATTGCTTCCCTTTGCTTGTATTCTATTTATTTAATCATTTCTTTTTGTTAAAGGTAATAATTATTACTTTTCTACTTTTTAAAAATATGTATATCCACAGGAACCAGACATTTTTTATGGCAAAGAATATATAAAGAATATCAATATTGAACCGATATTGTACAGTCGGTTTTCTTATTTTCAACCATTTCATTTTGTATGATCTTATTTCAAAAAATTTAAAGTTTTTACTTCAAGCCAAAACGTTAGTAGTTCAATTGACGAATGCAATCTGTGTCGACTCTTTCGACGCTTGAAATTATTATGAAGTCTTATTAATCATGGAAGAGATATACTAGTAATCATCTCTTATAATCAATATCTTTTTTTTTTATGTATTGAGTAAATTTCTTTTTCATTACCTCTTACCTAGTAAAAAATAACACACATTTTAGAGGTAAATAAGTCTACAACCTTATAAGTTATAGACTTATAGCCAAGCTTTCGGGCCCCCTAATAATTTGGATGGAATTCGAAAATAAATCGGGTGATAATGATCTGATTTTTGATTGACAGGAAGTTACGAATCTAGAAATTGCCAGTAAACTGGGCCTTTTACGGTACGTTATTGGGTAATTTGGGCTTTTTCAGGAATGAGTTTCTTGATTCGCTCAGTCCATAAAAACCTCAACACTTGTTAGATTTCTGTTTGAGAAACAAAGAAAAGTGTTTCTTATTTTGTCAACCAAAGAAAATGTTTAAATAAGAAAAAAGAGGAGCCACAAACATAGATATCAGGAAAATAAATAAAGATGCATCTACGGTTCGTAACATCCCATATGTCCGAAAGTGGACCAACGTTAGGTTCGGTTGTTTTCTCTTGTTTATACCATTTGACGTATAGCTCCATATTCCAAATATCCTTTATGTTTACGAATACCCTGTTATATATACAATGTTATATCTCTTCTTTTTACAAGTCGGTACATAAACACAAAACCAAATATAGAGAATCGAATATTTTGCTGTTAATCGTAGAACCGATCGATTATTAGTATTTTCTTAAGAAAATGAAATACTTGCAAACAAGATTTATCATAACACAGATATATATTAGAGAATGTAACCATCTACTTAAATTTGTGAAAATTCACATAATTTCATCTTGAAAATCCATTTCATCAATAAGATGAAGAACCAATGATTTTAGTTCGCAAATATTTTTCTATGATTTTGAATGTGTATATCGATGGAGATCTGTTAGGTACTAAATCAATAAAAACATTATGAAAATTTATGTCAGACCTAAATGATGATGAAATGAGTTTATACACAACCTTATCTATTTTTATTTTTGCTTTTCAGATTTCTATAATTCTTAAAACGAGATTCGGAATAAAATTGTCATCGTGTGTGTATCACTTACCGACATGCCAAGTTCTAAAGGCTTACAACGTAACAAAACTATTTTGTAATTATGTATTGGCTTCTAAGATTTCTTTGGAGTTCATATAGTACCAACGATGTACTTTTGTCACAAACATATTATTGATGTAGAAGTCACCTCATATTCTTAGCTATTAACAAAAACATGCTCAGCGAAATTTGTTTATCAATATTGGACCTGAATTTCCTAGATTTTTATAAAAATAATTACGAATACATATATACAGCTATTAGTCAGAAGTCATGACGGAAGAGAATGAATGCATATGATAAGAGAGAAGTTGCGCCCTGTGGATGCAACAAAGAGATTAGAGAGATGGAGAGTTTGGTAAGTGTTCACGTGGAAATCAAAACAAAAGAGTTAAAGAGAGACGCAGACAAAACACACCACAAAGTAAACACACTCACATTTTTCCATTGTCCAAGTTTGGTCACTCGGCCCCCTTCCATTATTGCTACTATTCCCCTAATTCTCACTCTCCTTTGTCTTTATACACGTGTCACTTCGTTTCCTTTCTTTTCCTTTTTTTTGTTTGTTATTCTCTCAATTGGTAACTACTTTAAAAAATCCTTTTGATAATCGTCTGAAATTTTAATAATTTACAAAATATCGTCATATATGTAAGGGAAAGTTTGAATAATTTACAATATCAATAGTTTTCTTTTTAAAGATATATTTTTGCCTTTTTAGTTATGCTTTGTATTTAATGGTTCTAGATTTTTTTCTTCTTTTGATGATAATACACATCGCTAATTATAAGAAAATCCACTACTATCTTAATTTCTCTTTTTGGATTAGCAATTTTATGAGTGTGATGATTGGTCTTTAATTAATGTTGGACTCACTCTACTATCTTGCTATCCACCTGATCCAAAAATTTATCTTGTGCATCAGTATGAGGATAATGCTTTTCGTAGTTTTATATTCTTACTTCCTTATTTATTTATAAGTATATTAATGGATGCAGCACCATTGAGTATTGGACAAAAATTTATCATCACTAATTATGATTAGTGGGGGAGAATGAAGCCCTGATAAGTGGTTGCCTCCCACGAGACGAGGAGGTCAAAACTCGAGCAGTAATTACTAATTATCTAAGATTAATTAACAATTATTGTTTAAATTTTAGTTAGAAAATAGACGTTTTATTAACACTATAATTAATAATGAAAATTAGCACATCATTTTTGTCATCATTACAAAATTTATATATATAAATGTTGATCTTGGGTGGAAAGCTTTTAAAAGGCGAACAACTTAACCATCAGTATACACTACAATACTATATAGAATTTTTTTTTATCAATTATTTAAACAGTATAAATGCATAAAAACGGATTAAATCCATATTATACTGATGCATTTTTATTAATCTTACTGCTTGATATTTTCAAGTATTACTAGTCGTCGGTTTCAAAAAAATTGATTCTATATACATAATGGATAGATTTGGTTTATTATACATTCATGGATTTTTGATAGACTGTTTGGGGTAAGTAACAAAAAAGAATCTGATTTTGACTGTTGGATATCTTTTGGACCATTATAGAGTAGTATATACGTATAAATCAATATAATCTGACTTTTTCTATAAATTTCGAAAGCTATTTTAGATTTTCTTATGAGATTCTTCAGGTTATTAATAAAAAACTGTAAGAAATAACTGATTTTTCATTCGTTAAGTTCTTCTATTTTTATATACTCCCAATATTATACCAATTATATAAGTATAGTGACGATATTTCTGGGTTAATTTTGTTTTTCCCCCTAATAATGTTCACCTTGGCGTAATGGTTTAACCATCATTTGAAGTTGGGAACATTTTCACTGCCGAACCAGAGTGACCAATTAGTTTTATAATTGTTTAGAAGCTTTATGAGAAACTAAAGTTTAAGCATTAATCTTCAAAACAAGCTCTTCAATCCAGGCCAAAGATATTAAGTATTAACATCTTACATCTCAAGTCTCAACTTCGTTTTTGATGGATTTTGGAGCATTATCAAACAATTATAGTATATAGATATATATAGTAATAAAAATTTAAAATCATATAGGAGTATTATAATTTATAATATGGGTTTGCATTTTGATTTATTTTATGTTTTGTCTAATTTTTATCACCGTCAATGTTTAACTATAATATTTCTGATTTTCCGGTCAGCAGAAAGATAAAAACTTATTGATAGCAAATGAATAATCTTTATATAACAAATGAATATTGGAATTACAGATAGGGAGATGCAGAACTCGTTTATTTGTTTTTCTTTTTGCAGAAATTGTTTGGTGTTAGCTTAGACAAATTTTAAAACATTTAAAACCATTTCAAAACTAAACTCATTTAATTAGAAAATCCAACATAATAATAAAAGAATTATTATTATTTTGTGTCGAAAACAAAAGAATTTTCTTAAGAAAGTAATGTAGAGACTAATTAGTGATTTCTTGCAAGAACGGCGGTTAATAAAACGTTTATGGTAAAAATCGAAAATATTACTAGTTTATAATGACAATATATCTTTAATCTTTAGTTGCCTCTTTTACTTTTGGAAATTTGGTGCAGTTTTCTGTTTTTTGTTTAATTGGCTTTAGTTCTAAAAGTAATTTAATTAGGCAATGAGCCCACTTTAATATCTCTCCTGGTTTATGATTGACTCCACAATTAACTGGAATTAAATAAAATGTGTCACGTCCGTTCCCCGTACGCTTGGTGGACGCCAGTTACTCTTCTCAAATATCGTTTAATAATCCTCTCAATTACGCCAGCCACGGGCTACCGGTTTCTTTCGTTTACTTTCTTTAACCCAACTCCATCCCACTCGCCGCCCGTACCACCGGTTTCACTGGTAGACCCCGTCACACCTCAGAAGCTCGCGTCCATTGAAAAATCCAGTCTCTGATTGTGCTCTTTGCTCAAATGCTTTTGTTCCACGTGTCTCCTCAACAAAGACATCACGGGTAAAACCGTCTACTTTACTCAAGGGTAACTTGGGAAATTTACTGATGAAGGGAAAGCAGAGCGTCTAGAGACATCTGTAACGGGGGATATGTCGAATAGCTGAGTAATCCACATACGTGTTGCCACGTATCGAAATAGGCTTTTAATACGATGTAACTTGGCTCACTAGATTGCTTACTCCTTATTTTAGGAAGTTGCATTAAGTGGGAATTACTGGAGAATTTGACCAGGGACAAAAGCTTAATAGGATACATGCGTGTCCACTTCCGATGTCAGCCAATCATGCTCTGCCAAATCAGCATTTGAAATTGTAAATGACGGTTTTATCCCTAAGTTCTGCAATGTAGTTATGACGTGGAGAGTTCCTATTGGTTGGGTCGATTAAAAATTCGTAATACGGGTAGGGGACGGACGGGTTAATAAAACTTAGAATAAGATCTTATAGCGCTTGTCTTTTTCTTTGTTTATTTAATAATATTTTTTAATAGCTTTCCCCTATTGGATAACGAAATTTTTTTAATAAAATTTCATTAATTGAAAACGAAATGTCGAAAAATGTTTTTCTCAGAAAATAAATATTTTTTTTAATTACTTTTTCTAGTGAGATCTGAGCTTGGGAAATGGAGATGGTAGAAGAACAAGCTCTCGCCATTTCTTCTTCTTCTTCTCTCTAAAAAGACTTCACCGATTCCTTATTTATTCGTTTTCCTCTCCCAGATTTTCTCGGGAAAATATTTATATTTCCTCCTCTTTCTTCTCACTTGTTCCTTAACACTCCTTTTCTAGATCTACTAGATACTGATTTATTAAACCATCGAAAAGTCTCCGGCAAGATGGATTTGTTGGCGTTCTATTATTAAACTTGTATAAATCGAGAAAATAAGGTGAGATTTGTTGATCATCGGAGGTCTCTATCAATTGGATGTGGCCATGGAAGAACCAAAATTTTCGATGATATATTGTTTTGGTTTTCGATCGTCTCAGTTCTTTATTTTGTTTGAGTGGTGTTTCTGTCGGAATATCATGATTCTCCATTTCTAAGTCGCTGTAATCTCTGTTGATATCCAAAAAACAACAACGAGAGATAACATGCAACTAGATCCATTTGTGTTTTCTTATCTATTTGCCTATTTGACTTTGGTTCCCTTAAAAAAAAAACCGATGAAGATTTTGTTTTGGTTTTTATTCCGATCGGATATTTTTCCTTCTTATTAGTTTGGCGCGTGCGTTTTTCTGTTCTATTTTTGGAAGTAGCGTCTTTACAAAATCGTCTTGCTTGATTCTTCTTTGAACTCTGTTTGACTTACTGGTAAAGAAAAACGGTTGATTTTGGCAATCGTTAAGACAAACCCCCTTCTTGTCTGAAAATGACTTCAGCTCAGTTTTGTCTAAATTTTCTGAGTTTGGTTTTACTAAACTGTCCAAGTTTCTGGTAATCAATGGAGAAGGAGTCAGAAAAGATTCTTTGTTAGCTTTCAATAACTCTTATGATTTATTTTTATAAAGGTTTTATTATTATATGAGTGATCTTTTCCTGATTGAAATTGTGATCTTTTTTTTGATGATGATACAGAATCCGATTCCACAGATGGAAGTATGTGCTGTGGATCAGACCGATTAAACAAGATCGTGTCATCAACATCTTCGTGGCCAGCTTCTTTCGAAGATACCAATCTTTTAACCAACACAGACATGAATCACTTGAGAGTCGAAACAGAGGATACCTTCGCGAGCTTGCTTGAGCTTGCAGCAAACAACGATGTGGAAGGTGTAAGGCTGTCCATTGAGAGAGACCCTTCTTGCGTAGACGAAGCTGGTCTCTGGTACGGTCGTCAAAAAGGGTCAAAAGCTATGGTCAACGATCAGAGGACTCCATTGATGGTTGCTGCGACTTACGGAAGCATCGACGTGATCAAGCTTATTGTCTCTCTAACCGACGCTAACGTGAACCGGGCCTGCGGGAACGATCTGACCACCGCGCTACACTGCGCTGCCTCTGGAGGAGCTGTGAATGCTATCCAAGTGGTTAAGCTGCTACTCGCAGCTGGAGCTGACCTAAACCTGTTGGATGCTGAAGGTCAACGAGCTGGAGATGTTATCGTTGTTCCTCCTAAGCTTGAAGGTGTGAAGCTGATGCTTCAGGAGCTTCTTTCCGCTGATGGATCATCAACTGCAGAACGGAACTTGCGGGTTGTGACGAATCTTCCTAATAGAAACAGCACTTCTCCGTCTCATTCTCCTACCGGAGAGAACGGTGAGTATCCGCTTGGTTCGCCGCTTGGTTCTCCGTTTAAGCTGAAATCGACTGAGTTCAAGAAAGAGTATCCTGTTGATCCGTCTTTACCGGATATCAAGAACAGTATCTACGCGACTGATGAGTTCAGAATGTATTCCTTCAAGGTTCGTCCTTGTTCACGTGCCTACTCTCATGATTGGACAGAGTGTCCTTTTGTTCACCCTGGTGAGAACGCGAGGAGAAGAGACCCGAGGAAGTTCCACTACAGTTGTGTTCCATGCCCTGATTTTAGGAAAGGTGCTTGTAGACGAGGAGATATGTGCGAGTACGCGCACGGTGTGTTCGAATGCTGGCTTCATCCAGCTCAGTATCGGACACGTCTCTGCAAAGATGGAACAGGTTGTGCTCGACGTGTTTGTTTCTTTGCGCACACACCTGAGGAGCTTCGACCTTTGTACGCATCTACCGGTTCAGCTGTTCCTTCGCCTCGTTCAAATGCTGATTATGCAGCGGCTTTGAGTCTTCTTCCTGGTTCTCCATCAGCTGTCTCTGTTATGTCTCCTCTCTCACCATCTGCAGCGGCGAACGGGATGTCTCACTCGAACATGGCTTGGCCGCAACCGAATGTCCCGGCTTTGCACTTACCAGGAAGCAATCTACAGTCAAGCAGGCTAAGATCTTCTCTCAATGCAAGAGACATCCCGCAAGACGAGTTTAGTATGTTAGCGGATTACGAGCAGCAGCAACTTCTCAACGAGTTTTCCAATTCGTTGAGCCGTTCTGGTCGGATGAAATCGATGCCTCCTTCGAATCTTGAAGATCTTTTCTCAGCGGAAGGTTCTTCGTCTCCTCGGTTTACTGATTCCGCTTTAGCTTCTGCGGTTTTCTCGCCTACGCACAAATCCGCTGTCTTCAACCAGTTTCAGCAACAGCAACAGCAGCAACAGCAACAGCAGAGCATGTTGTCTCCAATCAACACGAGTTTCTCTTCACCAAAGAGCGTCGATCACTCATTGTTTTCTGGAGGAGGAAGAATGTCTCCTCGGAATGTGGTTGAGCCAATATCACCTATGAGTTCTCGGGTTTCCATGTTGGCTCAGTGCGTGAAGCAGCAGCAACAGCAACAACAGCAGCAGCAGCAACAACAACAACATCAGTTCCGTAGCCTTAGCTCAAGGGAGCTTAGAACAAACTCGAGCCCAATTGTTGGTTCACCGGTTAACAACAACTCGTGGTCATCAAAATGGGGATCTTCAAATGGTAAACCGGATTGGGGAATGAGCTCAGAGGCACTTGGTAAGTTGAGATCTTCATCATCATTCGATGGCGATGAGCCTGATGTTTCGTGGGTTCAGTCATTGGTGAAGGAGTCTCCAACCGAAGCCAAAGAGAAAGTAGCAGCGTCTTCTTCTTCTTCCTCTGGGGAAAACGTGAAGCAGCCAACAGCGGTTGAAGCGGTAATGGATCATTCTGGTCTAGAAGCTTGGATTGAGCAAATGCAGCTCGATCAGCTTGTAGCTCAGCAGAATTGAGAGACCGAACCAAAGAAGCACGTTTTATGGTCTGGTCTCTCTCTCTTTGGTAGATATAAAAACCTCTTTTTTACAGGTGGTGCTGGTGGTAGAAGGGTAACAAGATTAACAAAGAAGGAAGAGAAAGAAGTTTTCTTTGTTTTTGGTCAATTAATTTTCACATAAAAACAGAACGGTTTTTTTTTTTTTTTTCGGTTTAGAGAAGAAGAGAAGGGAACAAAAACAAGAAAAAGGTCTTATGGGAAGAAGGGAGAAGAAAAAAATCCTTCTGGGTTTTTACTTTCTCTCATTTTCATATATTTTTTTAGGATTTCTTTCTCCCATTATCATAATTATTATTGTTATTATTATTTTTTATATTATTGTTATGGCGATTTGTTATCGTTTCTTATGATAATTAAATTCTATAATCTTTAATCTTTTGGTTTATTATCAATTTTCCTTTTTTAACAAAATAATTATTATGTTTTTAAGGGAAGAAACAAGAGGAAGCAAATTCTTGTGAGACATGCATCTATTTATTATTAAATGACTCGATAACTAAGTTATTCACTCGAGTGTTAGTGCAATAAATAAATATAATTTTGTTGGGTAGAGTTGAGTGGGGGCAAATCCATAAAGTGTTTATTTTGGATTTCTTAGTGATGTGGATGTGGTTATATGGGGCAGGTGAAAGTGATATATATCTTTAAGTGTAATATAAACAAAATTCTTTAGTTTCATTTCATCTGTCAATCTTGATAAACTGATCAACCACATTTTTTTTAAATGCTTTGGAATATGCAAAATTAGCTTTGTGTAGAGGTGGTGGCCTGGTGGGTTGATTTAATATCCAGTTATTCTCCTTATTCTTATTAATAGTTTACATTATCTAAATCTGATAAATTTAAATCTCTTTCTTTCCTTGGTGCCACCAATTTCATTCCTCGAGCTCACGTGACTGTTTTCTTTGGACTCTTTCTTGTCATTATCTTTGATCAGAAAAAAGAAGAAAACCAAGATTAGCGCGAACATGTTTATTCGTCTTACATCTTTTGTGTTATAATGCAATATGATGTTTAAGTTGTTCTTTTTACTGGTAATACTTTTTCTTATAAATTTAATTTAAGAGACCAAATAGACTTGGGGAAAAAAAAAGTTGATCGTCACCTTTCACTGATCAACTTTCGGTGCATATGTTTGTTCCTACGTGATTTTCTTTATCACCTTTTATATTTCTATTAATAATATTTAATTTACCAAAAGCTTTGTGGTGATGTGATCAAACACAAAGCATAAGAGTTATGCGGAGTATCTTATTCAAGATAACACCAAACCTTCTGAGAATATATTATACCCACGAATATTTATTTTCTTATGTTTTCAAGAATTTATTCATCAATTTATTCCTTTTTTCTTAAGAAATAAATTTTGTTTTTAAAACTTAAAAGAAAAGAAAAAGCTGATTTGGACTCAGCTTTAATCAAAACCAAACAACAAAGAAAAAGAAGCATAAACAGAAAAAGTAGGGTGAAGAAAAAGCATCGCAGAAGCTAATTCATTCTTTCGCAGAAGCTAATTATTCTCTTTGTACTTTCTCTCTCTTTATTATTTCTCAAAAGTCTTCCATTTGATCACTTTGTTGTCATTCATCAACTAATTTAATACCAAAATCTCTACCAGCAAAATCTACTTTACCAAAAAAATAAGTTTTTTAGTCCTGGTATTTTTAGGTTCAGGACGAACTAATTCTAATTAACATAAATAAAAATGTAATTCACCATCTCTAAAGTCTAAACACATTGCCAAACTCGAGTCTATGGACCGAATTAAAATAAAAATCTCTAACCAATAACACGTTACACAAACTATGTCTGTTTAGTGGGCTACAGGGCTTTCAAGCTCTTTAAAGGATCCATAGATGATATAAAACGTAATGAAGGCATTGCACCTCATAAGATCCATAAAATCCACTTCAACATTCAAATCAATTTGATGTTTTTAGAGTATCGTTTTGGTTTATAGTCCAGAATCCTCATTTGAATACAACTTGCATTCGAAGTAGTCATTTCTAATTGGAGATGCGTATTTTGAAGGAAGAGTTTCATGAAGACCACATTTGAATAAACTTAGTGAGTATTTCTTTGGCATGTTGACTGTTGGATAATGCTCCTTTCCTATTTTTCTGCTTTCACTAAAGATGCTATTGTGTTAACTAGAGAGGAGGTCATGTGTCGCAAATAGATAACTATCATCAATTTATCGGTAATCTCGATTGACTATTTAAGAACAATGATTTTCAGACAAAGAACAATCTTGAGTGATAACAACTAAATAGAGTTACAAAATTACAAATACACATTTGACCCGCTAAAAATATGGATGGAACGCTTACATTACTCAAAGCCACACAATTGAATAGAATTTCAACGGTGTTTTTCCTTAACTTTATTTATTGATGTACTTTCTAAATATTTGGTTAGAAATCGATTTTCGAAAATAAACAATTCTAAAAATAACTTAACTACCTCCCGTATAAATCCCCCATAAACACCATCTAATTCTCTTCAGACCTGCAAGAAACCAAAAAAAAAAGGAAACAAAACTACAAAAAAAAAAAAAGAAAAAGAAAAACCTTTCAGGTCTCAACAAAAAAAAGGAGATGAAGAAGATTGCCTGTGGAGTTCTTTTCGCTGCTGCTTCCATGACCGCCGTCATGGCTGCAGATGTCGGAGCTCCGGCACCGGGACCCGCCGCAAGCGGAGCCTCCGTAGCCGCACCGGCTCTTGGTTCATTGGTTGGGGCTTCCCTTGTGTCTCTCTTCGCCTACTACTTGAACTAATTAAGCTTTATACTAACCAAAAAAAAATTGATGTCTCTATCAATTTCTACTTTGTCTGATTTTGTATGCGTTGTTTAGAGAGGCAAAGTGAATAAGACGGAAGAGGATATATTTTTGATTATGGTCAGACAAACTTTATGTAATGCTGATAAATAAACAAAAAAATTAATGTGTTCTTCTATTTTCTGTTGTCTTTTGATGTTGTATTTCCCTTAATATTTACTACCATGATTTTTTTTTATCGGTTATACGCCATTTTAGGAGACGACAAAAAAACGCCATTTTTAGGCATTAATTCATTTCTTCTAACATTGATTTTTTAATTTAACAAAAAATAATTTTAAATTGATTATGGCTAGATTTACTGAATTCAACATATAAAGCAACTAGTGCAGATTATCTAGTTTGGAGATGAAATTATATGCATAAGAAATATTTCAATTACATTTATTCAATATATTCATCTACCTGTTGGTGTACCCATGACATCTGTGTTCCATTGACTTAATCTGAGAGTCTGGTTAAGGCGTCTTCAATCTCTTAATTTGGCCAATCCCATCACTTTAGTACCATCGTGTGCGTGCCCACAGAAGATAGATTCTCCGGGAAGCTTCGTTCTCTGGAAGTATACGGATGGACTTATTGTTTTTTAGGTAAACATGTTACGACTTATGGACTTCATTACTCGTTTACCTAAAAAACAAGGGAGATCGCAAACGCTTTAGCTTACCTTCACACGGCGTTTTCAAGAACTCTAATCCACAAAGATATACAACCTTGCCAGATTTTCTTGAATGAGAATGGAACAGCAAAGTTGGGTGAGTTTTGCAACTGTGTTTTCATTCCGCAAGGTGAAACATTCGTTAAAGATGATGTAGTGGAAGGGACATATGGGTATCTTGATCCTAACTATGTGTCAAAGGGTTTGGTCACTGAGAAGACTGATGTTTACAGCTTTGGTGCGCTTATGTTTCTTCTTTTAACTGGAAAAATACCGCAACCATTTGTTTGGACAGGCCAAGATTATTTGGTGGAAGATCCAGAACGTTTGTCTAAATTAGTCAATGATGGGAAATTTGATAAGGTTGTAGATAAATACATGTTGGTTGTTCATGAAGGTAGAGACATAGAGCAAGAGCGATTGCAAGTCAAAGCATTTCTTGAGCTCTCTTTGAGATGCATCGGTCGTCATGGGGATGTTCCAAAGATGATTGAAGTGGCTAAAGAACTTAAAAGGATTGAGCGGTCGAGAAATGTATCCTGTGGCTCCTATATTTAGCCAAAGAAACAGTTTTAACATTTACTTATTAATCTCTGCATCATTCAGTGAATATATTTTGTACAAAGATTTGTATCATATATGACGTTTTATCAACTATAAAGAAATTTTTTTTTGGCGTGCAAAAATGTATAAATCCTAAAGTTTGTCTGTGTTCAACTTCAAGATTATCTCTAGTACTCTTTAGGTCTTGGTTAAGCTCTCTAAAAGACAATGATCCTAATTGATTTTTTTTTTTCTCTTGATTTATCATAGCTTAGGCCTTGCATTTTCTCTACTCTTCGTTGCACTTCGTATAGTTAACTTCGAATCCTAAATTTTCGCTTAAAGAGTAGACGTTACAAGAAGTTAGCTTCCCCTGTTTTTTACATTCCTCCATCATCACTTGTGTAGCGTGAGGATCGTAAGCGAATCGGAAATCAACTAGAAAATAACCGTCAAGAATTCTGATTGTTAACAGACTACACTTCACATAAGCTCTATCAAACTCTTTAGTCTTCTTCTTTGTTGGATTACCGAAAAGTTCCTATCTTTGTACATAATTCCAAATCAAGATAAATTAGCTTTCCAAGCTACACTATGTTATATTGGGATATCAACAACGAACATATGGCAAAGCGTAAGTGAACCTCGGCAATACTCATGTGCGTTTTTTATGCTCTGTTTTTCAGGCTTTGATCAAATTTTCCAAACTCAAATTCATACTGTGTTTGAATACATGCAAATATATTCTTTTGTTGATTTAATAAATATTATTAGTGAAAAATGATCAGGATTTGTGATCTTTCATTTTCTTATATTACTAATCTATTCTCATCTAAACAAAAAGGAAAATTTGGTAGAGCCATTAACCAAATTACTTAGTTATGTCACTTTCAGTTGAATTACAGTTTGCTGTATCTTGCACCAATTTTAAAGGGTCTGATAAGTAAAATTCAGTTTTGCATTCAATTCATATTCTGACCCATGTTTTGCTGTATTGAAAATTATAAGTTTTCATAATTCAAGATATACTAGTGAAAAATCTAAGATTTCATTGCTTCAAACTGTAATTTATAAATAAAAACACTGGATCTACTTATTTCAATAGAGTTGCAAATATTGTAAAATAAGCTAATCTATAGAAAATATCTTTCAATCTAAACATTCTGTTTTACTTTGTAAAATACATTTTCGAAGACATAATTACATTAGAAGCAAATTTTAATCTGCGGTAAAATTGTAGTTACATTCGTTAAAGAGTGAATTGTTGACTGTGTAAATATTACATCGAAATAATCTTTGGATTAGAACACCTTCAACGGGGTATCACTTAGGTATCACAAGTGGGACCTCCTTTTTTTTGGGTTTAAAAATTTAAAAATAAATCCAATTCTGATAATATCGTATGACTGCACTCATTTTATTGAACCCGTATCACCGAGTATCATCGGACAGGTGGCGAAATATTATTGGGTTATGTGGGAAGAGAAAATTTTTATCGGGCATTTCTTCCCTTCGAAAAATATCGCGACCAAAATTCATTCTCTCCATCTCTTTGTCCCGATAATCTCCTAGAGGAAATCGCCGACACCGACACCAGTGAGTTTTTCTTCTTCTCTTAGGATCGATGTGCTCATTAGAAAGGAAATGTATGTGTAAAACTGAGTTTTTGGTTTCTTCTTTTCTTTAATCGCTCTAATTAGCCTTTTATGGGTACTGAGAAATTAGATTGATCTGAATCTTTTCCTTTTTTTTCTCTTATGAGTATTGAGAAATTGGATTTGGTGTTGTAGATGAGCAGCTAGGTTTCTTCTGTCGGCATCACTTTTTATTCGATTGACTCAAAAGCATATGGCTGCTTCAGTCTCAAGATGAATTTTTCGCAGTTTTGGATCATTGGCAGCTTTTGGACGCAGCGGTTCACCGAGTACTGTCTCAGTTTCCAGTGTTAAGTAAAAGTGCAAATTCTGTTTCCTTTGATCTCTCATTGCTTCTCTGTCTCATTCGAACAGATTTGTCTGCGAATGTATCTGGAAATGGTTTATGCTCTCTTCCTAATGATCTGAAGGTTGGTGTTTACATCACTTGCATTGAACTGGGTTATATTTGCTACTTCACTGGTCATCTTTCTTAGTATTTCATTGTCTGGAGAGGTTGATTTCATTTTTGTTGTCAATGCAATATGGAATGGGTTTACTTTCCAAGCGAAATCTCTGTTTCGGAGCAAGTATTGGTGTTAGAAAAATGTGATAACTCTGTTTTTAGGAGGACTAATTTATCTTTAGGCCTTGCGTAGTTTATTAATATGAAAGGTTCACACAGATATGATTACCATTTACCATTGTTCTGCTCGTGTTAGGCTCTGTATGTTCCTACTTCTTGTGATTGAGCTTGAGACCTGATCAAATCTCTGAACAGTGGTGTCTTCCTTATTGCTGGTCTCGTTTTATAATTCTGGACAAGTTTTCACTGGTTGGTATTGATACTTCCGCAGGACAATATCAAGACTTGGTCATTCCGGTGACAATTTTTCAGAACGAAGACAAGAGTTTCATGGTTTTAGTAGGTGATGTCTTTGATGTTCCAACTGGTGTTAGAAAAATTGATAGAAACACTCTTTATGGATTAAATGTGCCTTTAAATGTTTGGTTGAAGAAGAGGCAAAGGACAAGACAGCAAGGTAAATGTGTATGCTTGAAGACTTTGATCAATCATTGATTTATCTCTGATGAATCCAATGGTTCTCTTGTTGCAGTGCCTCAGCGAACGAGCTCACGCTGGACGAAAATCAAAACATACGAACTGTAAGAACCATCACATTTTGAATTGTTAAGATAAATGAGAGGTTGAATTTCTTATGTGTTTGATGATTCAGGAATTGGAGATCACTGCTGCTTCTGAAAAGTTAGCTGAGTGTCAAGAGACGATTCTAAACCTGGGAAAAACTTATCTTTGATTCCTTGATTTTATTCAATTCTCTCAGTATCCTTCTTCTACGTGATAAGTACTTCGCTACCTCTGTTCTCGATATTATTAGCTTCCAAGTGAGGATATTTGGAAAAATATTTATTAAATACAGCTGATCATGAAAATTCAAGTTCAAAATCAATACGAAAAATTTGGAACTAAAAACATATTCTGATAATCCCATAGGTTTATGGTTGGAGCTAAAAATTTGGTTGGGGTTCATCAGGATTAAAAAAAATAAAAAAATTAATTAAAAAATCCTATGAACCCTTCATTGAGTATCATGGTTGGAGATGCTTTTAGTATTAAATTTTCTTATCCAACTAAAACCGTCTTGTTTAAATAAGCCCAAAACAAGTGAAAAGTTTTCTTCACCTAGGCATTAAACATTTACTGTGGGCTGCAAAATAAATAAAAAAAAACAGAAAAATGCTTCATCTAACGGTTAGGATCCACTGGATGGTGGGAGAAAGAAACGGCGGATTTAGCTATTTTCCTTTTTTGTTTTAATGGCTTTACAATAGTTTCCATTTTTTTCTCCTCAACAAATTAATGCGACATTTAGTTAATTAATCCCCAATTTTCCTCAATAGATCACACTAATCCTGATCAAATTAGGGTTTTCCATTTTTTGTTCTTATCAATCTCTCGACTCCCGAGTAATTCCACTTCTCTAGGGCTTATAAACACTGCACCTTAAAGAAGAAGTTACACTCGCTCTCAAGACACCGGAGATTTGATCGCATCAAATAACAATATGGCGAGAAAATTGCGGCGTTGCAGAAAGAAACAAGAGATTATTGGCCAGAACAAACAACCAGAGATGAGATTCGTCAAGTCTTTAGGAAAAGGTACTTACGGCTCCGTCGATCTCTTCAGTTACACAAACCACGACGGTTCGACCCTCTACAACGCCGTGAAGATCTCCGATCACCAGAGTTACGACTCTATCGACAGAGAGTTTCGAATCTTGTCGGAACTCAGAGGATGTTCTGGAATCGTGCAATCTTTTGGTGACTCTCTTCTTGAAGAAACCGATTCTGATGGAAACAGAGTCTACAAGATGTCAATGGAGTACGCAGCTTCTGGTACTCTTACCAGTTTCATCCAAAGAAACAAGAAATTGTCTGATTCGATTATCAAAGACTTCACTCGGATGATTCTCCGAGGATTGGTCTCTGTTCATAGTCACGGTTATGTCCATTGCGATCTTAAACCGGATAATATCCTTCTCTTCCCGCGTTACGAGGAAGAAACGTGGTATTGTTCTTACGAGCTCAAGATTTCGGATTTTGGATTGTCGATAAAGGCCGGAGAAAAATCTCATTGCTGGACTAAAGATTCACCCTTTGTGGGAACCCCTCTTTACATGTCGGCGGAATCTGTACACGACGGAACCACCGTGGAGAAAACCCTAGATTTGTGGTCGCTAGGTTGCATAGTGTTGGAGATGTATACCGGTAAGAATCAATGGTCGGGGTTTAGTGTTGATGATATGATCAAGCCTCTTCTTTTGGATGGAAAAGCGCCTGAGATTCCAGAGACTGTACCTTGTGTTGCAAGGCAATTTATGGAGAAGTGCTTCGCAAGGCAGCCTGAGGAGAGAGGAAGTGCTTCTGAGTTGTTGTTGCATCCGTTTTTGATCGGCGATCAGAAGATGGCTGGTGGCTCCGGCGGCGGAGAGAGGAGGCGGGTAGGGTTGAGGATCAGAAAACCTCCGTCGAGATTGGAAGATGTTACAAAGACGGCGTTGAAATTGAAGATTGTTTCATCAAAACCCTCACAGTTTAAGAAAATATCGAATAAACCCCTCAAGGTGAAGTTTCTTCCTCCGAGACCCCCAAGATCCAATTTTGTTCCTGTTCAGTAATTTGCTGAAATTTACCGCTGTTGCTTACTCTGTCAAAAATGTAGTTTACGTGCAATTTTTCAAACAGTATGGTATATGAAATTAATTGTTACCCGAAAGCTATTTTCGATTACCTAAACTGATTGTATACACTTTTAGGAGATTAATAGCTTTTCGAATCGGAAATTTTTACAACGAAAGGTTCAAATACATGGGTCGACACAAAAGGCCCGTTTAAGAATCTAGGAAATTTTAATTGATGTTATGCAATCACAAACATCGAAGGAACCACTTTTTTGTTGGTTAATACTTAATACTTCATATATCCACTTATGTTATTAGATCAGAAAGAAATTATAAAACCGGTTTAAGTACCTTACAGATGTGTATTTATAGCAATTATATGACATAAATTTATGTATGCCTGACTTATTTTTCACGCACGAGGGTTCTTCTATTAAAAAATTATAGTAAGAGTTTTATGTTTCCTTGTTGAATTAAATTTGTTTGTTTTAAAAAGATAGAAATTGACAAGAGGGCAGGAGACATATCACATATAATGTAGAGATAGTCCCCCACATACATTGTGTTAAACCATTATCTGAAAAGATGCTCTCACAATACGCATATAAATAGACATAATATAGTTAATATATATATAGGAATATTCATAAATGGTGGTCCATTTAAAAGAAACAAGACCCATATCAGTTTCAGACAATAATGATAATCACAAACCCACCAAAAGCTTTAGACTTCCCAAAAGCTATAATAATACACATTTCACATTTGTATGTATTTACATTTTTATTGACATTTCACATACATACACTTGAGAGAGCCCATTCTCTTCGTATGTTGTTGTCACCGCCTATATGTATAAATTTTAATCATTCCATAAGGTTTATTTTTCATTTTTTTTTCTTTTTCCGTAACGCTTATTTTCAACTCTCTTTTCTTTATGGGTAATATGTATTCATATAATTTTTCTTCCACTCACTGACATTCTAAAATCAACGACTATATAAATTATCAAACATTGACACATGAATATTAAACGTTAATCGTTGGATATAATTTTAATAACATGAGTAAGAATATAGCTAGGATGCTACGTTTTTTTCGTAAAACCAAATGTAGAAATTCAGGAATGGTTGATGACACTGATTTGTAGAACATTGAAGGTTAGATTCTTAGTTCATTCGTTTGTTCTTATGCATGGGTTTGTATTATTTTATTCGCTAAATCTATTAGAAAGCTATATATTGGTAAAAACACATAGTCTCGCTGTCTCGGTTCAATTAACTCATTTTCACTAACTAGTAATTTTTGTTTTGTAAAAATTAAGCCTTTCTTTAATGTGTAGTGAATATCATACCGTTATGTGTAGTGAAGATCATACCGTTATGTGTAGTGAAGATCATACCTTGAGATATTTATTGATCGTGTCATTATTATTGTATAAAAAATAAATAATGAGTTTGGTGAGTTCGATGAAGTGATGGAGTGTTAGAGTAGATTGTTTAACACCGAAAGAGACCGGTGAGCTCTTCATGTTGTTTTTAACTCCACTTGCATTTGTTCTATAGCTTTTAATTTTGAGCTTCCTCTCATTCTTATTTTCTGTTTTCTTCTACTTAAAAATTAAAATATCTTTCACCATTTATTTTCTATATTACTTTGAAGTTCGGTCCTTATATATAGCTGAACATTGTGAGGTCACATACAACGAAAAGGACAAGATATGCTTGTCCCTCAAAATCTAGACTCCTTTTCTCTTCTTCTACTTCTGTATTTATGATCTTTATTTATTACTGGCCAAACAATTCATCAAAACTAACAAGGCGGAATTTGCATAAATATATGTATATAAGAGTGGAGGAGTTGAATCCAAGAAATGGATGTGAAGGCAAGAAAGTGAGAGATATGGTCCCCTCAACAAAAGCCATTAAATCTCTGAGCATATGACTGTGACTTTAATGGCAAAGCAAAGAGGTTTGCAATTGCATGATTCAATGAAGAGTTGCTGTTAGGGTTTGGGAGATTTGTGGGCTTTTAAGTGCATGTTTTTTTGTGGGGTTCGAATGCCATTCATGGGACCCAATTACATTTTCTCAGATTTGTTTTTGTTTTTGTTTCCTGATGGCCCTTTTATTTAGATTGGTTTTATACGTATTTAATTACTATATATGTGTTCTTGCTCTATAGTCTATACGTTTGTGTTTTCTTCAAGAGATTTCTAGTTCATTAGCTTGAAAAAATATTATATATCGACTTAAATATGGTGGATAGTGATTAGGACTTAGGAAATGAAAAAATGTCCAAATCCAAGGTTCTATGTAGACTCCGATATATCTTCTTCGTTACATATATATCTCTCTCTATATATATATATATATAATATTTCTTGGTTGTAAAAAGTCTTTTTCACTATTTTATACTACTAAATACTAAATTTTCTTATTAGTTTAAATTATTTAATAAGCTTAAAAGCTTAATCACTTATGATTTCCCAGGGATCTTTGATGTTTTAAATTATTAAATCGCATGTTAGGTTTAAACAGGGTTTCTTTGTGGGAAAATAAAGAGATGTGGACTCCTCTTGTGAAGTCCAAAATCTGCAAAATTATGTATGTAAATTAATGTAGTTTGGGACCAGTACTTCGCATGGACATTACCATAGTTGAATTTATTTCCCTTCTTACAAAACGTTTTGATTTGTCATATATCACATACACGTTATGTGAATCAGTGAATTTATGTATCGAAGTCACTCCTTAACAATTTTATAAAGGGGATTAAAGGAAATTCCATCTTAGACAATTTTGAATAAAGAACATTTTTTTTCTTATAAAAATATCGCTCACACTAATTACAATTTGTGTAAGTTATGACTTTTTTTTTTTCTTTAGAAGAGAATAGTTGACAGAAAAGGAATAGTTTAGCTATGCACAAATGGATATCCATATTCGAAATTTGAATACTTGAATGTATAGTTTGCATAAATTTACAACACATTTGAATCCCATATTTCTATTAGTTTTATCAACAAATTTGACCGAATAAAGTTAGAGTGTACATAAAAGGAATATGTAGTTCAAAACGATGAAGACGTACGTGGATCAAATTTTGCCAATTGATCGAGTTGATAAGTATCAACAGATTACACGGATGATAGGATGAGATCCTTACAAACAAAGATTCAATCTTTTGTTTAATTATCTGGTGATGGCATCAACTAGTTGATTATTAGCATCATTCAATGATCATGTACAAGGACCACCTCCCTCTGTAAGATCATCTATGCATCAGTGAGACAAAACATCCAAGAGGGTAAAAAACTGGTCCTTGAGAGAGAGAGAGAAGAGCTCTCTTTAATTAGATCTATCTCTTATCTCTCTATTAGTCTATTATTAGTAAGAAACCATGTACTTATACGTAGACATAATAACCAAATAGCTAGGTCCATGGTGTAAAAGAGTACACACCTAACTTCACCTTGCTAATGATCTCTTACCTACAAACTCTCACTCTTTTTAGTTCATCTCATTACTCACCATGACCCCATTTCATCTGCCAACGATCAATTTTGGTAAGTTTTTTTTGTCTTAGTTGCAACATTTGCAGGAATCACTTTTAAGAAACAACTAACAAAGAGGAGATAACTTTGAAAAAAGGAGAACTGATTGGAGTTTGAAGAGAAGGATATATATGAGTAATTGGTTAGCGAAGCGAATAAGGCCTCTCTATAAATTACCTTTATTTTTTTTTCATCTAAGAATTTTATTGATATATTAAAGCGCTCTCAGTTATACAAAACCGACAAGGGTCAAAATTCCTCCGGAAACAAAGCCGGCGAGTTTACAAAACCCCCGGAGGAAACAACTCCTACCCGGCCCGGAGAAATAAACATAGGGAAATAAACCTAAATGAAACCATACACAAGAAATAACTGATCACCCCAAAGTTATACTCTTCCAATAGTTCTCCGATCCTTCCTTCAAACTAGAGCATGCAAATGAAGAAGAAAAGTTACTCGAATATTCCCAATATTAGTTAAACTTGAGCCAAAAGAGTTAAATTGTTATAATATTTACAATATCATAAATGTGGCTCACAAGACAAGTATAAATAAGAAAATGTGTACTGTCTATAATTTTTGTTATTTACTCTTGATCTTTAGATTAAAAAAAAAACATGAAAAATAACATACATATAATTGAAATATTGATTAATCTCTTGTTATTTTTTTTTTAACTACTTCTAGTAAAGGTAAAATTTTAATATACACACGCGACCATACTGGTTTAAATAACAGTAAATTACCTTAAAAGAATTTGGGAACCTCTTTAAATTAATGCAAAACCTCATTCTCTTGTCTTTCTGTCTCTGAAACAGTCAACCTCATTCGTCTCAAACTCAACTCATTCTTCTTCTCTCTCTTTCTCTCTCTCTCTCTCTCCATGGACGAAACCAATGGACGAAGAGAAACTCATGATTTCATGAACGTCAACGTTGAATCTTTCTCTCAGCTTCCTTTCATCCGCCGTACTCCTCCCAAAGAAAAGAACTCCATTATTCGTCTCTTCGGCCAAGAGCTCGTCGGAGATAACTCCTCCGGTGCTGGTGCTCATCAACAAGAAGACTTCTCTGCAGATTCTTCTGATCAAACTACAACAATCAAGATCAACGACGAGAACTCTGATCAGAATGTCAAGGACAAGGACAAGGACAAAGAAAAAGACAATAATAACAACAGGAGATTCGAGTGTCACTACTGTTTCAGAAACTTCCCGACTTCTCAAGCCCTAGGTGGACACCAAAACGCTCACAAACGCGAACGCCAACACGCCAAACGCGGTTCCATGACGTCATACCTTAATCATCATCATCATCAGCCTGACCCTCATCACGTCTACGGCTTCCTCAACAGCCACCACCACCGTCACTATCCCTCGTGGACGACGGAAGCTAGATTCTACGGTGGTGGAGGAGGAGGAGGAGGACAACAACCGTCGTCGTATTACTCACGCACTCTTCCTCCTGCTGTTTCTAGTATCCCGCCAACTATCAACGGAAGTCCTTTGTGGCGTGTACCGCCTTCCACGTCAGCAAACCCTAGTCATGGCGTTTACTCAGCTTCAGCGTTTAGGAAGCGTGAGCAGGAGACTAAGGAGCCGAATTGGCCGTACAGATTGATGAAACCCAATGTGCAAGACCATGTGAGTCTTGATCTTCATCTTTGACCATCTTTCTTTTTTTACTTACAAAAAAAAAAAAAAGATTATCCGACCGTCATTATAACTTATTAGCAAGTGATGAGACTTGTTTGATCGGTGAAGCCAATTCTTTTGAGAGTGTTGGAGAAAAACAAAACGGCGCGGTGTTCATGTTTTGTAAGGAGAACCGGCATGATGTGTAGATCTTGAACCTTGGAGGTTTTTCTTTTTCTTTTTCTTTTTCAGATTCTGAGTTTATATTAATAAGGAAATGATATCTGATTAATATATATATATATATTCATCCATTTTGCTATCACGTTAGTGTGAATGATAACATTTATCACTATTCTTTTCTTTTTTGGTCTGTTCATCTCTAAGTTCTGTTATGGCTTCAAGATTGTAACATTCAGATAAAGAGGTACATTAAATTAAGAGCCATGGAAGTCACACACGTACGTACTTTCTCTGTTGTTGCAGTCGAGAAAATTCAAGTCTCGATCAATGTCTCATTAAGTCAAATCGTATGTCTTTTTAACCATTAAAAAAACCCACAAATCTCTTTAGATCCAAACGTTTACAGTCAGAGTTAAAATAAACGGTGTTTTACCGAACCAAGAGCCAAAGAAGAAAGCTCTTGATGTTGATGATGATGATGATTCGGTGACTGTGGGGATCACTGAAGACAATGGACAAGACAAAAGGGGAGAGAGAGAGAGAGAGAGAGTTGAGAAGTGAAAGTGGTCCATGATTTCAAATGTAGAGTTAGCCAAAGAGAGCTTTCACGTCTATCTCTCAACACACAGAACCTAAAGCTAAAGCTAAAGCCTTTCCTCAAAAGCTTTCTTCTTTAGTTTCTTTTCAAAACCTCTTTTTGGGCAATTCAAAGAGAATCATCAACCAAGCTGTCTACCATATATATACCCATTCATCATTTTTACCATGGTCAATGGAAAAAAAATACTTAGAATCCGCCCGCGACACATGACCATGTTTCTTGCTAATTGCCTTTAGAGAAGAGAGTTTTATATAAGCTCATATGCCTTAACAAGAAAAAGACCTACAAAACATCACAAATTATTAGTCGTATATCTGATGAGAAGAAGCAATGATATCAATCCTCGTACCTAACATCTGACCTTTCATGTGTTACAACACTAATCAAAACATTAAAGACAACTATATATAGCTATGACTTTTGCATAGACCATGACTTTTCTAGTTTTGGCATGGCCTTAACTCAATCACAGTTCACAGATATATGTGGCATTGCGTCGCACCATATATATACCACAATCAGATTTTTTTTGTTTTTTTTTTAGTTTACAACAAGTCATGGTGGTTAATAATGCCTATTTGCATTAGAATTACCACCTGTGGATGATGCATTACATACCAAAGCTAACCAATATGTAAAGATTCAAAGACAGAGCTAATCTGACTTGATGCTACTAGTAAAGGAAATGAAATGATAAGTGTATTCCTAAAACACGACAACTTGTAAAAGAAAAATGCAGTTTATAAGTCTTGTAGATACAATAATTGTAATTGAACAGATGAGAAACTTGTCATTGGTACTAATTAAATGATGTCTTGAAACGTTATAGCATGATTGGTAATATGAATATCTACTAATTAACTAACGTTATGCCACCAATCTCAAAGTGTAAACAGGTTATTTGTGATAGAGGCTGCTAGAACTTGCTATCCTATTTTACAGGGAAGGACCAAACGGTGCGAACTCAGCCTGTCAATTAAAAGGGTGGAGAGATAAGGTTTTTCAGACTCAAGTCTTTTGTTTTGAATGAAACTTTTGCAATAAGGAAGTTTTATTTATCACATGAGAACAAAAAAACAACCAAAAAAAACAAAAAGAAAGACATATATGCCCTCATGGAAACAGTTGTTTTGGATACAAAAAACTGCAGAGGCTAAACCAGAGAAGACAGTACATCTGAGAATTACGTGATGGTTTTATCAAATTATGGAAAATTTAAGGATATGGTGTCAAAGAGTTAACATCAAGAGCAGCTAGAAAAGGACCCCACTAAAGTTAATGCAGTGTAGAAGGAAGCATGTGATGAACAACATGATAAAAGAAGCACATAATAAAGACGTGTGAAGAGCATACACATACATTATATAACCTTAGGACCACTTTTCTCTGCTCACTTGTTTTTTTTTTCTTTCTTTCTTTTTCTTTTATCCAGAAATGCAAAGGACTAGTGGAATTTAAGGAACATCGGCCCACAACCCTAGGAACGTTGCAACTTGAGGATGATAGTTCCAACAGTACACATCTCAAACCCCTTTCAAAATCTGTTTCACACAAACTATGCAACCTGCCAAAAATGGTGGTCTTGTTTTGGTAACCAAAGCTACAGAAAGTCCCACCGAACCTATAGACCATGTGGTTAACAATCCTTTGGGACTCTAATTTCTTATATTATACTGGTTTTCAACATCTACTTCAGATGGTCTTATGTCAAAATTCTTTGCAAAAGTTAGATTTATTTGAAATAGGTAGCCACTGAGAAGACATAAAAGACATTATATCTTGTCTAAATATGTCGAAGAATTCAACATTATAGAGATGTGGTTTCTTAAGAGTATGACTTGACAAGGTAACCAAAAAGAAGAAGAAAAAAAACAAATACAAGGAGAGATTCTGAAATGAAGCTGTTCAAGCAGGGAGTGGAATACACTCTCGTTTATCTGTGCATGACTTCATTTAACCTCTTCTTTCTGAGTTCGAGAGAGATGAGCTTCTTCGATACGGCGGGTGAGCATAGAGATCCCATAATGTGAAGCACTTGAAGATGCATAATACGAGGTAACTGTCAGCTGAGCAAACTTCGGAAGCGCATAACCTACCAAGTTATAACACACGAACAAAGGTTCAGGTGCGTTCTTGAAAGAAAACAGACAGATGTATGTACAGATACACTGGGTACATAAAACAAAAGCCTACGTGCAAGAAGCTACTAACATGTCCACTACCACCTGGCATTTGTACGTTCTAAACAGATACGAAATACCAATCTTCTTGATAGGATAATGTTATTAATGCAAGTAATTCACCTAAGGGTAAAAGTTGCAAATCTACACTCTGCAACACACCTTGTTTCGTATTCCAACCATACAGTAATGAAAAAACGATCATGGCTTGTAAATTTTTTTGCATAAAGAACGAACACTCAGTATAGAGGAAATTTTTATATTAGCAGCCTCTTTGAATACGCAAACTCGACATGGACGTAAGTTCTTTGGGGTGACATAAAACAGAGAATTGCAGCAGATAGTAATCACAGAGGTTCAAACACACAAAATGTGAAGCCCTTTCACAAAATTTCAGGACAATCGACAGACATTCAATCACTAACGTAGGATATATACATATACATATATTTAGGCACAAAAAAAAAACCGAGTGAGAAGAAGAAGAATATGCTACCTCCAAAGGCAGCCCCTGCACCTGAATATCCTAGCAGCAATGGAACCTAAAAGCAAAATCAATAAGTGAGAAGCAGTGAGGTACTGTTAACAAACAAGGAGAAACAAGCAGAATTCCAGAACTAGGAGACAAGGCAAAAGTAAAATCACATACCCCTATAAGAAAGGAGAGCCGTTTTGACCCTGGAAACCGATTTTGAAGGTAGGGGATCCCTGAAAGACCAAAGAGATTATGAGATCCATTGTAGAAATGATTTTTAAGTATTTGATCAAAAGAGAATCATGTGATACCTGTGTTGAAAGCATGGACGGCACTAAGCAAGCCACCAATACCAGAACCAGCCTATAACACAAGAGACATCTAGTTAGAAACAGACTAGTACAACTACAAGCACAATCAGGTAACTCGATTTCCATGCTATCCAAAAAAGCTGAGACAGGCCAACCAAAAAAATTCAAAATAACAACTCAAACCCAGCAATTTGAATCAGAAATGGGCGAGCTGAAGATTTTAAAGACTATGATGCTCTGCATCCAACAGCTAAGACAAATAATTTCCAGTGAAAAAGCTTAAACACAATACTCTACTTAGACATTGCAATAGACCAAACTAACAAAACCCATCTCAGAGGTCAATGGAGAAAAAGGTTGAATTTTTACACGGCCAGCTGAGCAAACCAAAAGATCATAACGCAATCACCTAAGCTAAATTCAGCTGATTTGCCCACAAGTCAATAATCCAGTACACATAATTGCAACTAACCGAGCTTATTCTGACAGTAAAAAGAAGGAAACAAGACAGGTTCCGCAAAAATCAACCAAAATGATCCCCAGAACACAAAATCGAGATTGAGACTGAAAAAAATTCTCCAAAGAGATGTACGAGACAGCAAAGTTAAACTGACCACAGCAGCAGCATCGTGCAAAACTGAAGTGATCGCCCACTCTCCTTTTTCCTGATAACATTATCACAAGAACAAAAGAAATGAATTCTCAGACCAACTCAAAAACAACACAAAAAAAGGAGAAGAAAAAAACATGGTAGCTCACTGAATTAGGGTTTAAGAGAGAAAGGCAACGCGGACAGCGAGCGGAACCAAGACCAGGATTCATAGTCGGATCATAATCAAGATTCCCACGCCTCAGCTTCTCTTCGTATACTTGTCTCGTTCCCATCCCCTCTCTCTCTCTCTCCGATCACCGGCTCTTTTCTTCTCTGAAATTGTTCCACCGTCGCTACGCCATTAAATGAAGCTACCCAAAACATGCCCAATTAATCATTAATGGGCTTTCTTATTGCGGCCCAAATAAAGACACTACGTCATCGTCATCGTCTTCCAATTCGATATGCCCTACAAATAATCTCTCCTTGCTATCTTCTTCTTCGATTTAGTACAGAAAGCTGCAGTTTTCAATGCATTCCCTTTCGTTTCCATCTTCTTCCGCTCTACTGCCTTCTGTGTTTGCCTTGGATTCTTCACATCTTCTCTCTTTGCAACCAAAAAAGCTAAATCGTCTTCAAAGTAGTTCCTTTTCTCCAAAACTTGTTTCACTCTCACAGTCTTATGTCTCTCGTCACAGAGCGTTCTCTGTTTCTTCAACATCTCCTCCTCCAGAGGGGACAGTCTCCGTGGTAGATTTCCATGAGAAAGATTGGTCTTTTCTCGAATCTATGGAGCTCGACTCTCCTGAACATACCCAGAAGATGGAAAAGATCATAAAAGCTGGAGAAATATCCGAATCCTCGAGGGTTTTGGTTTCGATTAGCTCAGAAGCATTCGTTGATTGTCTGGTGGAATCTTCAGCTTCCCAGCTCTTGCTTATTGTCCATGACTCCCTTTTCGTCTTGGCCTGTGTCAAAGAAAAATACGACAAAGTCAAATGTTGGCAAGGAGAATTGATCTATGTTCCAGAGAAATGGTCTCCATTAGACGTCGTCTTTCTCTACTTTCTTCCAGCATTGCCTTTCGAGCTTGACGAGGTGTTCAAGACACTGTCCCAGCGTTGTTCCTCCGGTACATTGTCCTGACCCTTCTTCGTTCTTGGTCTCTCTCAGGCTAACACTTTTCGGTTCTTAGTTCCTAACATTAGTCTGGTCCAATGATTCTAACAGGTGCAAGAGTAGTAATCAGTCACCCGCAAGGTAGACAAGGCTTGGAGCAGCAAAGGAAGGAGTTTTCAGATGTGGTCGTCTCTGATTTACCTGATAATTCCACATTGATGAATGTTGCTAAGAAGCATTCGTTTGAGCTAACACAGTTTGTTGATGAACAAGGACTTTATCTTGCTGTTCTAAAGTTCTCCAAACAATAGATATTATGTCGGCGAGAATTATATATAATCTACTGTATTGAGAATTTTTGTTTTGTTCCAGTTGTGATGTAATGAGATACACCCGGCAATGGAGAATTATTCATTTTGAGTAAATCAAAACCTTTGAAAAGAAAGACAAACTCTTGCAGAGATCTTTACATGAAATAAAACCAGAGAGATTTTACTGCTTGATTACAATGTTCCAAGACGCCAAACAAACCAACAAAATGTATAAAACCCTTTAGAAGATGGAAAACCTCAAGCTGTTATCTGTCGCAAACAAGTTGTACTCTTCACCTACTGTGCTCTTTTTCTCCTTAGTATTATTTCCGGTGGGATCACCAAAAACATGGTCTCCTGTGAACTGCAAGGAGAAATCCCCCAAAATCCTATCTTTGGATTGAGCAGGATTAGGTTTACTTCCTGTAGACAGAGCCACCGGCCCTCCGAAGTGGAATAAGGAGAAGTTTTCGTCACTATCAGTTTCCGGACCTCTCCTGCTTGGAGTTTCCGCTGGATACATTCCTTTAAATTTCCCTTCATCCGCGTCCTTCAGAAAAATCTGTTCCAATGGCTCAAGAGTTTGAGCTTGCTCCACAGTGTTCACTGTGTTGGTTTCACCAAACGCATGGAAAACTGGAACTGGCCCGGAATTGAAAAAAGTTGCTGAATGGTTCAAAGGGGCTCCATACTGCACGCATAACGGGGACTCTCCATTCAGACTATATCCAAGAGGACCTGTGTATACATAACTGTTAGGATGAGGGAATGGCATTAATCCGTTGGCAGGAGCTGCAGACCAGGAGACTGGAGCTTGGTGATAGTAACCCAATGTTGAAGGAGCCTGGAAGACTGACAACGGTATACTCTGGTTAAGCATTTGGGGAAACATCATGCTTTGTGGCTGGGACATATAGGAACCAGTATTAACACCAGGTACCATATTTTCCATGTTTTGGCTAGGAACCGTAAAAGGAGTTTCTGATAATTTACTTTCCCCGTTTTCAGCTGAAAGGTTAGACATATTCTTCATCCTTAAAAGGTCTCTTTCATCGATTCTCTTCTCTGTCTCTTTCTCTGTCATCTTACCTTGGCAGTCAGGCATATGGTTTTCAGTATCTACTAGATCCTCTCTTCCTCTAGAGTGCTGACTGGCATCTTCAGAATCAGACGTCGAGGGGGATTCAGTGCTTCCGTTATTTGAAGCTGTATTGCTATCTCCTTCACTGATACATGAAGAGCAATTATCTGAACTGGAGGTTCTACTCATCATAAGATCTTTAGAGTACAGGTCATCGTTCTTCAGTTTTATGTCAACTTCCATCTTCTTCCCTTCCTTTATTGAATTTTTACAGAAGTCAGAGTCCTTGCTGCTGTCATTGACGATGACATTACCCAACATTTCTGTAGCCTTACATCGAGACAGTGTATCAGCTGACTTCGCAGCAGAGTTAAGATCTTCAAACTCCTCAGCCTTCAATGTTAAACATGTTGATTTGTCAGAATTTGAGCTGAGTCCTGGATGCTTCAGCTCCACGGAGTCTAACACCTTTCTCACATTTACTGGCTCCATCATAGAAGGATTTTGACTGATGGTCACTTTGCTTCTAGGTCTATAATCTGTTTCAGAATTCCTATTGGCTCGGTTAACTGGCTTGGAGACATCCAGATCAGGGTTTGATTTGAATATGGATTTAGGTTCTCGCATGCCTCTGTTAGATTCTACCTTTTCCCAGTATCCATTAATGGGTTTGCAACTGCAAGAGTGGTAATCATACCTCTCACTAATCCTGTTCTCTGAACATTGAGACCCCTCATGTGTCTTAATGCTATTTGGGCTACCCCCAGCCTTTACTCTTAAATTTTTCTTCGACCCGTTCAAATGCCTTGAAGACATATCAAATCTATCATTACAGTATCTTGCCTCAGCCCTACTGACAAAAGAAGTATTCTCCGAATATCTGCGTTTATCTGACCGCCTCAATGCATAATCAGGTTGAGGTTCTTTCCAGAATCTTGCTGTCTGATGAACAGGTCTGCAATTATCATTTGTGAAGCACCCGTTTCCATCTTCATGATCTATAACCTCTCTTTCAGTGGTATCACAAAAGTAGGTTTCCGCTCTTGGGGAAGTGCAACCATCCAAACACTCTCCATCTAGATCATCAGGAGAACCAGGAGGAGACAAATCTAAATCTCCACTTTCAATTCCAGACTCCTCGCAGCTTATAGTATTGTTCATTTCCTGATCAAGATTCAAGGAGCCTTTTTCTTCCCTTGATAAATTTGGCAACATCGCTTTATCACTAAATATTGGATTCTTCTGCTCCTTTTCTAGTTCTTTTTCCTTCAACCTCTCCTTTCTACGAAGTTTTTTCTCCCTTTCTTTTGTTCTTTTCCTTTCTTTTCGCTCCTCTTCTTCACGCTTTTCTTTCTCTTCTTCCTCCAGAAGTTTCTTCTGCAAGTATTAAGACAACGGAGTTGTTGGACAAAATAAGTGTAATATATCTTGTTAACAAAAAAAAAAAAAAATCCAATCAAGATAGCAAACAAAACCTGCTTCTCCAAGGTGACAATTTCCTTGCAGGCAATATGAATACGTTGCTCTAATAGTTTCGATGAAAGGCAGACAAATATACTGTGAGCATTTTGACGGGCTGTACCTTCTCTAAATGCCTTTTCAACCTGAGATATTATTATGAATAGATAGCAATGAATACACCTAAACACAACACAAAATAAAAATTCCTGGATACGAACTTAGAGGATTCTATAACAAACCTGCTCCTTGAAAATAACCGCTGCAGCATCTAGAAGAAACTCTCGCGCAAGTTCTGGACTCTTAGCGTGCTTTTGTGGACGCAGGCACTCACCATCAAGCTCATTCCCATCTTTGTCTACCATGATTTCATCCTTAAATAGCATCGGCAACAAAATAAAGATATTTTAACAAGGATATATCATATCTGCAAAAGTATCTGATGGCTTTCAGCCACAATGCTTGTGGATCTTCAATTTACCTCTTCTTCCTCAGCCTCTTCAGCATGCTCAAAAAACATTCGAATGCATTTCCCTCGTTTGATTGAAACAAAGCCATCTCCAACCACAAGCCTGGAGTGAACGCATTGTTGGCCTCTCAATGCATGGGCTTTGACGGATTTCTCGGAGGAGCGGCCATTTTTTTTAAATGCCCTGAGAGTAATGTAGCATTCGTGTAATCCACGAAGGTCTAGGCCATTGACTTGGGCACTCCCATCATTGCCAACACATTTGAACTCAAGGATATCAGATTCGCCTTCTTCAGTTCCAATTGCCCACTCGAAATGATGATATCCAGCATACTCTGTAAAATATTGACTCCAATCTGCTCGGACGGAATCAATGTCCACCTGAGAAATTGCAATTATACTTCTCATTCTACCTTTCAATATAAGCCACTCAGGTATATTGGTAAACTATACTCTTGAAAACCAGTGTTCTTGTAGCATAGGCTAGGAATCCAAAAAATAAGAGGAAAAGGTTAAGAAAGATAAGGACCTCATACTGAAAGGCTGTATCGGCAACACAAAACCAGTCGGTACATCGTGGTTCTCTTTGCATTCTTTTATGTTCCTTAAGCAATTTAAACTCCCGAATAACATTTCTTCTGCAGTCTCTACAAAACTTCTTGCAGTCGAATCTATAATTTAAAAGGTCAGCATATAACTTGATGAACGGGAAAAAAAGTCACAAGACCATATAACGAATAAAAAGATACATACGAAACTAAGTAATGCATGCAATGTAGGCATATCCTCAAAGTCCTAAATGCTAAATCCATAAAACAAAAATTCAATTTAAAATATGGTAACTTAAGTGGTATGAGTTCATAATACACCCTAATTGGAGAAACCAGATCATATCTCAAAACACTTTCTCAACTGAACTTGTGACAGAACATTCAAGAATACTGAATCAGCAAATAACAAACCTGTAAGTTAGTCTTTCTATGAAATCCTCTTCTTTCATTCTCAAAAGTGACTGTCGACTATCCTCTTCAAGCGCAGACCAAAAATCCACTAAAGTATCACAAGAGAGCCTTGTGACATGCAAACCACATGTTTCTCTTGTTCCATGACCTTTACCATAACCAGTCATCCCTTGACTTATCCATACCCGACCTCCACCACCACAAGCATCGGGATAGAGCAACTCACGTTCCCTCTCTCGAGCACGGGCACTTTCAAACACCTGCTACAGCCAATAGATTAGCTAGCTAAACTGAAGCGACCTGATCGAGAATAGGGAAACCTTGGATGAACTTACAGTGTGAAGCACTTTATAAGATTTCGCATACAAATAGCAGTCAAGAAGTGTGAGTGATCCATCGCGTGTTGTGGTGAGGCCGCCCCATTGATGAACAGCGGGGTCTTGCAACGCAACGGTACATCTGCTACTGACCACTGAGTTACAGTCAATTTGATCTTTTGAGGCTCCTGATCTGTTGCACGGAAGGTTTCCTATCGATCCTTTTTGTTGCAAGGACCTCCCATATGAAACAATCTGCAAGAAGCTTTCAAGCAGAAGGCCGTTGCATCTGGAACAGCACATGTTCTTGCGAGCTTGCTCAAACAGAGCCTGCTTGTCAATCCTGAGAAGCTCCTGCCTAGTTTTCGGCGACAGCTCACTCCAGAACTGTATAAGAGTTCAAACAAATTGGTTTCGAGTGTATTTATAACATCATGTTTTGTAAAAAAGAACTATGGGGGAAAACATGGAAGCACACATGTCCCCTATTTGACTCCATTTTCAGGCCTATTAATTAAGATATCTACTTCCAAGGATACATGGTTTTTTAAAGTATCAATGCTCGCAAAAATAAGGTTTTCGATTTATTTGATGAATCAAAAAGGGTTTGATGAGCATCATCTAAACTCAAATATCATTTCAGAACACAGACTCGGGTTTGCTAAATTCTCGAGCAAATCAACAACACCCATCACAAGTACTTCGACACTCAATAAGAAAAAGCTGAAAGGCAACGATCGAATCTGAGCTAAATTCAACGTCAAAATTCGGAGAATCCAATCAAAAAACGAGTTATAAGAAAATTAGAGAAGTACCTTGTGCAACTGATTGTAGCTGACTCCATCGACGTCCTTGGACCAAAACCCAGAAGAGTAATGCTCATTCTTCTGTGCTAAACCCGGCATCTTTTTACACTCGTCTGTGTTCATCAATTGATGATTCCTTAACCGCCTCCCAGACGGGCGCAGGCTAAGAAATCAAACGAGAAGCGAATCAAAATTCCGCCGAATCGGAAAATGAAATCACGAAAAAAGGTTCCAATCGGAAAGCATTCGATCGAGATCCTGTGGTATGCAGAATTGGGTAATCCTGAAAACCCAATTACAATATCTTTCCGGACTACGTCTTCTCGAATCCCAAAATGAAAGGAATCGAATCAAAATTGGATTGGACTGGATTGGAAAGAGACGCGACACAAGGTTCTTCGGGCGATGACGATGAGATTTGCAGCTAAGTATATATTATAGGGGAGAGAGAGAGAGGGTAAAAGAGGGGGAGGATCGTTAAAAAGTTAAAAAAAAAAAAAACCTAAAATATGCAGAGATATCTAAAATGTACTTTTCCTTGTTACAGTACCTTTCTTTACATTTGGGTAAATGTTTTTATTTTTAATGGGCTCATTATAATTTTTTTTGAAAAGAAATATATTATTATTACATATTTTGAGTCATATTATTACATATTTTTGGACCTAAAAAGGATTATTATTTGCTCTCTTTTTTGGTTAAAATTTTATTAGTAATTCTGAGGTACCTTTTTGGCATAGTATTGACGTTAATTTGAGAAATTGTTTTTTCTGTAAATATGTTTTTTTCTTGTAAATATTTTAGATATGTTATTTACATTTGTGGTTATAGTATGGTTTGTTTTGGACTTCAGCTTCATACGGCAAGGGAATTTGTGTGGGTCATGTGCGGGTGTCGTCATTATGTTTAATCCTTACTTGTTTTATTCATGATTTCAGAACTGATATGTAGTATGTGATGATATAAGATACTTATAAGATTACTATATTGCACATTATAAAACAGTAATCTCACACAATTTATTTCTGTTCTTATCGTGTACTATGAAAAGTTTATATCTCATTCCATATTGAGGCACATGCCTCTAAGAGTCTAAGTAATGACGCTTGTCTATTTAAAACAAAAATGAAAGAGATATAGTAGTATAAGTAATAATCATATGCAAATCATTGAAAATGTAATTAACGACATAGAAATCTTCAATCCACAATACTCTGACGACTAATTTTACTATTTCTTGCAATATTGACTCCTCAAAACAGAAACGAAAGAGGGCTTTAATCCAATGAAAAATATAAGTTACATTTGATTAAATAACAACAACTTATAAACAAGAATCATAGTTATTTGAACAGAAAAGAGAGCAAAAGAGCCATAACAAATTAACAATAACAACAACAAAAACAAGAGAAATGGTAAATTGGTTATTTAGGAAGTAGACTCAGGACCGGCCGGTTTAAAGTTAAGAAGAGGCTGAAGTGCCTTGAGGCCCTTGACAACGATGGTCATGTTTGGTCGGCGAGAATTATATATAATCCAGTGTTGTAATGAGATACACCCAGCAATGGAGAATTATTCATTTTGAGTAAATCAGAACCTTTGAAAAGAAAGACAAAAACTCTTGCAGAGATCTTTACATGAAATAAAACAAGAGAGATTTTACTGCGTTCAGGATTACAATGTTCCATAACGCCAAACAAACCCAAAAAATGTATAAAACCCTTTAGAAGATGGAAAACCTCAAGCTGTTATCTGTCGCAAACAAGTTGTACTCTTCACCTACTGTGCTCTTTTTCTCCTTAGTATTATTTCCGGTGGGATCACCAAAAACATGGTCTCCTGTGAACTGCAAGGAGAAATCCCCCAAAATCCTATCTTTGGATTGAGCAGGACTAGATTTACTTACTGTAGACAGAGCAACCGGCCCACCGAAGTGGAATAAGGAGAAGTTTTCGTCACTATCAGTTTGCGGACCTCTGCTGCTTGGAGTTTCCGCTGGATACATTCGCTTTAATTTCCCTTCATCCGCATCCTTTAGAAAAATCTGTTCCAATGGCTCAAGAGTTTGAGCTTGCTCCACAGTGTTCACTGTGTTGGTTTCACCAAACGAATGGAAAACTGGAACTGGCCCGGAATTGAAAAAAGTTGCCGAATGGTTCAAAGGGGCTCCATACTGCACGCATAACGGGGTCTCTGCATTCAGACTGTATCCAAGAGGACCTGTGTATACATAACTGTTAGGCTGAGGGTATGGCATTAATCCGTTGGCAGGAGCTGCAGACCAAGAGACTGGAGCTTGGTGATAGTAACCCAATGTTGAAGGAGCTTGGAAGACTGACAACGGTATACTCTGGTTAAGCATTTGGGGAAACATCATGCTTTGTGGCTGGGACATATAGGAACCAGTATTAACACCAGGTACCATATTTTCCATGTTTTGGCTAGGAACCGTAAAAGGAGTTCCTGATAATTTACTTTCCCCGTTTTCAGCTGAAAGGTTAGGCATATTCTTCATCCTTAAAAGGTCTCCTTCATCGATTCTCTTCTCTGTCTCTTTCTCTGTCATCTTACCTTGGCAGTCAGGCATATGGTTTTCAGTATCTACTAGATCCTCTCTTCCTCTAGAGTGCTGACTGGCATCTTCAGAATCAGACGTCGAGGGGGATTCAGTGCTTCCGTTATTTGAAGCTGTATTGCTATCTCCTTCACTGATACATGAAGAGCAATTATCTGAACTGGAGGTTCTACTCATCATAAGATCTTTAGAGTCCCTGCTGCTGCCATTGACGATGACATTACTCAACATTTCTGTAGCCTTGCATCGAGACAGTGTATCAGCTGACTTCGCAGCAGAGTTAAGATCTTCATTCTCTTCAGCCTTCAATGTTAAACATGAAGCTGCTGATTTGCCAGAATTTGAGCTGAATCCTGGATGCTTCAGCTCCACGGAGTCCAACACCTTTCTCACATTTACTGGCTCCCTCATAGAAGGATTTTGACTGATGGTCACTTTGCTTCTAGGTCTATAATCAGATTCAGTATTCCTATTGGCTCGGTTAACTGGCTTGGAGACATCCAGATCAGAGTTTGATTTGACTATGGTTTTAGGTTCTCGCATGCCTCTGTTAGATTCTACCTTTTCCCAGTATCCATTAATGGGTTTGCAACTGCAAGAGTGGTAATCATACCTCTCACTAATCCTGTTCTCTGAACATTGAAACCCCTCATGTGTCTTAATGCTATTTGGGCTACCCCCAGCCTTAGATGCTTTTACTCTCAAATTTTTCTTCGACCCGTTCAAATGCCTTAAAGACATATCTAATCTATCATTACAGTATCTTGCCTCAGCCCTACTGACAAAAGAAGTATTCTCCGAATATCTGCGTTTATCTGACCGCCTCAATGCATAATCAAGTTGAGGTTCTTTCCAGAATCTTGCTGTCTGATGAACAGGTCTGCAATTATCATTTGTAAAGCACCCGTTTCCATCTTCATGATCTATAACCTCTCTATCAGTGGTATCACAAAAGTAGGTTTCCGCTCTTGGGGAAGTGCAACCATCTAAATCTCCAGTTTCAATTCCAGACTCCTCGCAGCTTACAGTATTGTTCATTTCCCCATCAAGATTCAAGGAGCCTTCTTCTTCCCTTGATAAATTTGGCAGCATCGCTTTATCACTAAATTTTGGATCCTTCTGCTCTTTTTCTAGTTCTTTTTCCTTCAACCTCTCCTTTCTACGAAGTTTTTTTTCCCTTTCTTTTGTTCTTTTCCTTTCTTTTCGCTCCTCTTCTTCACGCTTTTCTTTCTCTTCTTCCTCCAGAAGTTTCTTCTGCAATTGTTAAGACAACGGAGTTGTTGAACAAAATAAGTGTAAAATATCTTGTTAAATTGAGTACTGTAAATAAATAAAAAAAAAAAAAAAAAAAAACCCAATCAAGATATCAAACAAAACCTGCTTCTCCAAGGTGACAATTTCCTTGCAGGCAATATGAACACGTTGCTCTAATAGTTTCGATGAAAGGCAGACAAATATACTGTGTGCATTTTGACGGGCTGTACCTTCCCTAAATGCCTTTTCAACCTGAGATATTATTATGAATAGATAGCAATGAATACACCTAAACACAACACAAAATAAAAATTCCTGGATACGAACTTAGAGGATTCTATAACAAACCTGCTCCTTGAAAATAACCGCTGCAGCATCTAGAAGAAACTCTCGCGCAAGTTCTGGACTCTTAGCGTGCTTTTGTGGACGCGGGCACTCACCATCAAGCTCATTCCCATCTTTGTCTACCATGACTTCATCCTTAAATAGCATCGGCAAATATTTTAACAAGGAAATATCATATCTGCAAAAGTATTTGAAGGCTTTCAGCCACAAAGCTTGTGAATATTTAATTTACCTCTTCTTCCTCGGCCTCTTCAGCATGCTCAAAAAACATTCGGATGCATTCCCCTCGTTTGATTGAAACAAAGCCATCTCCAACCACAAGCTTGGAGTGAACGCATTGTTGGCCTCTCAATGCATGGGCTTTGACGGATATCTCGGAGGAGCGGCCATTTTTTTTAAATGCCCTGAGAGTAATGTAGCATTCGTGTAATCCACGAAGGTCTAGGCCATTGACTTGGGCACTCCCATCATTGCCAACACACTTGAACTCGAGGATATCAGATTCGCCTTCTTCAGTTCCAATTGCCCACTCGAAATGATGATATCCCGCGTTCTGTGTAAAATATTGACTCCAATCTGCTCGGACGGAATCAATGTCCACCTGAGAAATTGGAATTACACTTCTCATTCTACCTTTCAATATAAGCCACTCAGGTATATTGGTAAACTATGCTCTTGAAAACCAGTGTTCTTGTAGCATAGGCTAGGAATCCAAAAAATAAGAGGAAAAGGTTAAGAGAGATAAGGACCTCATACTGAAAGGCTGTATCGGCAACACAAAACCAGTCGGTACATCGTGGTTCTCTTTGCATTCTTTTATGTTCCTTAAGCAATTTAAACTCCCGAATAACATTTCTTCTGCAGTCTCTACAAAACTTCTTGCAGTCGAATCTATAACTTAAAAAGGTCAGCATATAATTTGATGAACGGGAAAAAAAGTCACAAGACCATATAACGTATAAAAAGATACATACGAAACTAAGTAATGCATGCAATGTAGGCACATCCTCAAAGTCCAAAATGCTAAATCCATAATAAATTTTCAATTTAAAATATGGTAACTTAAGTGGTATGAGTTCATAATACACCCTAATTGGAGAAACCAGATCATATCTCAAACGCTTTCTCAACCGAACTTGTGACAGAACATTCAAGAATACTGAATCAGCAAATAACAAACCTGTTAGTTAGTCTTTCTATGAAATCCTCTTCTTTCATTCTCAAAAGTGACTGTCGACTATCCTCTTCAAGTGCGGACCAAAAATCCACTAAAGTATCACAAGAGAGCCTCGTGATATGCAAAGCACATGTTTCTCTTGTTCCATGACCTTTACCATAACCAGTCATCCCTTGACTTATCCATACCCGACCTCCACCACCACAAGCAACGGGATAGAGCAACTCACGTTCCCTCTCTCGAGCACGGGCACTCTCAAACACCTGCTACAGCCAATAGATTAGCTAGCTAAACTGAACCGACCTGACCGAGAATAGGGAAACCTTGGATGAACTTACAGTGTGAAGCCCTTTATAAGATTTCGCATACAAATAGCAGTCAAGAAGTGTGAGTGATCCATCGCGTGTTGTGGTGAGGCCTCCCCATTGATGAACAGCGGGGTCTTGCAACGCAACGGTACATCTGCTACTGACAACTGAGTTACAGTCAATTTGATCTTTTGAAGCTCCTGATCTGTTGCACGGAAGATTTCCTATTGATCCTTTTTGTTGCAAGGACCTCCCAAATGAAACAATCTGCAAGAAGCTTTCAAGCAGAAGCCCGTTGCATCTGGAACAGCACATGTTCTTGCGAGCTTGCTCAAAGAGAGCTTGCTTGTCAATCCTGAGTAGCTCCTGCCTAGCTTTCGGCGACAGCTCACTCCAGAACTGTATAAGAGTTCAAACAAATTGGTTTCGAGTGTATTTAACATCATGCTCAGTGAAAAAGAATTACGAGGGGAAAACATGAATGCGCACAAGTCCCCTGTTTGACTAGATTTCCAGGTCTATTAATTAAGACATCAACTTCCAAGGATACATGGTTTTTTAAAGTATCAATGCTCGCAAAAATAAGGTTTTCGATTGATTTGATTCATCAAGAAGGGTTTGATGGGCATCATCTAAACTCAAATATCATTTCAGAACACAGATTCGGGTTTGCTAAATTCTCGAGCAAATCAACAACACTCATCAAAAGTACCTCAACACCAATAAGAAAAAGCTGAAAGGCAACGATCGAATCTGAGCTAAATTCAACGTCAAAAATCGGAGAATCCAATCAAAAAACGAGTTATAAGAAAAGTAGAGAAGTACCTTGTGCAACTGATTGTAGCTGACTCCATCGACGTCCTTGGACCAAAACCCAGAAGAGCAATGTTCATTCCTCTGTGCTAAACCCGGCATCTTTTTACACTCGTCTGTGTTCATCAATCAATGATTCCATAACCGCCTCCCATACGGGCGCAGGCTAAAAACTCAAACGAGAAGCGAATCAAGATTCCGCTGAATCGGAAAACGAAATCACGATAAAAATTTCCAATCGGAAAAGTGAGGAAAGCATTCGATCGAGATCCTATGGTATGCCGAATTGGGTAATCCTGAAAACCCAATTACGATATCTTTCCGGATTACGTCTTCTCGAATCCCAAAACGAAAGGAATCGAATCAAATTTGGATTGGATTGGATTGGAAAGAGACGCGAAACAAAGTTCTTCGGGCGATGACAATGAGATTTGCAGCTAAGTATATATTATAGGAGAGAGAGAGACAGTAAAAGAGGGGAAGGGTCGTTAAAAAGTTTAAAAAAAAAAAAAAACTTAAAATATGCAGAGATATCTTTCTTTTATATTTGGGTAAATATATTTTTTTTCAATGAGCTCATTATTAATTCATTTTTGTTTGTTCGGAAAAAGGGATGATTATTATTATTTTTGACAAAAAAGGATGATTATTATTTATTATTATTATTGAAAAAAATGGATTATTGTTTTTTTGTTAAAAACTGATTGGTATATCTGAGCAACGGATCCTAAGCACCTTTTTTGGGCATAGTATGAAAATTTGAGATAATCGTTTTTTATGTGAATATTTTAGATATGTTATTTACAGTTATGGTTATAGTGTGGTTTGTTTCGCGGACTTCAGCTTCATACGACAAGGGAATTTGTGGGTCATGTCCGGATGTCGTCATTATGTTTAATTCTCACTTGTTTTATTCATGCTTTGAGAACTGATATGTAGTATATATGTGATGATATAAGAAACTTATAAGATTACTATATTGCACATTATAGAACAGTTAACTCACACATTTTATTTCTGTTCTTATCGTGTACTATGAAAAGTTTATGTATCTCATTCCATATTGAGGCACATGCCTCTAAGATGGCGCTTGTCTAGTTAAAACAAAAATGAAAGCAACCAATGACATATCAATCTTCATTCCATAATATTCTGAAAACTAATTTGCTATTTCTTGCATTGACTCCTCACAACAGTGAAAGTGTTGATTCAGAATTCGATTCAAGGCTTAAAATACAAATAAGAAAGAGGGCTTTAATCCAATGAAAAATATAAGTTACATTCGATAAAATAACAACAACTTATAAACAAGAATCAGAGTTATTTGAACAGAAAAGAGAGCAAAAGAGCCATAACAAATTAACAATAACAACAACAACAAAAATAAGAGAAATGGTAAATTGGTTATTTAGGAGGCAGACTCAGGACCGGCCGGTTTAGAGTTAAGAAGAGGCTGAAGTGCCTTGACAACGATGGTCATGTTTGGTCGGAAGTCTGCCTCGTACTGAACACACAAAGCCGCCACGGCTGCCAACTGTCCGATCACCCACAGATAAAATTCAACATTACAAAACAAAACGAAAAAGATCCTTAGCCACCAACTTGGAATAGATCATGTCCCTAGTTTCAATATAAGACGGGGAAAAAAAATTCTAAATGCATTCATACACTCAACGTAACTCATTCTCAGTATATACAAATGTTAGAGTTCAACATCCCAAATAAGAAAAAAAAAACTAAATTAGTATATGAACAACATATAATTTTATTTACTGTCAATCAGTTTTGCATTTGAAAGCCATGAAGCTTAGCATAAAACATGTGGTTTCTATGGAAGTTTTTACAAACGAAATCATCTCTAAATGATCTACATGCCGAAAGTTTTCTATATTGTAAGATAACTAGGATTGCGTATAGCGATTTCATAGTTAAAGGTCTATAAGTTATGATACCAATCATCGAAATATCTTATTATTTGACAAAAGAAAATGTAGGACGGACCTTGGCGACTGCTTTGGGAGGGAAGTCATTGTTAAGCTTAGGATCTATGCATTGTTTGACTTTGTCTTCACTTAGTCTCGGAGTTGCCTGCAAAAAACATGCCAATAGTAAGAGAGTTATGGATCCTTTTTCGAATATAATATATATATATATATATATATATATATATATATATTACTTTGATTTGTGTACGTACCCAAGTAACAAGACTTTGTTGGCCTTTAGGCATGGTATGATCTACGGGTTTTCTTCCCGTCAAGAGCTCCAAAAGCACAACACCAAAACTGTACACATCACTCTTCTGTGTTATCTGCCCCGTCATAGCATACCTAAGCCAAAAACACTCTTTACGTTATTTTCTCAAGAACAATCTGATTGTTATAAACGCAAGCAAATACTTATGTATTAGCTAGTTCTAATAGTTGGTTTATTTAATAATTTATTTATGTTATTAAAAACATGTTTTGTGTAAACTGTAAACGCATAATTGCGATTGACATATGCATTTACAGATTCACAGTTTCCAAAAGAATTTTGATAATAGAGTACTATGTGTATGTGAGGTAATATAAAGACATGAATTAATGGGGTTTATGGTATAATACTCAGGAGCGTGATAGCCGAAGGTTCCCAAGACACGAGTAGAGTGAAGCCTAGCCGCAGTATCGGAGGATGCGTTGGTCAAGTTGAAATCAGCCATTTTGGCCACAAAGTCATTAAACAACAAGACATTGCTCGACCTCACGTCCCTGTGGACAATTGGTGGCTGGACCTTCTCGTGAAGGAACTCAAGCCCCTTGGCTGCTCCATACGCGATCTTCACCCTTTGGTTCCAGTTCAGTACCGGCCCTGGCTCAGCCCCTTGCACGCCCTTTCTCCCTAAAGATTCGATTCATATATGTATGTATATATCACAAAGATACTATATATGAACTAAAACATGAGTTAGTAGTGAGAGAGTTGAATTATTAAAGTACCGTGTAATACATCGTGTAAAGAACCTTTGGTTGCAAACTCGTAGATGAGAATGCGGTTATTTGCTTCCAAGCAGTAACCCATCAACTCCACAAAATGTTCGTGTTTGAGCCGTGATACCACCGATAACTTGCCATTTTAAATTTATAGAAATTACATATTAGACTAGAAAACACCATTAAGAATGAGATTGATCTACTCGGTGATACAGTCCACAAAATAAATAGAAGATTGATTGGAGTTTGGCTAACTGTGGACAGATTGATCAAATTTTAGCTCCTAAGGGAGCAAATGACAGAAGATTGATAGATATTTGGCCTATAGGGAGTGTAGAAGAAGCTTGATGGGATTTGATGAGTACCTGTGATGTGAAATCTGAGTCAGGTTCTTCAGAAGAACTAGCGTCAAGCTTCTTGATAGCAACATCATTGCCCTTATACTTGCCGTAGAAGACACGACCATAAGAACCTTCACCAATCAATGCCTTGTTGCCGAAGTTACCAGCCATTCTGTTTAACTCATCCAATGCAACAGCTGGGATCTCTATGGGTAAAACCTTTGCAGGAGCTCCCGATCTCGGTGCGTTCGGATTCCTCGGCTCTCCTCTATTTCCGCCTATTCACACAAACGCGGAACGCCAGAACGCAAACGCTCGTGATGAAACTCAGCACATGTATAAAGAAGGGATTAGTGGTGATTTGAAGAATATAAGGATTTTACCGCCAAAATTGGGATTTCCGGCCTTGTTAGGAGGGGCCGCATACTGGTTTGCGGGCGGACCGGCGGGTTCCTCATCCGCACCACCGCAACAGAACATATTTTCAGATCTTTTGGACAAACACGTGTGTTTTTGTCTTTGTGTTTCGGTTCTGTTTTTGCCAATCTCTGTTTTATCTGTTAATAATATCTGGTAATGTGTATTAATATTATGCAATATCTTTCACAACAATAATTGCACAATATAGTTTCAGATCATGTCACGATTGTGATAATGCAGAACAGAAATGGACAATCTTGTGGAATCGTTCATGGTAAAAGAAGATCGAAGAGATGAATGATTGTTACCTCGATCCTGCCATTGAATAAGCTCCAGAAAAATGATGAAGATGATGATGATGATGATGAGAGTGAAAACTTTAGATAACCACAAACGATCTGTTTCTAAGAACTTTGAATTATATTATGTTTGATTTCTGGGGAAATAATCAACGAGCCTGAAGTTTTTTTTGTTTTTTGTTGGAAATCTGCAAGTTTGATAAAAAAGAAATTAAATTTTCTTATTTGGGTTTTCTCAGAATTCTCTCTGTTTCTCTGTTCCGCGATAAAGTCGGGAGCAAAAAACACATTCGCTTATTAATTTTTTGTTATTAAATTAGTTTAATATAACCAACGTAGGAAATGTTAAGTGTTGCCTTCACGTCTTGCACGTCCTCTCCGGTTACCATACTACTATAATTTATCTTTGTAAGCATTCGTATTTCTAATTCCTAACATATTATTTCGTCGATTCCATAGTTTATCTTATCATTTTGGAACGTAAAATGTCTTTCTTGACATTTGACGTGAATCTCTTAAATCCAACACTCAAATGAGTAACTATCAGTGACTGAGCAATATGATGAAGAAGAGCATGAATCATACTGAATGATAAGAACAATTTGATCCAAGAAGAGAACCGAAAAACGAAAAAGCACTCGTCTTCTTTATCTTTCCAACGAAACAGGAAAATTTGAAAGACAGAGTTTGTAATATTGAAAAAGAACAGAATATTTCAACCGATCATGGGAGATTTTCATCTCATAGCTACAGAACAAAAAACAGTTGAAGAAAACCCTCCCAGAAAATTTGTCCCATATGTTGAAAAAAAGCTCTCAAGACTGCTATGTACATCCATCCGTTTCTCAGTTCAATCAAAATCATCAACTTGAGCTTATTTCTTTCTTCTCTTCTTATTCCCCATTTTGCTTTGGGACCATGAATCAATCATCATATTATTGTTATCAGCTATTCTTCTTTCCAAATCCGTCCGGTGACTCGTAACTTGAGCTCTTCTTTGTCACTGCCGGAGAAGTACAAAGCCAAGTTTCTAGGGATGATGAGTCCGTCCTGACTGTCACGGACTTTCCTGTGACTGTCTCTGATGCTTCTTGGAATCCCTTGCCATGTCAGTTTACGGCTGTGAGCTCCAACTTCCAAGCTGTAACTGAACTTCTTAGCCTCGTTCTCGTCTCCCATGAACCTTAGAAATGCCATGTACACTGGTGCCATCCCCAGCTGAAACGCCTCAAAGTGCAAGCAGAATTGTCTTCCAAAACAGTTGAACACCTAATGAACCAGCGTCACATGAAAAAACATTCATTTCAGGTAGTGAAAAACGCCTCAAAGAAACCATGAACCTCATCTTTGATCACTAACTCTGTTTCAAGATATATGTATAGCAAACAGTATGTGATATGGACGAGATTTTGATAATGACTAATTAGCTACAAGGGAATGAATTAATATAGAATTACCGTAAGCATCCATGTAGCATTCTCAACCTCGTGCGGATTTGACTTGACATAACGGTGGTTGAAGGTGCAGCCATCATGCATATCGACTTTATGATCATCTTTGAGATGGTCAACAAGGGTTGGGATATCTCCCGTCACTGAGCACTCAGAACCAGCGTAAGGACAGTTGTAGGATCGAAACCTGCAATGCTGCTCGTGCTTGAGCTTGCTGTAGTATGGAAAAATGTCATGACACCCTAAGTTTTGGTACCGGCATGGAACTTCCAGTGATTCCGCAACCTTCTCAAGCGCCAAGCATCTTATGTTGCCAAGCTCATAACGGCACGTAGGGCACGTGTTCTGCACTCTCAGTTTGCAGCTTGAACACAATGTGTGGCCATTAGGGCACTGTATAGCAAATTATAGATGGCAACATTAAATAAACAAAGAAAGAATTAACAAAAGTGACTACAGCATAAAGAAAAAGTAACACACCTGATGAATTGGAGGATACATCAGATTTGTACAAACGAGACATTCGAGGAGCTCATAAACACCATTGCTCGAATGGATCCCATATTTTCCAAAGGAGCCACTTCCTGATTTTGCTGGTTTGTTATTAGCCTCCACTTTAGCCATCTTAACCTCGTAATCTAAGCCTGTCGAGTTAGATTCTAGGGCTTCTTTCAAAGCACTGCCACTAGGAGCCATGGAGACCCAAAACGTTCTTTATTTCTATTAGCAATCAAGTAAAATCCGGTTGTCCTTCTGCAGGAAAAGAAACAATGGCCAATGTAAGCTTATATACTTGAGAAAGTAAAATTTAACAGTTCACCAAAAAACCTCGAAAAAAATGAAGTAAATGTTATCATAGGCAAGCAGGTAACATGTTGTTCAATAATTGAGGAAAAGTAGGTTGGGAGGTAGATACTAGGTTCACTTGAACAAGTTTCTTCTATAATTTCCGGAAAATAAGATCAATGATAATCTATTAACAGTACACTATATTGCAAATCAAGTCCAACCTTATCAAAATTAGTTAGCCACTTCGTTCGGAAAAAATGTAGCAATTGGGAACTATTGTGAGTATGTTTATTCCCATTCAGCTGAAAATTGCAAACACCTCTCTTTCCCCGAGCCCATTTCGTGGATTCTTCACAATCCTTTCAAAACTGCTAAGAGTATAAACAGTTATGTAACAGGTTAGGCCTTTGATAATGAAGAATGAGGTTAATCTAGCAACAGGCCATCAAGTTATGAACAATGCTGAACCTTACAAGCTAGAATTATTGTTCTCAACCATCAAGAAATAGAGTCTTCAAATGAAATAGTCTGTTTCCTTTGCAGCATATACTTTTCAAAACTAACTAGACAAAAGAGAAAGAGGTCCAAAGATGAATTAAGACAAGTAGAACAAACATCAGATTGAATATTGTTAACCCTACAGATAAGTTCAAACACAAGATCCCAAACATGGAGGAGGAAAAAAACACTCAGAATTTCAAAATGGATAGCAAATTTTGAATTTTGAAATCAAATAAGTTGGGCAAGACCAAACTGAAGCTAAAGTCAAGATAAATGATTAACGAAATGCAACAACAACCAAAAAAACTGAGAAGTGAGAAGATGAACAGAACCATCGAAACAAAAAGACTGCCCAGATTCGTCGCAGTATGCCTCTTGAGATTTAAATTAAGCACCACGAACGAATTTGCAATACATAGACAAAAAACCTATATCTCAATTCCCTGTTTCATGCTAAATTCTCGATTCAGAAAGAAACCTGATTTTAGACCCAGAGAAGGAAAAAATCCCAACTTGGGATGAAACAAGAAATAAATAGAGAGAGAGAGAGAGAGAAAAAAAAACAAACTTTACCTCTCGGGAAGAAAATATTTTCCGAGGCGTGGCGGTGGCGGTCGAGCTATCGAGATTTTGCTACAGATTCACATGAAGAGGTTGAAGAAGAAGAAGAAGAAGAAGAAAATCGAGGCTGCGAAGAAGAAGAAGAAGAAAATCGAGGCTGCGAAGAAGAAGAAACGCGGATTACCAAGATACGAAATTAAGATGGTTGTGTCGTGTCTTGTTGTTGGTATCGATGAAATCCATTAATGGTGCTCTGTTTTTTTATCTTTATTACACTTTTCAAATGCGAATCACAAAAATTCACCAAGGTTGTTCCTTTTTGGTCCCTTTTTCCATTCCTTAAATATTCTTATGATTTTTTTCAAATTTATTTACCAACCTTCTCAATCAGATTTAGTGAGATTTGCATTCTATTTATATCAGTATTTTCTACGCTCTGATTGGATTCAAATATTACATATGGATTGATAAGATATAAATCAATGTAGATATCAATAATGATTTATGTCACTATATATGTTAAGTAATCTTTTATTAATAAGATCCAACAAATTTATTGTTTGTTATAACAAATATTATATTCACATAATTCCTGCTACATGTATCTTGGTTACTCCAGCAACAACTTTTTTTATAATTAATTTCGTTAAATATTTTGAAACTTTTAGTTTTCATTCATTATACTGTATATTGAAACTTAATCTAACTAACTAGATTCTAACCCCGTGCATCTGCATGGGAATATTTTTTATTGTTTAACGAAGATATAATATAATTTGTGTTTTTGAGTTTAGATATAATTATTTTTATAAATATATTTTTTAATAAGCAAAAATATTGATTGTTGTGTTTAGATATATTTTATAGTATTAAAATTAATTATGATTATAAAAATATAATTTTAACCCGTCCGCTAATATTAATTCAAAATGAACTATTATAAAAACATAATTCTAATTTTTCTGTTCATATTCCCGTATAATATAAATATTTGTTAAAAGTTTGAAATGTATTAACAGTATTATTTAGCATTATAGTTTTCTAAAATTTAATCAAGAAGAGAGTGTACAACTGGTTTTTGAAACACATTATAGTGTATGCAATAATTTTTAATTTTTTATGTTTTAATTTTGTATGAAAAATATATTTTTGATATACATGTATAATTCAAAATTAGTGATATTAGTTACCAAAATATTTTTAACCCAGTTTTTTATATATATTTTTAGTTCTATAAATTTTAAAATATATATTTTTAATATTTAAATTATACATTTGGATTTTACCTATTATTTTATTATTAATTTGTAAATAAATCATAATCATAAATATATTATATAAACAACATAAATATCATATCATTTACATCATTATAAATATTTTATATTTCAAATATGATCATTATTTTTTATATGTAAATTTTTTTTCCAAAAATTCTAGATATTTTTGATAAAAATGTTTAATAGTATAGAAATTATTTAAATTAGAATCTTTAAATCAAATCTAAATTAATATCTGATTTATTATTTTTAATCAAATCAAATCAAATCTAAATTACCTATATATTTAAGGAACTCTAAAAATATTTAAATTAATAACTAATTTTCGAAATTAAATATAAATAATTATTAAAATTATTTTTAAATACTTAAAAAAAAATTAGGAGTGTTTGGAAGCAAATACTAAATGTGCTTCTGTTTTAATATAATAAATACAAGTATAATGTAAATAACACGCTATTGATATGGCCGATTGAACTACTTGATTAAGAATATGTTTTGATAATTCAATCAAAACTATTCAAACTGTATACGATTATATAAAGATATTACTACTCTTAAAAAAGGTTTAGGGTTTAACTCAGCTTTCGTTTATGTGTTTTTAGGGAACTTTTGATTTCGAATTAAAATCAAACTTTTGGACAACAAAAAGCAAGAAAGTTACAGTATACCAAAGCAATCCAAACTAATTTTTGTATCTTAATGGCTCTTGGGCTCGTACATGGAACAGCGGGACATGGTTGACCCCACATCCTCTCAGCGGCCGATAACTATTTTATTCAAAAATTTTCGATATATTTCACGTTGTTAGCTTCAAAAATGTTGCTCTCTTTTGATTTATTTTTCTTAAAAACTTAGTGAAATATAGATGATGTCAAGCCCTAATCATAGACTAACATACAAGGAAAGAGTATTGAGCAAGGAAACTATATTCATAAAGCAAACACAAACCAAAATCATACATATGCTTCAGTTTTTTTACCCAAAAAAACAAAAACAAAAACCAAAACGCCTTGCACATGATTACTAGCTAACTTTGGGTACATCTTTCTGAGAGACATCTTTGTAAGTTGGTGCTCCCATGATAACTTTACACATTTGAAACAATTTTGGAATCCTTCTGATTTTTTTAATCATGTTATTGAAATTCTCATACACGAATCTCTTCAAAACTGCACAATTTCTGACAAAGTATATTGGTAGGTTCATCTTATTTGGTTGGTGTAAAAAGCTAAACATACTCGAGAAAGAAAACATTCAGGCACATATAAAATTTTCATTTTATCTCATTTCTCAAGAATTAAATTCCAACACGATAGTTTGTATATGCACCAACCAAATACAGGTTGGTTTTATCAAAAAAAAATCAAGAAAAGTTGCAACAATTCCTAAAAAAATGATGAACGAATCATCCAAACAAACCAAGTTAGGAACTGATGCATCAGTTCTAATTTGGAGAAACAACGGATTACCTTGAGAGTTCGAGCAGAGCTGATTGATCACTTCACAAATGGTAGATATCCTAATGAGAAAATTATGGATCATAACTATTTTGAAGGATCATCATAGTCCACATCAAAGAAAACATCAATGTTCACCTTTGCATAATATGAACCAATATTGTGCATTTTGAAGCTTGTAGATTGATAACGACTGATACTCATATACTCAAGACTTAGAGCATCAATTACAACTTTAAGATCAACTTGGTGTTCATTTTCTTCACATTCATTAGAGCAGCTCCAGTGGTGTAACTGAGCCATAGTCTCTTTAGAATTTTTTAATCATTTATTGTATTATTTAATAATTTATTTGAGAAAATGATGTGTGGGAAGAGATTCAACTTTGCAAAAATTTCTACTTTGCAAAAATTTCTTCCAAATTTCGACGAACCCTAATTTACTCTAATCGAATTTAAAACCGTCAATCAGAGGAGTAATCAGATTGTTACCTGGAAATGTCAACTGAACTGGATATCCGCCGAGTTTTACATCATCGGAGCCTATTTGAACCTCTGATTTGACATCCGCCAAGCGAAATCGCCGTTGCGATCGAGAGAAAAGAGAGAGCTCATTTTTTTTTGCCCGATAAAAGAGAAATGATTTTCTCTCCCCATAAAAATTTCATTCGCAAAAAAAATAAACGGCCAATACCGTTCGTCCACGTCATCAACAAGACCGTCTCGTCCGCCCCGTCGCCAAGGATCGATTTGTCGAAAATTTTGGGCTTTTCAATTATTTTTAATCCACTTTCCCTAGGTTTCTAGGGCAAAAATGCTTAATGAGACTCTGATGGAGCTGGTCTTACCACATGTAAATTCTAATTCGAAGCTTTTTAATAATTGAGAGTGTACACAAACAACTTCTACATAATCATCAGAATGTGTGACTATAATTGATTAATTCTTTGAGAATCGAACAACTTAACATGAGAGTTCATAAAATCTTTTTTCCGTCAAATTTGATAGTTTCTAGATGCATATTTTTGACATGAGGTAAATTTACCAATGTTTCACATGAATAAAGAGAGAAGCATTCTAACGACTGCTTCCTCACTATCTATCGAGTTAGACGATAAACTCTACGTTTAACCGCATCACTAATCCGCCACACAAAATCACAATCAGAATGACAATGTTCAAAAGCATATCATAGATCATAGGTAGTGTATTTGTGTAAATTGCAAGAACATACTTTCAGCTCTAAATTGTTCGTTAAAACAGATTTCTTAGCAACTAAACTATCGTAAATTATAAGTCAAAAATTTTCATATGAAAAAAAAAACTTTAAAAAATTTTACTTACATGTTCGAGAAAACCACAAAAGAAAATAACTAGTTTGTCGATCTTTGGCTTAATATGACATGCCAGCACATTCCCACCTATTTCTATGAGTGAAACATTGTCGTTCCTCTCTTTTATTATTATTATTAAATTTGTAATACTAAACAAATATAATACGATCTATCTTCATTGATAAACAAATGTTAACATGATCACAAACAATGCTTAATTATATATGGTATTAAAATAATTCTTGGATCATGTTGTAAATGTGAATTAGTTATTATATATAACTCGATCTATCTTTTGAACAGTGATAAAAACACGAATAGTCCTCCGAGTTAGCTCGAAATATTTGACATATTGTCCCTCTTGTACTTGCGAGAGAGATGATGGGGAAATAGTGATAAACAAAAAACAAAGAGGATGATAAACAGAAGAAAACAAAAATAATGAGGGGAGAAAGAGAAAGATGTGAAAAAAAGGGACCCAACGATGAAAGGATAAAACTTCTTCCCCCACCCACTCCCTCTCGTCCAAGCTGGCATCGGTCATCGATGAGAGAGAGAGGGTAGCACGCCACCGATTACCCCCTATCCCGGTTTCCCCGCACGTGCGCCATCCACTCTCCACGTGCCTCCTTCCTATACTATTTATTATTCTCTCTCTTTTCTTTTATCTATCAAATTCCACCTAAAAAATTCATCCACATTTCCAAAAAAAAAGTTATCTCAGGACCGTTAATTTTCAATGTTTGAATCGCTTCTTTTAGCTCTATACATTGGTGCATGCGTAACTACTTTTATTCACATTCACATTCATATAATATCAATCTCCAATATTCACATTCATGAGATTCTTGGTTTTGTCAAGAATCTCAAATATATACAAACACTTGTTGTTGTCAAAACAGAAAATATAAACACTTGTTAACATGTGTAACGGTTTAAAAACTACTCCCTCCGTTTTATATTAGTTGTCGTTTTAGAAAATTTAGTTTGTTTTAAATTAGTTGTCGTTTTCAGTTTTTAATGTAACATTTATTAGTTTTTATTTTTTATAATCATTTTTATTATGTAATATGTTTTATTATTAGTTAAATTGTATTTAAGTAGATAATTAATGATGTTTTTATATTGAAAAACTAATACAATTAATATTTTTTTAATCTGTGTGCATAATCTTAAAACGACAACTAAATAAATTCGGAGGAAGTACACTCGAGTTAACTTTCTCCAATGTTAATTAGGAATTATTAAAAAACCAAAAAAGAACTTTCTCCAATGTTTTATACGTGAAATAATTTGACATGATATAGTTATGTAAAATATCTCATATATTTTTGTATATATATATATATAATCATGTTATGTAAAAAAAAATCACGTCATCTAATACAAATTTCAAAAACTTAATCCTACTGGTTGAATTAGTTTAAGATTCAACTAGTTACCCAATAATAACACACCAAAATCAGTATCCAGTTTACGTTTCAAAAAATTGTCAATTAATTTTTTTTTTTTACCAATTATTGCCTTTTGTTTTAAGAAAAGTATTCCATTTTAAGTGATGTTTTTTTATATTTTATTTGTAAAAATTTTACATATACTGCCATTGTCATTGATTCAATTGTGTTTAATTAGACAATGAATAATGTTTTAATTTATGTGTTCTCTTAAAATTTTAAACATCAATTAAAATCAAACAGTGGAGAGTATAAATCTTTTTTTCTTCAAAATAAGTGCTTAAATGCATAGATAAAATGTCCTAGACTAAAAATTAAAAAAAAAAATGCATAGATAAAATGTCAATTAATCTCAGTCATTCCTATATGGACTCTTCCTCTCTCAATTACTACTAAGTTGCTTTTTGGGTGCAACAACAAATAAAAAGTGAGAGAGAGAGATAGAGAACTATCTAGAGAGCATTACCAAGAACAACACAACACCACAAAGCCTTCTGCTTTTATTTATTTCCAAGTCCGTGTAATAATAATAATAAAAAAAAGATTACTCCTACTTTGTTCCTTGTTTATATCTGGGTTTGCTTTGCACTACAGTACTTCTTTTGGTGCAAAGATCCCGAAACGCGAAAAATCAAAAAAGGAAGAATCTTTCTTTCTATTTCTCTCCCGATGAGGATCCGGAAACGACAAGTGCCTCTTCCTCTTTCGTCTCTGTTACCTGTTCCTCTCTCAGATCTCTACTTTAACCTCTCACCGACGGCCACCGCCCGATACTTTTGCGGCGAAGATAGCGACGGTGTTTTTGCTTCTCTTCAGCTTTCCCCCATTTCTGATCGGTTGATTCCAAGTGATGCGACGAGGAAGAAGAAGAAGAAGGAGGAGGAGGATGATAAATCTTTGGTGAGTTTTATTAATATACGTTGAGATTAAATTAGAAACTCCCAATTTCATTTGTAATCGACAGATAAGCAATTTGGATTTTTGGGTGCAGTTTGTGTTGTATGAAAAGACTCTATTTTTAAATTATTTTTTCCTTTTTTTTGGTGTGGAAATAATTGGTTTTAATTGAATTACACTGGAGAATAATTGTTCTTCATTTGCAGATCTTATTTAGTAGAAGGAATGTTCAATTGCTCATCTTCGTTTTCTTTTGTTTTTCTAAAAGGATGATGATGATGATGATGATAATGGTGATGGCGATGCAGACGTGAAGAGTAGTACTGATGCATCGAGCAGGTAAGTAAATTCGATATGAATATTTTGTTCTGCAATTCCTTCTCAATCTCTATTATAAATATTGTGGGTGCAATTACTAATTAGAATTTACAAAGTTGTTGTGAAAGATCAAAGCTTGGAAACATCTGATACAGAAACTGGATCAAAATTTAAACTTGAATGGTTTTAAGAACTAGAAAGCTTTTGTTATATGTGAATAGTATTTTGCAGATGAAATGATCTGAGGCTGGATCTAATCTGAAAACTTGAAAATTCGTTTTTCTTGTCTTATGGTTTGATTATCGTCATTCTTCTCACACCGTAAACATTTGGGAAACACAAGAGTAGTAGTAGTTAGCGATGATGAGTAATTCAATAATACTCTAAACATGCACACCTCATGACGGTGCACGTTAGCATGGGATGCTTTTATACACGAATGGTCCCCATATCGTCAAGCCTTACCTTGTGTGCTCTATTATTATTTTTTAATTTTGTTGCTTGCACTCATAGATCGCTTTCATCTCTTTATACTAAGCTTTTTCTTCCTTCTTGCTTCAAACAATCGCAGCAAGAACGTTAGAGAACCCGAGTCTTCAACACAAGGTACACATAGAGCTTGTTTTTCGGTGAAAATTAAGCTTAATTTTATTCTTTGGTTGTACCATTCATCGTCATTTGTATGTATATGATATATAGTTGTCGAGAAGAATGAAAAGGTTGTGTCTTTGAGAAAAAGGAGAGGCTTTAGAAGCTTCGAGGAACAAGAAGAAGATGAGGAAGAAGAAGAAGCTAGTGGCGGTGGAGGCGGTAATAAAGGGAAGAGGAAAGCGAAAAAGAGTGGTGCGTTAGAGGAAGGATCACGGTGCAGCCGCGTTAACGGTAGAGGATGGAGATGTTGTCAGCAAACGCTTGTTGGTTATTCCCTTTGTGAGCATCATCTTGGTAAAGGAAGGGTTAGGAGCATGAACAAGAGTGCAGGCGGTCGTGGTGGCCAAGGCGGTGGTGGCCGAGGCGGCGAGAAAAAGGCGGTGGTGGTGGAAGTGAAGAAGAAGACGGTGAAGCTTGGGATGGTTAAGGCGCGTTCAATAAGTAGTTTGCTTGGACAAACCAGCACAAGTAGTGGCAATGCTGATGTTGTTGTTGCTAATGTGAGCGAGATAAGTGCACCTACTGATCAGTTTGCTGCTTATGATAAGTAAGTCTGTCGATCAGCATTTACATTTATGTGTGTATATGTTTGTTTTATGTACATGAACATGATGATAATGGACATAGCTCTATGTATTGGGTGTGTGAACATGAGTGTGTAGATTGATCGACTACTTAGTTGACGCTTGCTCTTGATTTTATATATAGAGAGAGATATTGGTGGATTCAATTTCGTTTCAGTAATTAACTAATTAGGTAGTGTAAAATAATTAATTATTGTTGTTTCAACTTTTTTAGCAAAATCATTTGAACTGTTTATCTCGACGATTGTTCACTGCAACTGGTGCAAAATAAATGAAACCCAACGATATGAGTTGTTTATTTCAATTTTAAACCAACATTCTTTAGGAGTATTTGCAAACCAGTTGCAATCTAATCTAAACGTGAAAAACAATTAAAGGATTGAAAGTATATGCAAGGCAGGCCAATAATGGTTAAATACAGCAAAGCAAAAAAATCTGATTTCCATTTGATATATACTATAATAGTTTTAAAAATTTTAGTTATACTTTTTTGTTAGTACTAACACTGTAGACCTTACAATACATTGATCCTTAAGGCTTTCATATATTTCATAAAACTACTTTTGGATTTACGATCAATACAATTTTTGTTGGCATGCCATGTACTATAACATCTATACAGTTTAATGTTCATGTAACGTTTTTTTTATTTGGATTTCTAAGGGGCATTGGACTCGTGTTTCTGATACCGAAGAAAGAAACAAAAATATTAGGACATTCAATCACGTATAGTCACATACTAGAATATACTATTATACGTACGTACTTGGTGTCATGTGCAACATCTGATCTCGGTCGTCTAGAAGGGAGATATTGTTCCCTCGTTCTATGCACTTTTGAAAGGTTTTTGTATTTATGGCAATAAGAGATTAATTATCACGAAAATCCTTTTTACGAGGACAGGCTCAACAACAATGAATGATGCTTGAGAAAATTGATGCACCAACCTAGTTAAACGAAAGAAAGTAAGTTCAATTAAGTAGAGAGCTTGCTAGAATTGGATTATGTTAAACTTCATGTAGCAGTTCAATCGATATGTTATTGTATATTTCTTTCATATACTATGCCTGATGTCATTTTTAACACGACTTTCTGTGGAATGGTTTTGGGGTGCTTATATTATTAGTTGTCTTGTAAATTATATTTGAAAAAGATACGATAATACGGCTAGAAAGTGGGTATAACTTTATTTTGGTGGATTGTGATTGTTTGTATATGTATGGTGGGGATCAATTAATAGTTTTATTAGGTAGGGTAGGGGCTCTCGTATTATCAAACTTTTAAGACCATTTTAGCTGAAATCATCACTATCCTTTCATTAGATATAGATAACGTTTTCGACAACACAACATAAAGGTTGTTACTACTTAAGTAAAATCCCCCATAAGGTTTAGTAACCTAATCACTTGCATGTCCTGTGTTTTCTATTTGATTTCATTGGTTTGTAATTTGTAATTATATTTAGCAACAGTAAGAATTTAGACACGATCGATACTTACCATTGCAACCATATGCCGAGAATAGTGTAAGTTTGAATTTCGCTACTCCGGTTTGGTGCAACGTAAAAGTTATTTTGCTTGGGTTGCAAACTTGCATGAAGACTATTATTGTCTACGATTTTTGTGTATTTGACCATTAATAAAAAAAATTAAGAAACAAAAATTGGATAGTGGACTATTGGGTCGTAAAAGAAAAAAAAAAATCAATAAAGTCTGTTGTTGCGATTGCCATTGGCGGTTCGTAGGAATCTAATGATTACACCCAATAATTTACTTTAATTAGAAGACATGAACAGATTAACTAAGAGAGTATATTAAAGAAACGAGAGTTAAAGAGTTACGACGACTTCGTAGGTCAAAAGCTCAAGTAGTTGACTTCCTAAATTCAACGCGCTTCCTTCAACTTTCTGTAATTTTCATTATCCAAAAACTACTAATTTCCCATCAAATTGCATATTAAGAAAAACCAAATTATTAACCAATCAAAACAACTCAGACTTGAACAATTCAAAGTCAGAGAAGCCTTATATGAATACATATATGATCCAAAACGCAGAAAATTGCTAAATCAAAGAGACAAACTCCAAAGTAGTAATAAATGGAGTACAAACATTTCAGCCATCCACACACTCTTAAACTCCAACAGATTCAGACAAACAAAGCCTCAGATTCTTCAGTTATCTGCTCAGGCTGTGAATCAAACATCTCTGAATCTGAAACCGCATATATCTGTTCAACATGTGACTTCAACCTTCATGAGCAATGTGGAAACGCAGCTCGTGGGATGCAACACCCTTCCCACGCGGGGCTCCACCACTTGACTCTAGTCCCTTACACAACTTACAGCGCCGGTACCTTCCTCTGCAGAGCCTGTGGCTGCATTGGAGGTAAAGGGTTCTCTTACTGTTGTCCTTTGTGTGACTTTGACCTCCATGTTCAATGTGCGCATTTTCCTCAGCTCATGGTTAATGAGTCTCATCCTCTTCATAGCCTTCTTCTTGTCTACAACAGTGCTCCTCCTGCTATGTCTTTTACTCAGTTTCCTGGTTACACCAATCAGCTTCTCTGCAATCTATGTAATGTTGCCATGGATGGTAGGTTTTGGTCTTATAACTGCTATGCTTGTAACTATCATGTTCATGCTTCATGTGCTGTGAATAAGACTAAGACACTGGCTGCTTCTGCTGCTGAGAAGTGTGGGACGAGTGATGAAGGAAAGACAGTGAACGCCAAATCTGTTCTTGGTGAGGGTGTGGAGACTGAGCAGACGGAGCAAGTAGCTGCAACAACAGAGCAAGTGAAAGATCCAGTTTTGAGGCAACAGCTTGAACTTCAGAAGCTTCAGCTTCAGCTAGAATTGAGTTCTGCTCTCGCAAACATGATGGGTTCCTTCAATCTCAGTTCTTTCGTTTGAAGTATGCTTGTGTTGCTTCTATGTTGTTATTGTCAGTTTGTTTTGATTTCATGCATTTACATTTGCCAATTATATGTCTCTGTTCTTGTGTTTTCAGAAGTGCCTTGGTTTGGATTAATAAAAAACTTGTCTTTTGGTTTCTCTTTTTTCTGAAGACCTTGAAGCAACAACAGTTACACGGTGACTAATTACACAAAATGTTGCATTTCACATCTGAATTTTACCGTTTACAACTGGGGCAACTGAAATCAGAAACAGAAATACTTTCTTCAGCCATAACATCTGAAATGAGTTACCTAAAAAAGAAACAATTATCTTCAGTCTTTCCTTTTTTTCATCTGTCCAAGGAATCTCTCACGCAAGCAACTTCATTTTTCATTCTCCGTTAGTCAGCAACGAGGTGTGAAGTGAGAAGACATGGCATAGAAGAATGAATCAAATCCAGAAGCTGCTCCTGTTGGCTGAAGTGAAAAATCGCCCTCATATCAGCTTCGATGACAATGACAAAGTCTCCATGAAGAGGACCACTAATTCTTAATCATCTGAGGACTTTATTAAACCGAGTACATATATGTAGAGAAGAAGGATTGTCAAACCTCGATTCAAGGCTGCAAATGGTAATCAAGAGTGAAGGCACGAATATCTGAAGGACTACTTCCAGGCCTGAGAATGAAGAAAGCATAATCAGTCACGTTAAACCGTAAGTGAAATTGTTGATAGTATCTCTCAACAATCACTCCACACAGTTGGATATTATCTGGAACTGACCTTTTGTTTATCGTACCATAGTGAAACTTTAGCTTGCCGTTTTTCAGATCTTCCAAGTACTGCAAAAGAAAGCCCAAAAACAAGCAAACATGTTTTCAAAAATCTTAGAGACTGGAAAGTGGAGAGAATGAGATTCTTCTGTGTCCATCCATATACTTACCAAATTCAAGGTAACATATATAGATGAAAAAGCCAAGGAATCAAACGGTATCTCGTCTAGTGCAAAAAGACGGCATTCCAATGACTCAGGACCGGGCTCAAAATGTGGGTTCTTTAGTTTTGCTAAGAAAATAACATACGTCTGCTCCAAAAAATAAGTAGCCACATAAGTAGAATGATGAAGAAGTAAGAAAAGAAAACTAGGGATGTTTTGTATGTATATATTTACTTGGCCAATAAGAGGAATGTCGAGTTGCGCAAAAGGTGAGATAACTTCCACAGTGGCTCCTGCTTCTTCCCAAGTTTCCCTCATTGCTCCTTCTGCAGCTGACTCTCCAACTTCTAGATAACCAGCAGGGAGAGTCCTGTGTACTCAAAAAGGTCCATCTTTTAATCATATAACTTAACACACAACACCAAAACAAAACTCTTTAACATTTCTTCGTATTGTTTCACATAGAATTTGTACTCAAAACAATAAAAAGAAGAAAAGGTTTTTAATTTGCATTATTACCATAGACCGTGTGAAGGTTGAATGTTACGCTTGCAAAGTAAAACCTTTTCTTCATGCTCTATAAGGCATCCTACAACCTGCAATTTCACATAAGAATCTTCACATCAAACGAATCATGATGACACAAATAAATTGTTCGAAGAATCAAAAACTTTACCATCTTAGGATTCTGGTAAGCGATTTTGTCGCAATGTGTGCAAATGGCTCTCAATTTCTCTTCTCCATCAGGTATCTCGTGCTTCGTAGGCCCTCCACACCATTGACAGAACTTTATCTTACGAACATCTCCCTGAAACAAGAGAAAGATAGCAATGAAGAAGGGACCAAAATAGCCCCTAAAGATCTCTGGGAGGAGATGATTAGACTCACAGCTGATTGAACAGAGGTGGAAGTCGGAGAATTGGGAACTGGGTCGGACCCGGGTCGTGAGGAAAACATACGGGTCGGGTTGAAACAGAGGATTCTACTCCGAGGAGAGCTCGAAGTGAAAGTGGAGAGATTGAGATGGTTTATAGATGTGGAGATGAAAGAGACGCTCGAGGAGGACTTGCGGGTCTTGGTCAATCTCTGTGAGATGTTTAACCCTGTTGACCAACCCAAGATCTGGACGGCCTTGAGCATTATACGCACGCCGGAGTTTCTTCAAAAATCCGGCGTCAATGACTGTTCTCCCTCGCTGGCCAATCAATCTCGTCCGAAAATTTTGACATTTGAGGAGAGAGATCAGATATGGATGTTTGTTGAATGACAAGACTCTGTTAACTTAAGTCAAGATTATTGGTTTCACTTCTTAATTAAGACAAGAAAACCGGTTCGATTTGACCCACTCTGACCAGCTTTAACCGGTTTAGAGACAATAGCACACATCACTTGCAAACTTTAGGACAATAACATTTTGATAATGTAGTAAACTGCTTGATCAGGAATCAGGTCATAAACTCATAATCAAATAACATTTTGGAATATTTTTTATATAGAAATCTGATCATAAGTAATCAAAACATATCTAACTCTTAATCACTCTCCTCTGCTTTCAAGATATCTTAGTTGACTGTAACTTTTCGATTAAAGATTGATAAGCCACAGTGCAGAGCTTGAACTTTGATTCAGCCTCCGCCTGTTATAGTTACAAGAATTAACACAAGAGGAAAATAAAAACACTTAAAATCGAGATTGAAAAAGAGAGGAGAATAAGATTCTTATATACATATTTGTTTACCTTGGTAGAGTCATTATGACGATCTGGATGCCATTTTAATGCACAAGTTCGATACCTGATCCCAAACCAAAAAAACATTTAAGTTAGTTTGATGAGAATCAGATAAAATGAGTGTGTGTTAGCTTTTTGTATATTTGAACATTAAGGTAAAACCAACTCACGCATGTTTGACATCTTCAAGTTTTAAGGGAGCACAAGGACTCAGACCAAGTGTTTGTCTATGAGAAGCTTGGATTGGGTCAGACACTGAGCTACTGGATCTTGATGAACCATAGCCATCTTCTTTTTCTTCCTTCTTTTCTTTCTTTTCTTCCTCTTTTTCTTCTTCATCTTCATCTTCTTCTTCCTCTTCCTCTACTTTTTCGTCTTCTTCTTCTTTTTTGTCATAGAATCTATATTTCGATCTCCACGAGTTCCTAGAGTAATCAGAAAACCATGCAGGGTGATGCCACCATCGACGTTCCTCCTCTTCATAGGTTGAATAATCGAAACCTCGGGGTACACCAAATAAAGATCGGAATACAAAATCAAAATCTTTATCGTCGTAACCATATTGCCCTGCAAAATGTAACACATGTTTTTACTATTAGTATTGTATCAACACAAGAAATTGCACCTTCTGATTCAACAAAGTAGACAACTAAACATTTCCAACAGGATAAGCACATATACTTTTACGCGTAGTACTCTTGGAGCCGTGTTTGCCATTATTCTGCTTTTCTTTGGCTTCTTTGGCTTTTTTGGCTGCCTAATGATAATTACACCATTAAGATACACTTAAGTCATGAACAAGAGACATTACACTAGAGCAAGAAAAAAAAATATGTTACTTTGATTAAAAGAGCAAATACGTGGGTTTTGTGTGTGTTTTCGTCAAGTTTAAGAAACAAAAGTGCTTAAACAAGTTTTGGTAGCGAAAGTGCTTCTTGATGTTTATGTTTCCATCATAGTTTTCTTGTACCTCTTCTCTTTCGCGTTTAAGTTCTTCCACGGCACGACGTATTTTTTCTTGATGTTCCTTCAAAAATTTCTTGGATCTCTTCTTCTTGTTAGGATTTGATTTCTGCCAGAAATTTTTAAAAACCCCAAAAAAATTAGAAGCTGTATTCACACCTGTTCAAACTCTAATTAAAACACCATAGAAAAACACAGTTTTCTGTTTCAGTCTGTCTTGAACATCTAAAATTTGGTAAATATCGAAACATATAGATATACCCACGGAACAAGAAGACGAGGAACGACGTTTGCGTTCCAAGACAGGAGTAGAGTGGAAAAACGCAGTTTTGAGGAGAGAAAAAATAGATTTGCGGTCTGAAAATCGCTGCTTTAGTTGCAGCGTTCATCTTCAGCAGATCTCTCAGACAGTAATACACAACATTGCTTCTTAATCAAATTACGTGACTCGGTCTTGAATCAGCTGGTCGACCAGCAAGAAGTGTTTTTGTTAGAGAACAGAGTGGAGAAGAAAAAAAAATAGAATATTTACTTTTAAAAAATTTGTACTAAAAGAATGAGGAAGGAATGTTACTCAGATTTTTTTGCTTGACCTCCAAGTCCTTTATTCATAAATGCTTATCACCGTGTTGGGCCGGTGTAATTGGGCCTCCAACCCGAGTCGAAGCGGAGATAAACTTGTAATATTTCTACCAATTATACTTTTTTCTTTCTTTTTAAAAATCAAACTGCATTAACATGGTTTCTTAATATAATTCACTCTTAAACAAAATATAACCGGTTCAAAGACAATCGAGGCAAAACAAAAGCAGAGGTGAGATACAAATACACATCACTAGTAAATTAAGAAAGTTTAATAACAAAAAAATGACAGAACAAAGGCATTGTTTGTATCCTGTAGTGCATTGGCTTTTGCCAAAGCTTAGAAATGAACTATTTTGGAAATTATTTGATGAGATATCTCTACGTAATCAAAACCTATCTAACTCTATCTTAGTTCACTGCTAGCTTTTCGCACAAAGATTGATAAGCCACACTGCAGAGCTTGAACTTGGCTTCAGCCGCCTCCTGTTTCAATACATAATCACAAATTCAACAACACATAGGAAAATGAAAATTTAAATGGAGGAGATCATATTAATTACCTTGGTAGACCCTTGATGACGATCAGGATGCCATTTTAATGCACAAGTTCGATATCTGATATCAAGTTTGGCGTAAAGTTGTGAGAAGATGAATGTATAGTTAGCTTTTGTGTGTTAACACGACGAAGTAAAGTACTCACGCATTTTTGACGTCTTTAAGGTTTAATGGACCAGAAGGACTCAGGCCAAGTGCCTGTCTATGAGAAGCTTGGTTTGGCTCAGACTCAGAGTCACTGGATTCTGTTGAAGTATAGCCATCTTCTTCTTCTTCTTCATCCATTCGATGTTTCCATCTCCATGACCTCTTAGAGTTGTTGGAAAACCTTGAAGAGTGATGATGCTGCCATCGAGGTTCATCCTCATCATGGGTGAATGAAAAAGAGAAACCTCGGGATCCACCAAAAGCAGTTCGGAATACATAGTCCACGTCAAAGTCCTCATCAACTTCACAGAAATCGAAGTGCCCTACACAATAAAACAAATTTATTGACACACGAGTATGTAGCCAAACAAAATTGCACCTGTTGATTTTTACAGAATGACAACAATACATTTTTAACGACCAAGCACTTTAGAGTTATGAAAGCATAGTACAGGAACAGGTCACATGTAGAAGAATTGAGTCCACACAATGAGCCACGAATTGCAATAACTATATCAGCCAGTCCAGGAACCTTTCAGGGGATGAGTCTAAGTTTGGGAAACTCCGGGAGTTACTGAACTAAACCAGCTTAAAGCGAACATATACAAACTTCATTGGACTGCCTTTACTTATATTCTCTAGAATTAGTGTTTAATCATTGGAGCTAAACGGAGATAATACATTCACTTACTTTTACCCCAACTCGGGGAGCCGTTTTTGCCATTCCATTTTCCTTTGGGTTCCTTGGAGTACTGCTTTTTGTACCACGAGTTTTGCTTCCGCGAGGGGGGCTCATCGTCATCAAACTCATCATGCCAACTCTGGAATCAAAATGTTAACCGGGGCTCTGAGAGCATAAACAAATGCAACTTTATAGAAAGAGCAATAAGAATCACTAAAAGTCATGCACAAGAAAGACTAAAACCGAGACAACACACTTGCATTTCCCTATCAATAGCGCCAGATTCTTCTACTTTTGGATCACATAATCTTTATATAATATGTTTTGTGTGTTTTCGTGAAGCTCAAACTGTAAACCATATTTGTAAAACATCGAACAAGTGCATAAAACAACAGCCGAGGGCAACAAACCAAACAGCAAAAGTGATATAGCAATAAGCAATAGAAGAAAGAATACCGTAAACATGCTTGACGCAAAAGCATTCACATTACGCAATAATTCTTGCTTTTCCCTCATTCTTCTGAACCTCTTCTTGTGAACATGTGATTTCTGCAGATAAATGAAACCCGAAAATCAGATGATAATATCCTCCTGTTCACACTCTATAAACACTGGTAAAAATGGTCGCAGTTTAGACACGGAAAACATCTCAAACCCCAACATCTTCTTATAAAGAGAAGCCCAGAAAATGGTTCATCGATCCATGTCGATTATCTACACAAACCCGCTTTAGGAACAAACCAAATCAACTGAAAATGACATCTATGAATCCAAAGAAATGCCAAAGCTCGAAAATTTAGCTGGCGGATTCTATCAAAAATCAATTTTTTCGGAAAATAATTAAAAGGGGTGAGAGAGGTAGAGCCTGACCGAATCCCAGGAAGTGCGACGTTTGCGTTCTAAGACAGGAGTAGAATGGAAAAACGCGGTTTTCAGGTGAGAAGACAAGCTTTGTGGTCTGAGAATCGCAGCTCTAACGGCGGCGTACATCTCTGTGAGATCGGGGAGACAAAGAAGATTGCGTCTTTCGCCGTTTTGCAAATCCGATTTGGGCGATGTGACTCGAGCTTGACTCAGTTGGTCGCCGCGCGATAGGGCAGCATTTGATATTTACCGCCGGAAAATAAATAAATAAAAACATTAAGCGGATGAAAAATTACATTTCCATTTTTTTTTACTGTTTATTCTCTCTGCCTCACGGTAAAGTTAATTATCACCGTAAATTGAGCGAAACCACTTGGAAATTAGAAGAATAAACGACTGATTTTGTGTTTCTTTTGGCTATTAGGCTAGTTTTTCTGTTTCCGACCGGAGTATTAAGTTATTTTGTCCGAATAATCATCACAGACACAAAGCAAATTAAAGTGGCTTTATTTTTTGTAAGGATAATGTGTCATTTTATTATACTCTTTGAATTTGTTAGAAATTGAAACTACTCCATTTGATATGCACATGAATTTTTGAATACATATGAATTCTTGTGTATCTGATGTCATAATTCTATATTTTACTGAGAGAATTTTACTTATATTGGTTTGGTACAAATCATGATAGTTATTGTAAGATTGGCTTATAATTTAAATAAGTTATATGATTAAGATTATTAGATATGAGTTGTCACTTATTACCCTATCTGATGACATGCGTTTTTATCTAATTTCATAAAATATATGTAATGTTTTATAGAAAAATATTTTAAATCATTAATCATGTAATCAGTGTAATGAAATCATGTAATCATGTTAGGAGCTCGACAATAAATAGAACCTACGAGCTTCCCGATGATCAAGTGATCACGTTAGGAGCCGAGAGATTCATGTGCCCTGAGGTTATTTTCCAGCCGTCTTTGGCCGGGATTGAATCTCCCGGTATTCACGAGGCGACTCACAACTCGATCCTCAAGTGTGATATTGTTAAGATAAGAGAGGCTTTGTATGGAAACATTGTGTTGAGTGGTGGCACGACGTTGTTTCCCTGGTCTTGCTCAGAGGATGACCAAAGTGATCACTGCGCTTGCACCTGCTGATATGAAGATTAAAAGTTGTGGCTCCTCCGGATAGTAAGTATAGTGTTTGGATTGGAGACTCCCTTTTGGCTTCTCTTCAACAGGTAAAATAACAACATTTTCCAATTATTAACTGTTACTAATTCATTTTTTTCTTTTTTGAACGTCTGTTACTGATTCAGTTAGATTATTTAGTACAGGAAACAAAAGGAAAATCATGTAAAAAAACTGAAGAAAATCATAATCGAACACGATTTTGTTTTAATGTAAATTTGTAATGTATAATAATATTGTGCAGATGTGGTCCATGTGCATGACTAAGGCTGAGTATGACGAACATGGACCGGCAATTGTTCACAAGAAATGCTTCTAAGTTTGTTTTTTGTTTGTTAAAGAATGCTTCTAAGCTTGTTAACATATATGTATATAAAGATTTGTTCTGGTGATGAGCCCCTTCTTTATCAGTTTTGTATAATTGTATATCAAATTAATTCTATTCAAAGAATAGTTTATTTCTTTTATGTTTTTTTTTATCTCTTTCTTTATTTTACCCACGTTTTATACATTAATCTTATTGCAACAATTGCATTTTGTGTCTGTCAATATAATATACAACCATAAAACTTAAAATTTTGGATGGAATCTTCGCAAAATGAAAACACAGAGTATTACCATGAAAGTGATTTGACTATAAGAGTTAATTAAAGAAGATAAAGAAAAATTAAATACTAAATTGTAACGAATGTAAAATTGCGAGTTAAGACGTTGGAGATTCTCGTTTTAAGAAAAACAAAGTTGCAGAAGTTTAAACGACGTCGTTGATGAGACGTCTGTGTCTGTTATAATAATGCCTCTCGATGAAAACTCTCGAAGCTCCTTCCATTGTTTTACGCCATGTCTGAGCAAATGAGCAGAGTATAGAATAAAATTGGTTAATTTTCAAAGAACCAACCAACAAAAAAATAAAGAAAACAAAGATTGGAGCTTTATGTAGATTTGATAGTACCTTGCCAATAGTTCTGACGAGAGACTTGTTCTTGAGATGTGATTTTCCAGAAGCAATCTGCCGGAGAAACAGAGATCGCCGTTTACTCGCCGGAGCAAGCAAGAGCCGTTTCCTCTCCACAAACCCAATAGTGTTGTTTTCGATGTCAACGCCGCCGCTCTCTCGAGAATTCAACTTAGCTGATTTCTTCCGGCGCTTCGTTGACTTTGACTCGTCGTCGACGTCAGGATCTGCGAACTTCTGGAGCAACTCGTCGGAGGATTTCCGGTTCACGTGCTGGATTTGGGCCGAATTAGCTTCTGTGAAAACAACAAGATCCATCGAGAGAGAGAGAGAAATAGAGATAGAGAGAGAAGGAGAGAATTAAAGAGAAGAAGAAGAAGAAGAAGCTAAACTGTGGTTTATAAGGGAAAAGGTTGAAGAAATGCGGGAAAATAGACCGTTAGGGAATATATTATTGGAGATAACAGATAATGCGTTTCCTTATATTATTGAGCTTTTGTAATAAGTGTGGATATAGCCGTTGAGAATAAAGAATGAAAGAGAAAGAGAGTGAGACATTTGCATGAAATTCTGTGTACTATTTTTATCTTTTTTCTTTTTAAGATTATTTTGTTGCAGCCTTTCTCGTTCTTCAGACCAATGACGACGACAACATCTGGTCGGTCTTTTCTGTAAAAAACAAAAAGTAAAAAACTCACGTCCATATTCTTATTATTAAAAGTAAAAAACAAAAAGCCAATTTCTTTCGTTCAGTACAAATCTAGATTTACCACAACGTCGACAAAATATCCGAATGAGACATTGACCAATACAACCATAGATATGATGATAAGCTATTTCTCAAGAAATTACACTTGGTTAGAACTTGGAAATTAAGATTACCACATAGTAGCAACTCAATGTTATGATTAGCTTATTTGAGTGCTAAAGCTAATGGTATGACATTCCAGATTCCTTAGGTTCACCTGAAAAACAACACGATAATTTTCAGATTTTAGCTTTCTGCAATTTATACGAGGACGATCTCTGCTCAAAATTTCAACTCACCGCAACAGCAATACCGGTCTCACAGAATTTAGGAATGCATATCAACCGGACCAGCTGACCTTCCGATCCTGCAACATTAATATTACCCAACATAGTTAAAAGCATTGTTTGACGAAAAAGAAACTATTCTCTTCTTATATAGTAACAAAGTTGTACCTTTTAACAAACGGTTGTCATATTTATCTTGATTCCCAACGAAGTAGACATGAGGGCAGGTTTCAATCAGGAAAGGGTCTCTGTCGGTGAATGGATAACAACCTGTACAGCAGTGAAACAAATCAATGAACTCCAAAAAAAGGAACTTTTGTTCTTTTTCTTTCTCTTGGGGGCTTAGTTCGAAAAAAGTAGTGAATTCTTACCGAGTGTATTAGGTGCAGTGGGAGCAAGATGTCTCCACCTCAGTGTTCTTTCGACAAAATCAAGCTTGCTTTCAGCCTCTGAGTACTTTTCAAGGTCATCGATATTCTGACCAGAAGTTCCAAGAAATCTGAAAATTGTCAAATTCCAAAGGGTTTTAGCTCAGATAAATGTATAACCAAGGAACTGCAGTTAAGAGATTGTGGGCCCTTCATGTCCAGAAACCATACCTGATATTATCGACATCAAAGGAGTGAGGGTTTGTACATGATCTGAAGGTGTTATAAGGTGCTGATCCAGGGAAAAGGCATCTGTTCAGAGGCTGAGCAAAAGAAAACGGCCTATGGATCAGATTTGTCAATACACATTTCGGTTTTTGAGTGTTCGTTATGTATTTGCGAACCTGCTGAGGCAATGCAAAGTTAGCTGGATCATTCAGGCCTGGCATGATATCTACTGAAACTCCTGCAGCTATCTAAAAGCAGTCCAAAAACACAACAAGAATTTGAATTTTCATCTCAATAGATTCGATAAGACACAGGTGGCTCTGGTTGACTGACCTGGTTTAGCATGATATCAAGCTCTTTGATGGGCTCATACAGTGTTGATTGATCTTTCGAGGCCAAGTTCTGCAGAAACCAACCAATAAAGATCATAACAGATAACTAAAGCTGTATCTGAGAAATCAGCAGGAAAAGTTATGAGTACCTGTCCGGTAAAGAGTTTACGGGGAAATTCAACAGAGTTTCCAGCAATTACCACATGAACTATCTGGGATGCAAGGCCTATTTCCTGTTCAGACCAATACAATTATACATTAGAAACTCAAGGAAGAAAAATATGACAGAACCTGAAAGTTCAAAAAAAATTAACCTCATCATCTCCGAGATGCCCAGTTATATGGTCAACAAGAAGCTGAAATTGCAGAGGATTAGATGAAGTGCTACCAATGCACAGGCCCGACAATAATAAAACGTATTTATCTTCCTCTGCAGAAGAATACAGATGAATTAATGAGAGACTTCTTATAGATATGATGGACCATGAGATTAGCAGAGGAAGAGAGAATAGCCAGACTTACGCAGATCCAAAGGTCGCTCTATCTGAGGTGGTAAACCAGCTTCTAGTACATCTTCAACAAAGAATTCACCAGCACTAGTTTCCTTCCCATGCAATGCAACAACAACACCTACAATTCTCTAATGCATCAACATACATTTCCACAAAGAATCCATCTTTTAAGAGACATTAGGCTTGCTAAAAAAATCCGCACCTCAAACATATGCCACATTTTAACAACACACAAAAATGATTACATCAAAGAACAGTCACACAATCCATGAGCATACCTGTCACATATATCGCGGGTGAAAGTGCAGAGCCGCCAAGCTTAACCCTCCCACTCTCGTCTTCTAGGATCAGATTATCATCAGGATGCATAAAGTTATGAGGTTTAACAAGCGGAGTAACTGACCTCTGCATTGTATTTAACATACTCAGCAACTTGAGTGCTCAATTCAATCTAGACATAGCGGGAAAAAAAAATAGTAGAGGCTGTAAACTAACCAACCTCTTTAGAGTATTCATCGAGAACGCAGGGTTTAAGCTTCATGTGTTTGAACAAGGTTCCTACAATGATGCATTCTTTTCCTTCTTCAAGTCCCAAAACCTTACATACTGCAAACAAAGAATGCCTTTAAATTTTAAAACTCAGATCTGTAATTCAAACATCTTAACTACCCAGAAACGAATACTACCAATATTTCTCAAAAGTTTACTGATTTCACCAAATTTTGCTAACTCAACACCACACTACAAGTAAAGCCTTGGAAATTTCTATACTTTTTGAATTTAAACAAAACTCTCACCAGGCAAATGGGGTTTCCAGGTAGGAGCAAAGGAGTAGAGGAGAGTTCTCATGAGATGAAGACGAGCAAAGTAAATCTGACTGTATTGCTGCCCTCTGTACATCTCCTTTTGTATCTCGAATCTCTCATCCTGCTCCAATTGAAAAATAAACTCAGAATCAAAACTATAAACCCTAGACCGCACACAAAAAGTAGAAAGAGCCGAACTACACAAGGCTTCGAGCGTCTTTCGCTCGATGCAGAAACAGGAGAGAAAGAAATGGGTTTTCGAACCAGGTAACTGTAATTCGATTGCTTCCGTTGCTGAACCTTATCGGAGTCGATTTCCATGGATTCCATGGCGGGAAAAAATCAGAAATGAGCCAGGGATTGAGAAACAAAGTTTTCAACTTTCGCACTTATTGAGTGTCTTCTTCCTTCATCGTCGAGACTCGGGAGTAAAAGGGTTTATTTAACCGGAAACCGACCGGTTATACCAGCAAATAAGGCTTTTTTAATATTAAAAAAAAAACTTTTTTTGGGAGGAAGGAAACAGTACAAGAGAGAATCTCCTACCTACTCAATTGCTGAGGTTGAATTCACTGCAAGAATTCCCAATCCTTCGTTTTTTTGTTTTGGTCTTATGTCTCTTTCGCCTTCTTCTTCTTCTTCGATGGCGTTGATACATGGTTCGATTTCTGGGTCGTCTGCTGTTCGATTGAGCTTTTCAAGTTCAGTGCCACCGTCGAAGGTTTCTGTCGTTGTTCCGATGGTGAAAGGTTGGAGGAATTCGTGCCGGAGAAGGGTTTTGAGAGCAATGGTGCAGGAAGCAGTTCAGGGCTCTGCTTCAGTTTACGCCAGAGAAATGGAGCGCCTTTCTGCTAAGGAATCGCTGCTTCTCGCCGTAAAAATTCTCACACTCTTCCCATTTTTTTTTCTTAACTTGCATTTACTTCTTTGATGTGAAATGAACTGCAGATCTTCAATTTTTCATCTGATTTTAAAATTGGGTCTCTTTTACTATTAGGAGTAGATGTAATCAATAGATTGGAGATAACCAAAAAAAAAAAAAAGTTCACATCCATTGTTACACTACACATTTTTCCAGATTGAAGTTCACTCTAGTTTGTCAGATTGAGAAATTAGATGCATCAATTTTTAGCTCAGAAATCCGAATTTACCATGAAACCATGTATATACAGTTGAAGGATGCTGGAGGCTTTGAGGCTTTAGTTACAGGGAAAACAACCAATATGCAAAGGATCGATGTGAATGAGAGGATAACGAGTCTAGAGCGGCTTAACCCGTCTCCCAGACCAACTACGTAGGCGTTTCTTTTATAACTTTTTTGGTTATGATTTTGCTTCGGGGCTTTAGGAAAGTTGTCTTTTTTAACTGGTTTCCTATAGCTTTTCAGGTCTCCTTGTTTCGAAGGCAGATGGAGTTTCGAGTGGTTTGGTTCTGGAAGCCCTGGTTTACTCGCTGCTCGGGTTCTTTTCGAGTCAGTACTTTACATTTTCTCATCTTAAAAAGGTCACCATTTTTATTCAAACTTTTTGTTATGAAATGTTTTGCTGTGTCTATGTGTGTTGTTGCAGGAGGTTTCCTTCAACGTTGGCGAATCTATCAAGAATGGAGATACTGATTAAGGATGCTAAGGCAAAGGCGACTGCAAATATCAAATTGCTGAACTCGGTAACATACTGTGAATACTTTTCAAAGCTTGTTTTTGTAAATTACACAAGTGGTTATTCACAATGACTAAAAAAAAAAAAATTGCAGATAGAAAGCAAAATCATTTTGTCATCGAAATTGACTATTGAAGGACCTCTGAGACTGAAAGAAGAATATATAGAAGGTATGCTCGAATCCCCTACAGTCATTGAAGAAGCTGTTCCTGAACAGCTTAAAGGCGCATTGGGTCAAGCCACCACGACGTTGCAGCAGCTTCCTGCTCTTGTCAAGGATACTTTAGCCAATGGTCTAAGAATTCCCCTGAGTAAGCTATTTTGTTCATTATATGTCCATAACCATTCTCGCCTCATATCTGCACCGAACCAACTAGTTTTATATGCTTCAGGTGGATCCTTTGAAAGATTCTTCATGATATCTTATCTAGACGAGGAGATTCTGGTGAGTTTTTTGAATATTTTGCTTTTATGAGTTTGTGGAAGCGAGATCTTTGTTAAGACTGGTTAAAAACTGGCTAATTCGTTACACTGACCGAGTTCTATCTGCTTTTTGTTTCTTTCGCAGATAGTAAGAGATACTTCAGGCACTCCTGAAGTTCTAACGAGGTTGGAAACACCGTCATCGAACGTTGTAGAAACTATTGAATACGATAGTTAGATATTACTAGCCACTGTTCCTATGTTCGTTCTGCATTAATTATTACAAGAACCAACCACCAAGTTGTGTCTGTAAATGTTCAAAGTGAATAACTTCAAGCTTAATTAAAACCTCTTCTTCTTTTGTCTTTCTTTCTTCAATATTCCCAAAGTTATCGAAGTACTTGGAGATTCTCTGTTTTGATTAATCATCTTTGTTAACTCTCTCTCTCTGTGAGAGAAGGCTTATACTGATATTTTCTTAGTTGCTTTATAACTTCTACTTGATCTAATATGTGATGTGTGGTTCCATCATCATCAATGCATCATCATCATCAGAATTACCACCATGAAACACATGTAATGTATACACGTCTGTGATTGTGGTTACTTGTCTGCTCGTATTTGTATTTTTAATATATTGTATTTGTTTATTTTGAATTGAATATGGCCCCATTTGTACTTATCTTATGTGAAGTATCAATCAATCAATCAATCAATACGTCTATTTCTCAGTCCATTTGGATAAGCGACGAAAACAATTCGGAAGTGACAAGAAATATCTAGTCTTGAAATTTCAAACGTGCATTCAACTTGTCTAATATAAGTTCATTAATAAGTTCATACTTCATATCCGAGCAAGCAAGTATAATGATATTTTGTTAAAAAATGTTAATTCTTATAGAGAGAAGGATTTCTTACTACAAAGCTTGGAAAATTCTGATATCAATTTATCATTCTAGTGATGCTTTTAGAAATTTTCAGATATTTTTATTATGACTTAAAACATGCAATAGCGAATGGGAATTTGAAATCTATTTATAGATTAAAATATATCAAAGACGAGAAAAATCAGAGAAAGACATTATTAATTAAGAAAAAAAAAACTCCTAAATAATCCTAAACCCACGATCCACAAAATTATCCAAAAGTCAAACCTTTTAATGGTAAAAAAAAAAAAAAAAAAACTAGCCTCTCGTATATTAAAGAAGATATGAAAATTTATTTAAACTTAACCTATTTTTAAAGAGTAGCATAAAAAAAAATGCATCCGTTTCGGAAAAATTAGGCGAATTGGTGAGATTCTGCGTAAACTCCGCCATGTAAGTGCGGAGAAGAAAAAGCAACGGAAGGATCAATAGTCAAGGGCAAATAAGGAAATTCGCCTAGCTCATGAATGAGGCCGTCGAAATCTCCTAAGCCGTTCAAGAACCCACCGGAGCTCTCTTTGCCATTGCCGTTCCACGACATCGATGTCATCTCTTCTTCTTCCTCTTCTTCTTCTTGATACTCAACTTCTGAGTTTATGCAGATTCCATGGCTCTTTCTCATGTCATTGACTTGATGATGATGATCATGATGATCATGACTTCCTCTAGACGTAGGGTTTCTTTTAAGACCCTTTTGGTGGTGGGGGAGGTCGTGATGATCATGATGATCTGGTTTTCCGGTGAGTTTTTGGACGGTTTCACGGAAGTTGGAGACGTCGGTCTTAATGATCTCCGGTGCGTATATGTGGATGATTCGGATCTTGGGCTTCGATTTGGTTAGTGTTCTTGATTGTTTGTGCATCGCTATAGTTGATAAGCTTCTTCTTTTCTGAACAGTAGTAGCTTCATTTTCCATAGTTTTGTAGAAAAGAGTTAGGTTTTATGTGATAAAGAAGAGAGAGTTGGTGAATTTTGATGGTAAGTGGAATATGTTTAGGTTTATATATATATAGGGGAAGAGAGAAGGAAATGATAAAGAAAAAGACACTTATTTTTAGAGTCACAAGTTTTAGTGACAACTACTATATTTTTATTCTTGTCTTCTGTTATTTTTATTTTTGTTGCTAAGATTGTTTTTCTTATTTCATACTTCTAGTTTTGTTTTTGTCAACTCTATCGTATTTCCAGATTGTATATGTATCTAAATGTAGGATCCTATAAACACACATATATATATACATATATATATATTTAAATTAATAAAGGCAAATGAAATTGGTTGATGACTTTAATTTATGAGAGATCAATAGATAAACTATAGTTGAATTAATTAAGATACATATGAGACTATATTTATGTTGATGCAAGAGATGTGTAAGGCTGTCTCCCAAAGACATGAGATTTATGAATCTAAATCAAGTCTACGGACCCCCTCCAACTAACCAAATCCTCCTGTTGGAATGTCTTAAGACATTTCATTTCTTTTTTTTTTGTTAGCATCATTGATTTTTTTCGTTAGTTAGTATCATTGAATTTTTTTTTCCTTTCTTTTGATCAGATATACGCACCAAATTTCAATTATACAGCTAAATGCGTACACATAGTGTAAAAGGATATTATATGAATGAAGGTGAAATATGTACATACAAAGTGTTTGAGCATATTATATGTGAAGGTGATACATCGATACAACATTTCCAATTGAAATGTATTTTCTGTCGACATATATAGTCAATTATAGTAAAAGTAGTAGTCATTAGTATATGGCAATGTGTGTTTAGGTAGTACGCTTAAATCTAAGTGGCTTATATTGTATTATTAAATAGATATCTTATGATTTCAGAAACTTGTCCTCATGTAATGTACAAAAGCTCAACCACCTTATCATTTGCAGTCTCTAAAGTTCCGCAGAAAAATACAATTGCATGGCCCACTACCAAAAACCTTTTTTTAATCTATAACAACGAGAATCTTAGATACATATTAGTCAATTTAATTGGATGACATAATGCAAAAGAAAATATAAGGTGTAAAATAAGAACGACAAATATCACATCTGGTGGTATACATATGAATACCCTATATGTGTGTGAATTGTTCATGAGAATTCATGAAACATTTAAACGAAACTTATAATGATAACTAACAAGACTTAGAACGATAAGAATTAGCGACATGAAGATAAGAATGTACTATTTATAAGAACAAAGAAAATAGGAGGATAAGATTGTACATGATCGGACGTAATGATATAAGGACATGGAAATGGCATGACCCTCGGGTGCACGAGGCAGTTGCACTTCCTGACGACTATTTTCTCCATTTTACTGCATTTACTTCTTCTTCTTCTTTTTTTTTTCCTTTGAAATAGTGTGTATATATATAGTGTCCGACCAACTTTTATATGAGCATAAGGTTTAATTGTGAAACCCAAAACGAATATTATTAAATAATATCTTTGCACACAAATGCATAAAAATTATGCTGTTAATATATATTGTTAAATTCCTTCTTAATCTTTTGTTGTTTGCATACTAGAGCCAACTCATTTGAAGTAAACAATTTAGGGCTATATCTTATGTCTACGCATTTTAGTTTTGCTTCTATTAAATGTAACTAGCAATATCTTGAAATCCCAAACTGATCATCCAAGTATATGATATCTTGGACAAATTAATGATATACTATCTTACACCAAATTAAAAACAAAACAACATTCGCCAACAACATATACAGAAGAATTAATAGACAAACATGCACATACATGTATAGATTACACACTTATCTCGGGACAACTAACGATAAGACACATTAAATAAAATACTTGAATAAGAAAATGTTTAGAAGATCCTGTATCATACAGATATCTACGTTTTTGATGCCAGAAAGAAAGAAAATAAATAAAATATTTATGCCAGAGCTGTTAGAAACTACACCTGCGTATGATGTAGAATAGCATAAAAGAACAATCGAACATATAAGTAGAATTATTTATTTTGGTTAACATATAAATAGAGTTATGTTTGTTAATTTATGCATTTGTACAAACAAGCACTGAAGCACATATAAGATCTAAACCGGATAATGGATCGGACGTACACGTGAAGAGGATTGGTTATGGAAGAGATCCAACGGCTGCTATAAAAGAAAGAAAGAGGTCCAATGAAAGGATTTGGTTTGTTCGGCGCGTCCGTGCGTTAGAGACTAAGGAGACGAAACACGAGTCTCGTGCTCTCTTTCTGGATTCGGACCACACGCGGGCTAAAGCAGCTCTTTTGTCAAAACGTGGCCGTTCGAGCCGTACCTATTGTGGGCGCCATTATCTTCAAACGTGGGTCCTAGTTCCAAACTTCCGGTGCATCCTACTTCGCTGGCACTTTCCTATTTTACGGACATTTTCTAATTTGTTTTAATTACTTTTTGGATAGCACAGTATGTTACAAAATTGTTTTAGTTGAGGGGGATTTTAAATGATAAAACAAACTAAACGATGCTAAACAGTTGAATAAGTAAGAATTGCTACGAAATAATATTAGAAAACAACGCTATTTGTCACTATTTTTTTGTTCTAACATATTGAATGATTGAAATGTTACTTGTCAAAAGAAAATTGGGTTGTTCAGTTATACAAATACTGTTCTAATATATTTAAAAACAACCATGTTGCAAATTTTGGTAAAACATGTATTTATTTATTTTATTTTTCTATAGTTACGTTGTATTAGTACTCGCTAATAGTGCAACGCCTCCATCTCCATTAGAAGGTCTTCAAAACGACACAACAACAAAGGAGAGAAAACATTATGTGGGCCAACCGAGTTTCAGGCCCAACGTTTCTGAGAAGGCTTGCAAGTCCAACACTCAAATGCAGAAACCTGCAACGGCTAATTCGCAAGAAGACAAGGAAAACAGAGGAGGTACGGTACAGAGTATTAAGGCAAAAGGAAAGATGTCGGGAGACTCTGGCACAGAAAAGCAGCAGCACCAGCTCAAGCTGTACAATCCATTTTCAGCCCTCGATCGTGAAGAGACAGCCTGATCTTGCCACCTGTTCTAGTGTGCTAGGGTTTTATTTATTGTATAAATTCATTTCCTTTGTCATTGTAAGAACTTAAGAAGTTTAATGAAAAACAAAACTTAAAATCTCTTTCTTCTCAAATACCAGAAGAATGTCTTCTGCTAGCATGGTATCAGGAGCCACGGATAATGAATCCTTGGCGCTTGTGTCCATTCCTACTCTTAGTATCACCAACTGTGTTACAGTCACTCTCACTGAGAAAAACTATGTGTTGTGGAAGTCACAGTTCGAGTCTTTTCTCGGTGCTCAAGGTCTTCTTGGCTTTGTCACTGGTTCAACATCAAAACCTGCAGCCACGACGACTCTCAACGGCCTCAACAACATCACTTCGGAGATCCCAAATCCAGCTCTTTCTCAATGGTGTAAAATCGACCAAGTAGTTCGCTCCTGGTTGCTGGGATCTTTCTCTGAGGACATGATGAGTCGGGTCATTTCTCTCACATCAGCCCACGAGATCTGGATGTTTCTCGCTTCTCACTTTAGTAAAGTGTCAAGCTCTCGTCTTTTCGAGCTCCAACGACGTCTTCAAACTTTGTCTAAAGGAGACAAGTCTATGCCTGACTTCCTTCGTGAGGTTACAACTCTATGTGACCAACTTGCTGCTGTTGGAAGCCCTGTTCATGACAAGATGAAGATATTTGCAGCTCTTCATGGATTAGGCAGAGACTATGAACCCATCAAGACTGTCATTGAGGGCTCCATCGACAAACATCCTCCCCCAACTCTTGAAGACATTATTCCTCAGCTGACAGGATATGAAGATCGTCTGAACAGCTACAACACCTCCTCTGACGTTTCACCACATTTGGCCTTCAATACAGAACGTTCCTCGTCTGGTCAGTTCTATGGTCGTGGAAGAGGTCAGTTCAACAACCGTGGTCGTTCAGGTGGCTCTCGTGGTCGTGGATCCTTCTCTACTAGGGGAAGAGGGTTCCCGCAACAGTTTTCTACTCGAGGTGACACAAATGAACGTCCTTTCTGCCAGATCTGTGGTAAAGTTGGTCATCAAGCCTTGAGATGTTGGCACCGGTTTGACAATAGTTATCAAGATGATAATGCTCATGCTGCTCTTGCTGCCTTACGCATCACCGATGTCACTGACAACAGCGGCCAGGAGTGGTACCCTGACACTGGTGCTACTGCTCATGTCACAAATAGCCCCCACAATCTGAAACAAGCACAAACTTATCATGGTAACGATGATGTTCTTGTTGGTGATGGGAATTTTCTGCCTATTACTCATGTCGGCTCTGCAGAAATCCCTTCCACTTCAGGTATTCTACCTCTTAAAGATGTCTTGGTTTGTCCTGCCATAGCTAAGTCTCTTTTATCAGTTTCAAAACTTACTGCGGATTATCCTTGTTCTTTTGAATTTGACTCTGATGGTGTGCGTGTTAAGGACAAATCCACAAAGCAGCTTCTGACTCTAGGACGAGCTCGTAATGGGCTTTACCTTCTCGATAATCCAAAGTTTGCAGCCTACTATTCTACACGTCAAATCTCAACAAGTGATGAAGTGTGGCATAGGAGGCTCGGACATCCTCATTCTCAAGTTCTGCAACTTCTTAATCAGTTTAATCGCATCAGCATCAATAAGAGTACCTTGAAGATGTGTGAATCATGTTGGCTTGGGAAGAGTAGTCATTTACCTTTTACTGCATCTAGCTTTGTTGCATCTAGAGTATTAGAGCGGATTCACTGTGATCTCTGGGGTCCTGCTCCTTTTGTTTCCAATCAAGGATTTCGTTTCTATGTAGTCTTTATAGACACCTACTCTCGCTTTTGTTGGTTCTATCCCTTGAAAGTTAAATCGGATTTCTATTCTACTTTCATTGCCTTTCAAAAGCTTGTTGAGAATCAGTTCTCTGCAAAGATTGGTGTATTTCAGTGTGATGGAGGTGGTGAGTTTATCAGTAAACGGTTTTTAAGTCACCTTCAGGACTCAGGGATTCAACAATACATCTCATGTCCCTATACACCCCAACAAAATGGGTTGGCTGAAAGAAAACATCGTCACTTAACCGAGCTTGGCCTTACAATGATGTTTCAGAGCAAAATCCCTCAAAAATTTTGGGTAGAGGCCTTCTTTACAGCCAACTTTCTGAGTAATCTCCTTCCCACCTCTGCATTAGGAGAGAAACGAAGTCCTTATGAGATTCTTCATGGCAAAGCACCAGAGTATTCTGCTCTTCGAACATTTGGTTGCTCTTGCTTCCCAACTCTTCGTGTCTATCAAAGCAACAAGTTTGATCCTAAATCTCTGCACTGTGTATTTCTCGGGTACAATGATAGATATAAAGGCTATAGATGCTTTTACCCTCCAACAGGAAAAGTATACATTAGTCGCCATGTGCTATTTGATGAGTCCTCCTTTCCTTTTGGAGACAAATATTTGTCTTTTCAAACACAAGCCTCCACTGCAACGCTTGCAGCTTGGCAAAAGAGCTTTGTGCCCTCTACGAGTAACTCTGATGCTTCTGCATCTCCAGCTAATGCAAATTCTTCTGCCACACCAGTTCTTATTGCTCCAGTCCTTTCCACTGCTGATTTCCCCCCATTACATCGTTCTGCTCCACCTCACATTACTAGGTCTACACCTACAACAGAACAACAACAACCAGTGTCTGCAGAGGTTCCGAGACCATCATCTTCAGAGGGGAATGGATGTACTGGGCGTACGGTGGGCTTTGATCCCATTCCTATAGGCGACAGCGTCTCATTACCCTCTGAAGAGGATTCTAGTCTCATTCCACCATCACAGTCAGCACCTATACCTCCATCTCAACCTTCTGTCTCACGACACCAGCCTGACCACTCTATGGTAACACGCCTTAAAGCAGGGATCCGCAAGCCTAACTCTCGGTATGTCCTCCTTGCCCATAAAGTTACTTACCCCGAGCCAAAAACAGTCAAAGAAGCTCTCATGGATCCAGGGTGGACAGCAGCTATGCAAGAAGAATATGGTAACTGTCATGAGACAAAAACATGGTCTCTTGTCCCTTATTCACCAGATATGCATGTTTTGGGAAGCAAATGGGTCTTCCGTACGAAGTTAAACGCTGACGGCTCATTAGACAAACTGAAAGCCCGTCTTGTAGCTCAGGGGTTTGGCCAACAAGAAGGCATAGATTACCTCGAGACATACAGCCCTGTTGTCCGAACCGCAACAGTGAGAACTGTACTACATTTGGCCACAGTTATGCAATGGGAAGTGAAACAAATGGATGTCAAGAATGCGTTTTTACATGGTGATTTGACAGAGACTGTTTATATGTGTCAACCTGCCGGATTTGTTGATGCCACAAAGCCTGATCATGTCTGCTTACTTCACAAGTCTCTCTACGGGCTCAAGCAATCCCCTCGGGCCTGGTTTGATCGCTTTAGTACCTTCCTTCTTGAGTTTGGATTTGTTTGCAGCATCAAGGATCCGTCTCTTTTTGTTTACATTCACAACAAAGATGTGATAATGTTGTTGCTTTATGTTGATGATATGGCTATTACAGGAAACAGTTCGGAGGCAATGGAAAGGCTCCTTATTGCTCTTAACACTCAGTTTCGTATGAAGGATATGGGGAAATTACATTATTTTTTGGGCATACAGGCTAAGTTTCATGACAAAGGTCTTTTTCTATCACAAGAGAAATATGCAGAAGATCTTTTGGTCACTGCAGCAATGGCTGATTGCTCACCAATGCCAACTCCTCTGCCCCTTCAACTCAATAGAGTCCATGATCAAGATCAGCCTTTCTCGGACCCACGGTATTTCCGAAGTTTGGCCGGCAAGCTCCAGTATCTCACGCTCACAAGGCCTGATATACAATTTGCAGTCAATTATGTTTGCCAGAAAATGCATGCTCCCTCGATTTCTGACTTCACCAACCTCAAACGTATCTTAAGATATCTCAAAGGCACTATTACAATGGGGATTTCCTTCATCAAAGATACTGACTGTACACTAAGCTCCTATAGTGACAGTGATTAGGCTGGTTGTCCGGTTACTCGTCGGTCAACAGGGGGTTTCTGCACTTTCCTCGGCCAAAACATCATCTCTTGGTCTTCTAAGAAACAGCCAACAGTGTCTAAAAGCTCCACTGAAGCTGAATATCGTTTCTTGTCTGAAACTGCTTCGGAGGTCTCCTGGATCAGTGCTCTATTGAGGGAACTTGGCGTCTCTCTTCCCATTACTCCTGAGTTGCACTGTGACAATCTATCCTCTGTCTACTTGACTGCAAATCCTGCATTTCACAAGAGGTCCAAACACTTTGAGATCGATTATCATTATGTGAGAGAGCGTGTTGCTTTAGGCTCTTTACTAGTTCGGTATATTCCGGGCTATCTACAGCTGGCAGACATATTCACGAAATCTTTGCCTTACAATGCCTTCTGCAATTTAAGATACAAACTTGGTGTAGATGTTCCCCCAACACCAAGTTTGAGAGGGGATAATAGTGCAACGCCTCTATCTCCATCAGAAGGTCTTCAAAACGACACAACAACAAAGGAGAGAAAACATTATGTGGGCCAACCGAGTTTCAGGCCCAACGTTTCTGAGAAGGCTTGCAAGCCCAACACTCAAATGCAGAAACCTGCAACGGCTAATTCGCAAGAAGACAAGGAAAACAGAGGAGGTACGGTACAGAGTATTAAGGCAAAAGGAAAGATGTCGGGAGACTCTGGCACAGAAAAGCAGCAGCACCAGCTCAAGCTGTACAATCCATTTTCAGCCCTCGATCGTGAAGAGACAGCCTGATCTTGCCACCTGTTCTAGTGTGCTAGGGTTTTACTTATTGTATAAATTCATTTCCTTTGTCATTGTAAGAACTTAAGAAGTTTAATAAAAAACAAAACTTAAAATCTCTTTCTTCTCAAATACCAGAAGAATGTCTTCTGCTAGCACTCGCTTTAAATTTATGACGGCAGTGATATTGTTCTAACTTGTAACCACGGCAAACGCAAATCACCGTTTAAATTCTAACTTTATTCTTTTAAGACAATATTTAGAAACTTAACAAAACCGAATACTTTTGATAAAACTTTTTTAATATGGATTTCGTGTGAAAAAGCAATAGAAAAGGAGATTTTTGATGTGTACCTCTGTGCTCTGACGACGAAAGTGGTTGCAGATTAATCAACTATTAACTAATCCCAATTTGCATCATGCTATTTCAACACTCGTGCTGCATTAGGTGAGAAACTTATTCACACTGAGAATCCTTTTCTTTTCAAAATTTATATTTCTCGTGATTATGTTGATTAAAACTTTTCCTTTTTTTTTGTGTGCAAAACAAAACAAAAAAACTTATGTTTTGTATTGTTTATTACGTACACTTATTAATGTAACTGCAGATATGATTAAGTTCCACATGTTAGCACGTATTGTTCCCTACCGGGAAAGATGGAAATCATTAAATCATGGGAAATTTATAAGCATATTCTCATTTACAAACCTACCTTGATCACTCATTATTCGTACGTAAAATCATTTCCCCTGATCAAATTTATGGTTTAATTTATATCCATAAAAATTTCACTATTTGTAGAATTAAGGTCGGATCCCTATAAAAGCGTTGTGGCGGCCTAGACCGGCCTTTCTCCGTCCAACTGTTCAAAAACATTTGTAAGATGCAGTCAGAATATCGTCATCATTAACACTATATATGATCATCACTAATGTTGCAATGATTAATCACCATGAAGAGAGAAAGGGAAAGGTTTAGTGATCTTAGAACGTGGGCCCATATATTTAACAAGAAAGGAAAGCCTTATGGGCTTCTGATTCGGCCCATTACGAATGATCCCAACGCGTCTCTCATTTTGGAAGACTCAGAGTCAGAGATCGTTGTTGATGTGTCACCATTCTTATCCACACAGACAGTTACGAGAGCACCACTAACAGTAACAGGTGTGGGAGTGATTATCACGCGTCGTTTTGAGCGCGTGTGGATAGGAAGTAAGTGAAGAAAAAGAAAAAATCCGTATCCCATCTTCAACGGGGCTAAAGAAGTTTCATCGGCCAATGGTTTGTTTATAGGATACTGCGCTTATCTGCGTAGTAACTGAGAAAATTCTTCTCTTTCTTTTTCTTTTTTCTATCTGGTCTTTCCTCTTTCTCACTGTTTTTTACTCTTCCACTTTCTCAGATCTCTCTAATTTTAGTGTTTGAGAGTCTTAGTGTTTCTCTGATTCGGGATTTCCTCTGTTTCCTAGTGAAGTTGTTTTTTTTTTTTTTGGGTTTAGAGAAACTCTTTTAGGTAGATCGATTGAAAATCCAGGAAGGAAGTAAAAATAATCAATATTTTTTCGATTGAAAGCCCAAGAAAGAAAGAAAGAAACCATTTTTATAACCTGTTTCTGAGTAGTTGGTTCATGTGTCGGAGATTCTGATGATTGGTATTAGCCACACGTAGGTAAGTTTCCTTTCTTTACTCCTTTTTTTGTACTATCAAGTTTTGTTCAGTTCGATTGTACTTGTTAAGTTCCTCTGGAGAAGCTAGATGAGCTTGGATGCAAATTTAAGTTAGTCTCCTTTTGATCATTTGATTGCTCATGCAATGAGATTACATGCAGGTAGTTATTTAAAACTGTTTTGTAGCTTAGCTTGTTAAATGATTCATGAATCGAGTTTTAGTGATAGAAGAGGACCAGAAATGAAAACTTTTTAGGTTTGGAAGTTGGAAAAGTTTCAAGAAAGACAATGCGATTGTTATATGTTAAAAAAATGCGATTGTTATATGTTAAAAAAAATGAGAGGTCAATGCCCTGCCTTCCAAAGATTTGGAAGAAAACAAAAAAACTTATTGCTTGAAATGGAATCTTGTTTTCATGTTTATGATTAATGGTATGAAAGTGTTTGTGCTTCCATTGTAAATTAAATAGTTCCTCGTAGATCTCCATTGTGAAGGGAGTAATGTTGCTTGATTCTTTGTTAATCAAAAATGACATCAAGATTGTGTGGTAATGAGCTGGTTAAAAGAAGTGGAAAATGTGTTTTTTAAATTGCAGGTTTCTAATTTGTGTAGTAGCTTGTGGGATTTTGTAAAAAGTGGGAGTTATATAGACCATGAGAAGGGGTAGAGGGAAAGGGAAGAAGCAGAATGCATCTGCTCGAGAGGAAGATCGTGGAAGCGGTGAAGAAGAAAAGATTCCAGCTTACAGGAGAAGAGGAAGGCCACAGAAGCCGATGAGAGATGATTTCGAAGAGGAAGATGAAGAAGAAGAAGAAGAGATGGTAGAGAAGATGGAAGAAGAAGACGAAGAAGATATTGATGATAGGAACGATGGTTTGACAACAAGTAAAAAACAAGAGAACGAGAGGAAGAGGAAGATGATCAATGGAAGCAGCAATACAGATATAACTGTAGAAGATCAGAATGGGAAATCAAGCACAGATGATTCCACGAAATCTACATCTACTGGGTTTAGACAAAACGGAAGCCGGAGAAAAAGCAAGCCTAGACGAGCTGCTGAAGCTGTTGTGGAATGTAATGGAGTTTGAGAAACCTCCTGGCGAAAAACTTCAAGAAACAGGATGACAAATTAACCTGAGGCCCTCTTCTTTTTTGGTTTTCGTACAAGTTTTTTGAAGTTGAGAACTTTGGATATCTTTTGGTGTTTACATGATTCATGAATTAATAGCATCAATCTACGTACTCTTTTCCTGGATATCTCGTCTGTTTGGCTTCTGACACTGACATTTGAGCGTCCATAGATGGTCCTGTAACACATGAATGTGGGAAAGAAAGCGTTTTGACACTTTGGTATAATGCAAATCGTGTAAGTTTGGCAAAATGTAACAGTAAAACCCATTAAGGGAAGAGAGATGAGAGAAGTGAGAGATGAGTTGTTAGACTTGAGAGATTGGTCAACTTCACAGAGTCAGAAAAAAAGAGATTAGCAAAAAAGCCTTGAACATATATGATTATCATGTGAAACCTCAAAAAATAAAAAACAACCAAACATATGTACGAATGTTTTATAATCTTTCTGTTTGTCCTTTTAGCTAATGATCAACCCCTATGGCCAGTGACAATGACTTACAACCTCAAATAATTGAAGACCAAATGGTTTTAAGGAAGCTCAAACCCAAAATGCCCAGTTTAATTTGACAAACAGAACAAGAAAAAGAGAGATTTTTCAAATTATTCATCATATTCAAAATTGACTATAATGGTGGCATAAATCATTTTATTTTTTCAATGTGTGTAAGCTATCCAGAACCTATTTGTTTTTGTGACACATCAGTTGTTAAAGAGAGATCGGGTCTTTAGTTTCAGGGTTTAACCAATGCAGCCAGACAAATGGAAAGCACTTTCACTCAATAAAGCTAAGCAAAAAGAACAAATCAAACCTAAACCAATAAAATATATGTAGTATTACAGTTTACGCAGACTCTGATGGATGTCTATGACTACGATTTAACTTTTTATACTTTTTATTATTACAAAAATCAAGAAAGATCTTGCTTTGGATATTGTGACTCAAAATTATAAAAAGCAAATCCAAAAATAAGAAGAGAAATTTGGCTTCAATTTGCTAAAACAAGCAAACAGAGAAATGTGGCTTTAATTTGCAAAAACAAGCAAACAATCGAAAGCCAAAATAATTTTAAAACACTTTTGTTTTAGTTCACTTACAAACAAGAGAAAGAGGCTAAACAAATAAAAATAGAATCTTAAATTATAGTGTTGCTTGCACATCTGCCGACACCAACTAGTTCCCTTGAAGTGTCACATCTTTTGTTGTGTTCCAATAACTGTACTGCTCACATTTCAGTCTTCAATATTTTAATATTTTAACATTTTACATCACTATAATTTTTTTACCATATTCGTTGATCTTTAACTACTACAGTCAAAAGAAAGTAAGAAACCCTCTATTTATAGAACTCTGAACTCCTCGTCACTTTCCTTTTGGTTCCCAATAGAATCTACGAAGGATATATTTGAAGACTAAAAGTCATTATTTAAGTACAAAAAAATCAGATTATCAAGATTTGTAAAGTTGGATGTTCTATGCAGCTATGAAGATTGCTCCCTGGTTTCAGATAGATGCTCTCAAAATCCAATATTATTTTTAATTAAACTTACATCACCTATGACCCCAAAAAACTTACATCAGAGTATCACAGATGACCCATCACCATCACAATTATTTATGGATATCCAACGTAAAGGAGGACCATAGAACTAGAACAAACTACACATAAAATATACTTCGCTCTTTGAACTTTAAAAAATTGTAACTATTACAAACAAAATTTTCCTTAAAAAAATCAGAATCTGATAAGCTTTAAACTGAAAATCAAACACAAGAGAAATAAATAGTTTTTCTTACTCGGTAACTACAGCTGTTTAGAAGCGAGCGTGATTTTAAAACTGTGGAGGGGGACAATTTTGTGTTAACCAAATATATAACACTGAATCAATAAGCATATGAAAGAATGGTATAGCACAGTTTTCGGAAAGAGAAGTTTGAATAAGTGTCACCAACGAAAGAAAATATGGGTCTAAAGAAGCATGGGCCAAGCGGAGAATAGGATGACTATTTTGTTGCCGTGTGGTGTGGTGTGGTGTGGTGTTTAAAAGAACCTAGATTGTTATGGTCGTGACTTAGGGTTTGACGTTCATATGTGTGTTATGTGAATTCAATATTTACCAAATGTTGAAATAGAGCTTCTTATCCATGTTTTAGCATCTTAATACGTTTAACAATTTTCTACACAAAATACTATATATATTTGGTGTTGATTACTTATCTCCTCACAATTGAAAAACTAAGGTTTTAAGTTATTATAAAACTTGAAACTGATTTCAAAATCTTTTTTATTATAATCCGTGACTGACCGCTAAAAGACGTCTAGGTGGATACCGAACCCGACTTTTAAAATTTTATAATCGTAAATAGGAAAAGGTTTAAGGATACATAATTTTCACATGATGTATTTTCAGCTAGAGACAGAAAATGCTCAATTATTATACAATGTTGTAATTTTTGTTTTTTTCTTTCTAACTGATGTATTCATTTTATCCAGCTAAGACATAACTATCTTTAACATTTCACAATTTTTAACTTCAAAAAAGAAATTGATAGTATTCCGGTATATAGTATTTAATGCCTCTAAACTTCATAGTATATCATGCCTCTATACTTGTTAACGGTCTAACTCCCATTTCAAATTGGATAGTCGAATTTGAAGACAGGTTTTCAAACTGAGGAGCTGCGGTTATTGCTGTAAGTGTATCATTGCTGTAAGTGTATCAAATATGATCTAGATATACTTTTGAACTTTACCAATATTGTTTTGGTTCGTGCGGAAGTTGAATTTATTTGGTTTAAGTTGTTTGGAAACAGTTTGGTATCGGTTTCTATACACATCATATTAAAAACCAAGTAAAATTTATGGTAGATTTGATATGGAGAAACACGAAATATCATCTCCATTTATTGCCAACCTCATAATGCCAATGGTGGACCAAAAGAAAGAAGAAATGAAACATGCATTATTTATTCTTTTGACATTAAAAAAATGCGTTAGCTTGTCAAATAATTGCAAGGAAAAAAAAATCTATAACAGTATAAAGTAAAAAATAAAAAGAAGAAGATGTGTACATGAAAGACCTCTCCAATGTTCATTTGCCCAAGATTAGAAACTGCTACATCTTTCTCTCTCTCTATATCTTTCTCTATCTCTCTCGTTTTTGCTATGTGGTAATTAACAGACGCAGTTTTTTTGTTGTTGTCCGTACCGTTGGTTTACTTACTCTTTCACTGTCTTTGTCTATTACCACTCTCGTCTCTTTTTTTGCTTCTGTTGTGTTTCTCTCTCTTCTTTCTCTAAACCCAAAACAGTCAAAATCAGGGAAGCCAAAAATTTTCTTTGCTTTCTTCTCCTTTCGTCCTTTCTTTAAACCGAGACAGTTAGGTTTAAGAGAGAGAGAGAGAGAGGGAGAGAGAGAATGATGCTGTCTGAGTAAGAGGAAACCAAAATGGAGATGGGTTCCAACTCGGGTCTGGGTCTTGGTCCGGGTCAGGCAGAGTCGGGTGGTTCATCGACTGAGTCTTCCTCTTTCAGCGGAGGGCTCATGTTTGGCCAAAAGATCTACTTCGAGGACGCTGGAGGTGGATCCGGGTCTTCTTCCTACGGTGGGACAAACAGACGGGTCCGTGGAGGCGGGTCGGGTCAAACGGGTCAGATACCAAGGTGCCAAGTGGAAGGTTGTGGGATGGATCTAACCAATGCAAAGGGTTATTACTCTAGGCACAGAGTTTGTGGAATACACTCTAAAACACCCAAAGTCATTGTCGCTGGTCTCGAACAGAGGTTTTGTCAACAGTGCAGCAGGTTCTTTTCTTTCTTTTTTTTGTTTCCCAATCCTACCCCTGTATTTCTCTTGTTTATTTACATGTTTTGCCATTGCCGGAGTCCGGCCAAGACTCTCCGTGTTTCACTCTCGAGAATCAAATCCAAAGGCTTTAGCTTTTTTGTGTGTAGATTGTCAGTGTCATATGCTTTTCTGGCTTTAACGTCTTTGGAGGGTTTTTTCTTTTAACTTTACAGCTTAGTGTTTTGTAACTTGGTCTTGTGTTTGTTTTTGTTGGACTCGTTGGGCTTATTTTGGGGGAATGTGTTTACGTGTACTTCTATATGCTTCTCTTTTTTTCTTTTTTTCTTTGATTTTGTCTTTCTAAAATATCCAGTCCAAAGGGATATGAAATGAATGGACAAGAAGCAACCCATTGCCCTCATGTTTGCTTCTTTAGGTCATATCATTATTGAGGGGGACAAAACTGGTACCATAGCATCAATGACGTGATCATTCAAGAAACTCTGTTACACAATGTGGTTTTTTTAGATTCGGAATCAAACTGATGATGAAACCTTTTGACTTATAGAATACATTATTAAGATGAAATGGTTTACGTTTAAGGTTTGGAGAGATCTTATATATATATGTTGCTTTTCATTGAAGTTAACTCTAATCTGAATCAATCTCACATAGGTTTCATCAGCTTCCGGAGTTTGACCTAGAGAAAAGAAGTTGCCGTAGGAGACTCGCTGGCCATAATGAGCGTCGGAGAAAGCCACAGCCTGCGTCGCTCTCCGTGTTGTCTTCTCGTTACGGGAGGATCACACCTTCGCTTTACGGTTAGATTCTTTTTACCTTGACATAACATAAGACCGATTTTCGTGTGCTTTAATATGAACATGTTTGCAAATGTTGTAATGGGACAGGAAACGCTGAAAGTGGAATGAATGGGAGCTTTCTTGGGAACCAAGAGATGGGATGGACAAGTGGAAGAACGTTGGATACAAGAGTGATGAGACGGCCTGTGTCAGCACCATCGTGGCAGATCAATCCGATGAATGTATTTAGTCAAGGATCAGTCGGAGGAGGAGGGACAAGCTTCTCTTCTCCAGAGACTATGGACACAAAACTAGAGAGCTACAAGGGAATTGGCGACTCAAACTGTGCTCTCTCTCTTCTGTCAAACCCGCATCAGCCACAGGACAACAACAGCAACAACAACAACAGCACTTGGCGAACTTCTTCAGGTTTTGGTCCCATGACGGTTACAATGGCTCAGCCACCACCTGCACCTAGCCAGCATCAGTATCTGAACCCGCCTTGGGTGTTCAAAGACGAAGATAACACCTGTCCGAATGAAATGTCCCCTGTTTTGAATTTAGGTCGATTCACCGAGCCGGATAATTGCCAGATAAGCGGTGGCACGACGATGGGTGAGTTTGAGTTATCTGATCACCATCATCAAAGTAGGAGGCAGTACATGGAAGCTGAGAATACAAGGGCTTATGACCCTTCTTCTCACCATACCAACTGGTCTCTCTGAGTCTCTCTTTGCTTTAAGACTAAGACTACTCTTTGCATTAGACAGAGAATCTTGTTACTATGAACGATTCTGCAATATCTCTCATCTTTAGCTCGTTTTTTTTTTTTTTTTTTCTGTTTATCTGCTACTAATAAACTAGACAATTGTTGCCAGAGAATGGCTTTTGTATTTTTTTCTTTATGCTTCTTCTTGTTTTAGCTCTCATCTTAGGAGTCAAGATTGAGGATCACCATTATCAATTTCACATAAAGGTTCCGTATATTCATCTATATATATAATCATCCTTATAGAATCAAAAGCAGGAGCTACAATTACCTCTTTGCTTTAGCCGATTAATTTTGCAAAGCATCACCGTAAGTTCAGATTCGGATCAACAAACGCGAGTTTGCTTTCCCTCTCAAAATCCTAATCATTCGTCTTCAAAGAGCCATTCTTTTCCTTCAACGACTTCGTCGATTCAGCCATGGCCGGCAGAGCTTTTGTTACAGAGACGGGGAAGATAATGTCATTATTGGGCTTCTTAACGGGCCTAAATGGCCCAAAGAGTCAATCTAAATTTCACTAGGATCTGCTTGGTCAAAATTCCTAATCAGGCTTTCTCTGGCTCTCTACCGCGTCTCGTCTCCGAAGAACAACATCGAGAATTTCGTTGAGCTCATCAACTGAATTCGCTCTCGTCACTTTGTTCGCCTCTCGTTTCTTCGAATTTCCAAAGGTTAGACCATTCTCAATCATTCTATGATTTCTCTTCCTTCTGTTATGTAACATTTCTTCTGTTCTTCAGTGATTGATTCAATTTTTTTTCCGTTGTATTACGACTCTGATGAGCTTACTGAGCTGCTCAAGCTAGGGTTCTTCTCTTACATTAATCAAATCTCGGATTTTTTTATAACCCCAATATCCTTCTACATAAATTCTGCGTCTTTGATGATGATTGTCTTTCTTAGTGATGATATTGACGATCTGGGAATGGGTTCGTTAATTTGCAAAGACCGCGACTTTAAAACTTCGATTAGATTAATTTCCTTCAAATTCCGCGTCTTTGGTTACATCCCGCATTCAATTTTCACATTTTCTGCTGTTTGATCGTGTTTTTTCCTCGTGAATATTTGCTCCTGTGCATTAGCTAGAACGGTAGAAGAAACCATGGATCCAGCTGAAATGAGATACTTGGAAGAAGAGGATGGTCCAATGATGAAGACAATCAAAGGTAGTGTCACTGGTTTTGGTGCTGGGACTATTTACGGAACCATTTTAGCGACATGGAAAGACGTTCCAAGAGTGGAGAGAAATGTGGCTCTTCCAGGACTCATCAGAACACTGAAGATGATGGGAACACACGGGCTGACTTTCGCTGCCATTGGGGGCGTTTACATCGGTGTTGAACAGCTGGTTCAGCATTATAGATCAAAGAGAGACTTTTTCAATGGCGCTATTGGTGGTTTTGTGGCTGGAGCTTCTGTGCTTGGCTATAGAGGTAATGGTTTTTTCTTATTCACTCCAAGTAGTTTGGAACTGATACGGTCTTGGGGAAGACCATTTGAAGTTGCTCGAATTAGCTGTACGTAGTTCATGGGGGTTTAGGAGCTTAACGGTTATTGATGGTACAAACAACTGTTTCAAGTGGTAGAAACTATAAGAATTTTTGAGATTTTGTTTAATCTGGGAAGAATTTAATTGTCCTTGCCTCAAATTAATGTCATTCACATCTATATGATATCATAAGTTCCAAGACTTTGATGTTGGAGTTTGTATAGAAAACCCCCAAAAATCTCATAATATGTACATAGCTTCCAGTGACTCAATGCTATAAATTCTTTTGATGCTAAGCTCAATTGTAATCTCGTTTAATTTGGCGATTTTTTTTTGTTTTTCCATTTTTTGACAGCAAGGAGCATCCCGACAGCGATATCTGCAGGTGCAGCTCTAGCTGTAACCTCTGCTTTGATTGACTCTGGAGGTCAGACCACAAGAGTAGACAATGGCAGAGAATATTATCCTTACACCGTCGAGAAAAGAGCTGAAGCTGATGCCTGATTTCTCTTTTGGTGACTGATATCAATAAGCTGTGCATTCGCTGATCTTGAGATTATCTCTCGTTTTTTGTTTTGTTTAATGTATCTGGTAATGTGAAATCATAAAACGCTTTGCTCTTTTTTCCTCATGTTTTTTCTGGAGAGTGACTTGCATGCATCTTTTGTCTGAATGTTTCCTACAATAAAAATATCAACTTTGTCCGCAAATGTAAGAAATGCAATTGTGATCAGAGACAGGTGCTTGTTTCTGATAATCTCAAGTTAGTTACTTTATCTGAATCTATAATAAATTTGAACGTGACTAGCACTAGGAAACAAACATTAATCATGTATCACAATCAGATGAAGTAGATTTTGGTAATCTACATGTAAAAGCTGAGTCGCTGACGTGGCAATAACTCATTGGCTACCTTAAATTTCCTTGTGGTATGGCTAATCTAGTGGTTCTTGTCCAAAGTGACAATCGCATTGCAGTGACGAGTTTTCTTCTTTCAAGAGACCTCTGCATCAATGGCGGGGATCATAAGCCCTGGCCCTACGGCTCTTTATTTCGGCAGGTAAAACGAATTTCCACATGTAGAAGTTTGGCTCTTTTTGAAAAATTCGCCAAATTTTTTGATCAAATGGTTAATCTTGGAGAGTTGTCATCCAAAACCAGAATCAATCAGATGAAAGTTAACAGTTTCGATTTCTGATGCAGTAATGTCGGAACGAGGCGGTTAAAAGCAGTGAGCTGGGCGGCAAAGAGTGTCTCCGGGAACAGAATCCGCCGGAAAAACCTGAGAATTGCGGCGGAGGTGAGATTCGTGAGTGCAGAAGAAGCGAAGCAGTTAATTGCAGTGGAAGGTTACTCGGTGGTGGATGTAAGAGACAAGTCTCAATTCGAGAGAGCTCATATAAAATCTTGTCACCATATCCCTCTCTTCATTTACAACGAAGACAACGATATTGGTAAGAAATTCGAGCACCATCTTGAACAAAAACAGTAGACAGTACAATTTCTAAGCGATTTTTGTTTGAACAAAATCGCAGGGACGATAATAAAGAGGACAGTGCACAACAATTTCTCAGGGCTCTTCTTTGGTTTGCCTTTCACGAAACTCAATCCGGAATTCCTTAAATCCGTTAGAAACGAGTTTTCTCCAGACAGCAAACTTTTAGTTGTTTGCCAAGAAGGTCTCAGGTTAGTAGAAAAACAAACTGCAGATTCACTCACTGAGAGATATGTATCAATGAATGTATGGTATGAGACTTTTCTTTGGTCGAATTTCAAAAGATCTGCAGCTGCAGCTAGTAGACTGGAGGAAGCAGGATTCGAAAACATTGCTTGTGTAACGTCAGGGCTACAATCTGTGAAACCAGGTTTGATTTCCATTTGGCTTCATATAGGATCATTTCTTGGGGGGTTTTTGGAGATATAAGTTTGATCAGAGGAAAGATGTTTAATTGGATTTGCTTTGCGTCTTTAGGGACATTTGACTCGGTTGGGTCAACCGAGTTGCAGAATGCCGGCAAAGCAGGGCTTATCACAGTTCAAGGCAAGATCTCAGCAGTCTTAGGAACAGTGCTCGTCTGTAAGTAAAATTTAACATGTGATTTGAAGAATATAGAGATTGTTGATTGGTCTTTTCTTTTGGTTATGAATAAGACTTGGTTGAACTTTGTAGGTGCTTTGTTGTTCATAACGTTCTTCCCGGATCAAGCAGAGAAGCTATTTCCTTCAAGCTAAAGACAAAAACAAAAACAACAATTGATCCGAAGAAGTTTTTATAATTTTTCAGCCTGTTTGTATGTGTTAGATGGTTAAGAGAAAAGAATTAAAAAAAAAAAAAAATACCCAAGTATTTAGAATTCAACGAGTTCCTAAATATATATATGGTATTGAGCAAACTTGTTACATCTGCTTATAACAATTGAAAGAAATCAACAGTTAAAAAAGATAAGACTGCATAATGTTTTTCAAGAAGAAAGAGACAAAAACCTGGGGCTGCCAAAACAATTAAAACTAGTAATAAATATGATCAAATCAGAGTAAAAAAAAACCTACAAAAAAAAAAACTTAGGAGTTAGGCAGCGTGCTGTGCAGTTAAGTTCTGATGTCATACGTGGTAGCAATCTCTGAAGAGGAACGGATCAAGAAAACTCTACAGTGACTGAGACATCTTCCATCGCAATCGGAGAATTAGTCACCTTGTAGGCAGTAAAGTTGTCGAATATTACCCGTTGCTGTCACCAAACAAAACAGAGGATAGTTATACAATGACAAATGGAGTGAATAAATCAGAATGGGGATTTGATTTTTTACCGTAGAGCCAGTCTTTGAAATGCATGTGGAATGCGGTAGTAAGTTCTCGTTTTCGGTTTTCTTCAAGAGGTGTTTCTCTTAAGGACTGCCTTGTTTCTTCCAATTTCTTAAGCTGGTCAAACAAATAGGCAGTTTGGGTATCAGATGCTGTTGTGATATGGAAGAAAAACAAACAGAGCACTTCTGTTCAAAAAAAAAAAACATACGTTTGTCTGCTGCACTGCCATATAGGCATCTGGTAATGGAAATGGATTGTCTTTCGTGTAACCAAGGGACTCGCCCGCAAACCAGTTTGGGATCTGAACCAGAGACATTGATGTGAGAAATTACCACGTGATAAAAATCTTGGTACCCAACATGACTAGTTATTACAGGAAAAGTAAACTAACAAAAAGGGGGATCTTACCAAAAAATTAGTGAACTGGTCAGGGTCCACACAAGAAGCCGATTCAGTTTGTTTATCCGAAGCACCGGTAGGATGTGACAGTGAGTCATGCGGATCAACGGCTCCCAGAGCCAAGGATTCATTCCATTTGTTGATAGTTGGCACAATCCCTACCTCGGTCATGTGCTCCTCCAAGTGTGAGTAATATGTATTATACGGAGCAACCTGGAACAGATCTAAGTCAAATTAATGCCAGCAGTTATAAACACTACATCAAAATATTTTTCCACTAAACTCAATTGAGGAAGTGACGTTAACAGCATGTATAATTGTCCAAACACCATGAACATTAGGTATAACAAGCTTTCAAAACACAAAAAACATATAACCTAATAGAGCTTAAAAGTTCAGTGGTCTCTTTACTAATTTCAGCTGAATAACAGAGCTGGAAAGAAGAGTTGTACATGCAGCCTAATATAAAACTTAGCTTCACTCTTATAAAGACGCTTCACCTGTAGTTTGTGGTTATCACCAACAATAAGAGGTCGCTGATTGACTCCCAAAAAGAACACACATTCACGGCAATTGGCGATGCAGATTCGTTTTGTAGCTGCAATCACATGAACTCTCTCACAATGCTCAACTCTTACAGCCTGCACATGCAGTGAACATAAAATATTCTCACTACATCTTCTAACCCGAACCTCACTAACAAAGACAAAAGCAGGAAGGAGTATACTTGTCGTACCTTGCCAGCAGCTCCCAGAACAATAGTAGAATCAGAACATCCATAAACAGTTGCATATCTCAATGGCGCTAAAAGATATACGACAGAATCATGGCAATTGGCAATCTGCAAACGTGCAATTGACGTGCATTCATGAGCGAAAAAAAAACGGAATGCAAAATTACTGATTAGAATGCATATTAGCTGTTCAATACGGACCTTCACAGATCTACCCTTAAGATCGGAAGCCTGCTTGAAAAGTGAAGTCTTGGAGACTCCCTCGATAATACAAGGACCTCTATCGTTAGATGAAACTTTATTAAGAGCTTCACAAGCATCTGCGTTTCCAGCATCTTGATCAGAGGCATTAGATGGTCCATTTTCTTTCCCAGAAATTCTGTCAGAAATGCTTTCCAAGGCGGAAGCTATGTTTTTCAGAAGCCAATCATGCACTTGGGAAGCAGAAACGGGAACAGCAGGCATATCAGGATCAGAATTCGCAAAAAAAGGAGTAGCTTGACTCAAAGAAGGTACATCAGATGCCTTATCACCAAAATGAAGAAGAAACCCAATGTGCTCAAAACTCTCCAAAGACAGGACCTAAGGAGGAGATTTGGGAAATTAAAAAAAAAATAACAACAGTTAAATTGTGATGAATTAACCATCTAGCATGAGATATGCGTTATTTATCATTTCCAATAATTCGAATTCCAACAAAGGATTTTATATCCGTCTAATAGAAACAGTTAACTCCTTCCATAATGAGATAAAGAAAGGTTTGCACATACCGAAGATTCATCTCCTTCCCCTTCCACAGGCTCTGCAAGGAGAGAGATAATATTTGGCATGTGCTTTTGAAGATACGATAACTGATGAGCTTCTTCATCTGCTGGTGATGGCATAAAGCGACGGCTGTTGCTACGGACAAGCTGCAAGATGATGAAAAAGAAATCTAACTCAAACTTCGAGAGAAACAAGGTTGTCTAGACCCATATGATTGGAAAAGTAATGACAATAATTATGGGTAAAATATTTCAAAGCTCCGAAAAGGCTTATCATAAGCTCAAAGATACCAGAACACACCCCCACATTATCATTAAGAGGAAATATGGAAGGATCAACCAAAATAAAGAACTATGAAAAGAAACAGAGTCAAACCCACACAAAACACAGCAAAGTGGCAATTTTTTGGCTTCAATCCGCGAATTTAAAATTTACGAACACGTAGCCACAAACTACACCCCTCACACGAGTCGTCTTCAACATTGCTTAATTCTAACGTCGCTAAGTTTCACATGAATTGAGTATCTACAAATTTTGCAACTTGTATTGCCAAATTATAGTAGAACTCAATGCAAAATGGACACTTGGATCATACGCACTACGATCACATGAAAACATTTCGAGCCACATTACACGATTAAGCGAATGTGAAAACGTAAAGAACTTGCCTGAATTGGAGATAACGCGGACAAGTATCCATCGAAAGCGGAAGTCGATGGCCAGACATCGGCGACAGCTGCGGAGTCCTTGTGCGTCCTAGGCAGCAACTTCTTATACGATTGAATGTAAAGGAACAAAACCAGATCCCTCAAATCAGCTCCAATCGAATCAACTTCCTCCGGTTTAGCGAGAACAAGAGGGTCAGTCTCGGAATGGAGCACCGAGCCGAGAGTTTCGAGAACGAGGCGCGCATGGTCACCGGAGATCAGGAGGGCATCGGAAATGGCAGCAGATCCGACGCGATTATTCTTCGCCACAGATGCTAACTTTTGCTTGATCGGAGCTAAGTTTTGGATCGGGTCGGTGAAAACGAGCTTCTGGATCGGAAGGAGGCCGTGCTCGAAAGGCACACGCCTTGGATAGATTACTGAATTTAAATTTGGTTTCGGACTTTGAATCGGGTCTGGGTCAGGTGTTGGGGATTTGCCGATGTGTTCTTCCGTCATAATGCCTCACAAGCCAGAGAGAAAGAGAATGTGAGTTGCAGATCTTTTGAACCAAAAAAAAAAAAATAGTCATCGAGAGAAGGAAGAAGGAGAGAGAGAGACTGTGATATTGCAGTGTGGGCAACCACATGCTATTATCCTACACTTCGTTACTTCTATCGTTGGATTAAACGAGCTAAAGAAACAAAGAGTAAGAAAACGCGCGGATATTTAATTGGGCTTTTTCGGCCCATTAAGAAACATATCCTGCTATTTTTCTTCCGATTTGAACAAAACGCAAACTTTAAACCACTTTTAAAGCTGTAAAAACTGATTCTCCGGTTAGCCGGCGACGGGATAAGTCGTCTTCAATGGATGATTTGGCGGCATACTACTCTCTCTATAACCTCCCGGTGATTGTTCCTCCTCCGCCGCCGGGAATATCTCCGATTCCAATCACTCCAACACACTCCGTCTACTTGCCTACACACGCCTCAATCGGAGATGAGGTTCGTACGCTTTTCGTCGCCGGACTTCCCGAAGACGTCAAGCCCCGGGAGATCTATAATCTCTTTCGTGAGTTCCCAGGTTATGAGACTTCGCATCTCCGGACCTCCGATGGAGCTAAGGTAAATGTAATCCTTTTCTTAACTCTCGGAATCAAATGTAATCTCGGGGATAGACAAAGAATCTAACTTGTGTATGTTTTTGAAGCCCTTCGCATTTGCTGTGTTTTCGGATCTGCAATCAGCTGTAGCAGTGATGCACGCTCTCAATGTGAGTAAATTTTTCTCTGAAGCTACTTTTGCTGGAAAGATTGAAAATTTGGGTTTTGTCTGCGCGAAATGAATAAGCTATTGCCATTTATCTTTGCCTGGATTAAGAGAATTTCTGAATTTATTTATGAAGAAGATTAAGCTTTCTTTATTTAATTTTTTTTTTTTTTCATTCCAGGGAATGGTATTTGACCTTGAAAAGCATTCTACTCTTTATATTGATCTTGCCAAATCAAACCCCAAATCTAAGCGTTTAAGAACAGGCAAGTAGTGGGATTCTTTCTGTTCGGTATCGCTCAATAAAAGTTGGATCTTTGCTTCTGTGCTAATTTTTTTCTGTCATGTGGTAGATGATGGTTGGGAGAGCTTGAAAAAAACAAAATCTTGGAGCGCCACTCCTGAATCTGGTAAGACCCCTTTATCTTGGAACGCTTGTAATCTTATATGTTTTATGCTTTCCTGTATCTGAAATATCTGCTTAGTATTTTATCGCTCCAACCTTCACAATCCACACGCTCTTGCATGTTAGCTCTTTGGTTTAAGATTTCACACTTGGGCAGGGCTATAAGTTTGTCAACATGGTTTCACGTTTCTGAAAGCTCACACTGCACATTCTTGCACATTTGGGCACAAAAGCAGGTTTTGGCAGCTTTCACACTCCTGGAACGAGTAGTTCTGCTTACAACACATTTGGTTGTTCACCTGCACAAAGGTCATCTGCATTACTTGAGCACATTTCCTTGTTATGGGGGGCATGATTAAGATTATGTTTCTTTGTTGCACACACTTTTCTTGTATCTCTGCCCCAAAACCTGAAATGGCCATGTCTCCCATGCCCAGGATATGAGAGACCTTTTCCTTTCTTAGTTATTTGCTAACGATATTGAGTTTCTTATTATTTTCTTCTTTGCTCATTCAGTCAAGGAATTGCTAATGTTGCTAAGAGGTCAACAACAACTGGAAAATCTGTAAGCTTCTGCGTACTTTATACTTCCATATGAATGTTATTTTTCGTCGTGTAAAAACAGTGAGGTTAACTCTCTGTTACAAAGTGGACATGACAATCTTTGTTCTTTTGACAGAATAATGCTGCAGAACCTTGTCCAACACTTTTCATAGCAAATATGGGACCAAATTGCACTGAATCTGAGTTAGTTCAAGTCTTTTCCAGGTAAGAATACTCTGTCCTGCATGCAAAACTGTAAAACCATTAGATATGTATTAGTTTTCACTCACTAGAATGTAACAGAGCTCTTTCTTGTTTAGATGCCGTGGATTCTTGAAGCTGAAAATTCAGGGCACATATGGGACTCCTGTTGCATTTGTTGATTTCCAGGTACAGCTCTTCCAATATCGTTTTCTGAATGCGATCAAGGGAGATCCTGTTTTGTTTGAAGAGTGAATTTACTTTGACATGTTTACTTTCAGCAATATAAATCTCTGATATGTGGGTTTTGCAGGACATCAGTTGCTCAAGTGAAGCACTACATACTCTTCAAGGCACAGTGCTTTACTCATCTCTCACTGGTGAGGGTTTGAGGCTGCAGTATCCTTCACTGACAATACCTATGTTTTTCCTTTATTTCTTTTCTTGTAAGACTTTACTGCCATCCCAAGAACCAACTTAACAAGCATTATCAGATATGCGAGATCACGGATGGGGATGCGTAAGAAGATTAATTAATGTTAATATTATTAACTAAGCTCTGATTAGTGAAGATAAAGTAGAATGCCATGCCAAAACATCGTAGATACTGAACTTAGCTATACGCATGTATAGTCTCGGTATTCAGATGTATTATTTATCAGATGATTGAAGGGGAAATTAGGCAAAATATGTTTTACCCTCGAAATAAAAAAATTCGCCATCATATTTTGTAGTTTTGTGTGTAAACGACAAATATATACAGATGTATATCCCTTTTGACATTGTTCTCTCTCTTTTCTTCGTTCTTGTTTTCGTCTCCTTTCAATCTTATTTGCTTTACAAAACAAATTGATTCATTGAGATCCTTACTAAAAAGATATGTATATTCTTTTTCTGTATTTGATGTGACTTGAATTTTCCAAAACGGACACAAATTTGTAGGATTTACAATTTTAGGTTTTGACTTTATTAATAGGTTCAAGACTTATTTGGCTGTTACGAAAGCACTTAAGAAGTAGTATTGAAGTGATCCACAGGGTTGCACACAAGTGGCCGAGCCATCTCAGCAGCAAAACCAGAACCTTGGCTTAGATCAACCTTTTGTCCATCAACAGTTTGCCAGTCAAAGCGCTGCACCAATGAACCCACACCAACATGCATCACATTCATGGCAAGTGATGCTCCTGGACATCCTCTTCTTCCACTCCCAAACGGAAGGTAACGGAAATTCTGCCCCTTGAACTCCATCTGATGTTCACCTATCTTCTCTTCAGAGCTCTCTAGAAATCTCTCAGGGATGAATTTGTCTGCATCCTTCCACAGTTCTGGATCTCGCATGATTGCATAGACATTAACGAGCACACGGGTTTTTGACTTGACAAGGCACCCATTCACCTGACAGTCTTGTGCGCATTCTCTTATGATCAGAGGAGCTGAAGGGTGTAGCCTCAGAGTTTCCCTGAGGACAGCTCGGAGGTAAGGGAGGTTATGAACGTCTGATTCTTTGACGAGTCTTTTGCTTCCAACAACAGTGTCTATCTCTTCTCTTAACTTGTTGAACACTTGTGGATGGTTTATTAGTTGCCCCATTGCCCACTGCATTGCTGATGCTGATGTATCTGTTCCGGCCATGAAAACATCCTAGAGAAGTTTCATATAACACACACTTTTATCATATCAGAATAATCAAAACTAAAAGTTGGTTTCTAGTTGCAGGTGAGAGGAAACATACCAACAGGAAAGATTTCATGTCATTCCTCGTTAGCTTGATTTCAGCAGTGGGATCTCTGTAAGTTTCCAACAATATATCCAAAATGTCCCTTCTCCTACCTTGTTTCATCATCGGATTTGCCTCACGTTCCTTCATGATCTTCTCTACAAGCAGATCATATTTCTCCATTACAGCGACTAGTTTCTTCCCGTTGCCAGAAAAATCCAGTACTTGCAATGGACCCAACACATCTCCTACGCTGACTTTCCCTGCAAGCTCCAAACATGTCTTGACAAGCTTCCTAATCTCTTCCGCTTCATTAACAGTACCTGAACACCTCGTGCTCATAGCCATCCTGCAGATGACGTTGTTGGTGTAACTCACGAACTGGCTACTTAAGTCACAAGGCAACCCTTCTCTGCAACACTTAGCCACAGACTCGACCAGCTTCAGTTTCTCTTCCTCACGGATGTCTGCGAATTTCTCAAGCTGTGGAACAGCAAGAAGCTTGGTCATGCACAGCTTCTTCATGAACCTCCAGTAATCTCCGTACTGTGCAAGGACAAACCTGGAACCTCTATACTTGAAATACTCAGCTGAACCAAACTCAGGTCTTGAGGAAAAATTAAGCTCTTGTTCCTTGAAGATCTCTCTCGCCACCGAAGAGCTTGAGACCACAACGCACTTAGAAGCACCGAGACGTATCTCCATGAGTGGTCCATGCTTGCGAGCTAGGCTCTGGAATGAGACTGGCAATACTTTGCCTATCAAATGAAGGTGACCAATGAATGGTAAAGCAGAAGGGCTTTGTGGTGGCAGCTTCGTAGCAGCCTTTGAACCATGCTCCTTTGACGACCATTTGAAGAAAGCATTAAGCATAAAAGCAAAAACGAAGGATGTGATGAGGATAAGGTTAGTGTTTAATTCTAGATCCATTGCAGGTTTATTGATACAATTTTTGAAGTGTGCTTGTATTTATTATGCCTTAGTACACAGACGAATCTTGTTTATCAGATTCCTATTGTAAAGAAACAAACAACAGATGTGACCTTTTATTATTATATATATGTATGGCGTAACATTGTACATGACTTCAATGTTAAAATCTTTAAAAAAAAGAATTTTCTTATAGTTTTTTTAGTAGATGGCATTTTCCCAGAATGTGACAATGACAGATACACACAAATCTCAGGCAAAACTGACATCAGCAATTTTAACCAAAACAACACCAACGTTGGAAACTTCTGTACAATCTGTTTTAACAATTCAGTATCCTGAAGCAAGAAGATATCATCAGAAATCTCTATGCATGGAAAATACAGAGTCTAAAGAAAAAGGTTCCAAACATAAAATCCGTGAGCGATCTAAAGCCAAAACTATCTACTAGTTATCCCCTCCTATGATATATCATCAGAAGATGAATCTCTTACTATGTTTTATCATCAGACAAATGATAGAATCTTCCTACTGTATATCATCAGAGAAATGATTGACCACCATTCTAGTAATATCATCAGAGAATGATACCCAAAAGTCTTAACAAATCTACACACTCATGAAGATATCACCAGCAGATGATCCACTTCTCCCTCTTTGATATCATCAGAAGATGATGTACTCACTGTGCAGGCACACCTTTATTCCCTGATTCCTATGGTCTCCTTCTAACGTCACAGCTTCTTTTCTGAGTGTGAAAAGTGGAAATCATCGCATTGACATTAACGTCCGGACCCTTTTCTCCCTTTCTGCTCTCTTCGCACTAGGAGTGCTTTTCATTTTCTGAATCTCTTCCATCACAACCTTCTCCACTTTGTCAATAGAGTTGAGGAGCTTCTTCTGTGGAGTGAGGGATTCTTCTTCCCCTGTGTTTTCTCTTGTGATGTCGAGCAGAATCTTATGGACTTTAGCAGCTGAGGGTGGCCAAGGACGCTTGAATCCAACAGATGGACCAGGAGTGACCATGGAATAGTTGTGCTCGAGCTGAGCACCTGACAGTGGTACTAGAGAATCAAGAACCCCAAGCTGTTGTGGAGTTGGGGTCTCAATATCTCGGCCAACGCCTTCTCCCATACGAGCTCTCCTTCTCTCAATAGCCTGCATAAAGAAGTTTGTAGATAGAATAAATAGCGAGGCTAAGCAAGCCATTGTCAACAGGTGATGATAATAGTTAACAAAGAGGCTAAGCAAGCCTGTGATGTAAAAACAGAAGACTGGACTAGCTTAGCATCGGACTACAATTCAGCTGCAAAACACAAACTCAGTTCAAGATTGGGTATAGTGTAAAACAACCTACGGAGGAAATCAAGATGCAGCAGAACAAATCTTTATGTGCAAACCCAAACAAATATGAGAAACTATAACGGTAATATCTGCAAATAGGAGAATAATACATTCTTTTACTTTTTCAGATCCAACTTGGGTATATACCAAAGTTAAACAGTCAACTCCCGAACCAAGATACTAATCACAAACTAGATATAAACAGATCAAAATGGCTAAATACTAATTGGAAAAACTCCAGTTATATCCAAGAATAAGCAGAAGGAAAAAAAAATTATGAAACAGGATTGAGTCAACTAACCCTAACGACGCCAGAAACATCACGGAGGGGCGTTCGAGGATACCAAGAAGGCAAGACAGAAGTTGAAGCACGAGCCCTTCCACGCCTTGCAACACCCAAGCTCATGTTCTCTCGTCCCTGTGGCGATCTAAATTGAGTTTGGCCTCTTCTACCACCACCAGTCCGCCGAATACCGAAATTTCCCCTCACAAGCCCACCTCTTCCAATCACAGGTTCCGATGGCACTCTCTGAACCGGAGACCCAAACAAACTGTGCTGTGTCACCGGGTCGTCATGTAAAATTCCATTCGAGCGTCTGCTGAGAAATGCGGCTGGGTAATCCACTGGCCTCTCTATTCGGTCTCTTGCTTCTGGCATTGTGATTATCTGCTTGAAATCGAAGAGGAAAACGATAAGAATACACCCAAGATTGAATGGCTAATAACTTGAAACGTAATTGACTAAACCTAAACTTCGAATCCCCTAATTGCATTTCTCAGGTAAGAGACTCAATCTTGTTCTCCACTGTAATCGGATTTTCTCGTAGAAACGAAACCCAAAGCATGGAAATACTCTAGCAACAAATAAAACCATGGATTTACCTATGAATCTTCAATTAGGTTCCTTCGTGACAGCTCCAAACGGGCTTGCGAACAGTAAAGCGAGGGGACAAAGTGGTAAAGGAGAGAAAAGCTTTTCTGAGAGAGAGACGATCTGGCAATTTTTTTTAGGCTATCATCTGGGCGGGTTTTATAATTGAAAATGAAAAACTGAAAATTTTCAAGCTCGCACGTGTGAGAGAGGTAACACTTGTGTCAAAAATTTTGAATTTTCACCAGAGGCGGGATGACACAATTCGTCAAAATTCATCATCCTCAAACTACCATCCCTTGCTAGATTACGATTTTACCCTTCCAAAGCGAGTAAATATCATGTGCGTTATAACCCACCCAAGTTTATGCACCCTTGCTTTCTCGATCGAATCCTCACCGTTTACATGATATAGAGCCATCCACCGTCCACATGGCAAGGTTTAACAATATTGGTCGATGATGTAATCCGGTACCATAAAACCAAGAACCATCTCTCATTATTTTTTTTTTGTTTTATAATACCTAGACCGGCCGAACCGGGCATTAGACATCTAGATATGATGAACCTCCTTTTTGCTTTTAGACATTATGATGATATAAAATTACCGACATGTATTGTCGGTTTATTTTTTTTTGTACCAGCTATAAGTATCGAGCCCCATTGATTGACGAATTCGAGAGGCAATTGTGGAGGGCGAAGAAACGGAGTACGAGAGAGGTAAATCGATCGATTTCCTAATTGCAGATAAAGGAGGTTTTGTATCAATTTCTGTTCTTCTCATTGATTTGATTTTTGATTTTTGATTTTGGGGTTTCTGTTTTCCGATTCGGTGATGTCGAATTTGGGTGGCGGCGCGGAAGAACAGGCTAGGTTGAAGCAGTATGGGTACAAAGCCAATTCGAATCTGGTGCTTAACCCTGATGAGCGTCCTCGTGATACGCATGAACCAACCGGGGAGCCAGAAACTCTCAGGGGGAAGATTGATCCTAAATCCTTTGGAGATCGCGTTGTTAAGGGGAAATCTAACGAGTTAGATGAGAGGCTGAACAAGTCGAAGAAGAAGAAAGAGCGTGAGGCTACAGATGATTTGGTCTTTGTTCGAGAGAGCAAGAGACGTCGTCTTAAGGAGGAGAGTGTGCTTACTGATACGGATGATGGCGTTTATCAGCCCAGGACTATGGAAACGAGGGCTGGTTATGAGGCCATGCTTAGTCTTATTCAACAGCAATTGGGTGGGCAACCTCTGAGTATTGTTTGTGGTGCGGCTGATGAGATTCTGGCGGTTCTCAAGAACGATTCCTTGAAAAACATTGAGAAGAAGATGGAGATTGAGAAACTGCTGAACCCTATTCCTACACAGATTTTCGATCAGCTTGTTTCGATTGGTAAATTGATCACGGACTATGGTGGTGATTATGGAACTGATGAAGCTGTTGAGGATGAAGGACTTGATTATGATGTGGGTGTGGCTCTTGAATTTGAGGAGCATGAAGAAGATGATGAGGAGAGTGATCTTGATATGGTCCAGGAAGAAAAAGATGAAGAGGATGAAGAAGGTGCTGCACCTAACAGAACTGGAGGTGTGCAGGTTGGTGTGGCGATAAACGCTAAGTGTGCAGAACACGGAGGCTCGAGTCTTAATGTTCAGGAAATTGATGCTTATTGGCTCCAGAGAAAGATATTCCAAGGATATGAACAGCAGATTGATCCACAGGAGTGCCAGGTTCTCGCAGAGGAGCTGCTTAACATACTTGCTGAGGGGACTGATAGGGATGTTGAGAACAAACTGCTTGAGCACCTTCAGTTTGATAAGTTTAGTCTTGTTAAATTTCTGCTGCAGAACCGCCTCAAGATTGTGTGGTGCACCCGTTTGGCTAGGGAAAAAAACCAGGAAGAGAGGAATCAAATCGAGGAGGAGATGATGGGGTTGGGCCCAGGGTTGGCAGAAATTTTGGAGGAGTTGCATGCAAAAAGAGCTACAGCCAAAGAAAGGGAGGAGAACCAGGAAAATAAAATCAAAGAAGAAGCACGGGGTCTTAAGGATGATTTTGGTGGAGATGAAGACAGAGGCAGAAGAGATGTTGATGATAGAGATTTAGATAATGGTTGGTTTAAGGGTCAGCGTCAGATGCTGGACCTGGAGAGCCTGGCTTTTGACCATGGTGGTATCCTGAGGGAGAATAAGAAGTGTGAGCTTCCTTCTAAGTCTTACAGAATTCATGGCAAGGAATTTGATGAGGTTCATGTGCCATGGGTTTCTAAAAAGTTTGATTGTAATGAAAAGCTTGTGAAAATCACCGATATGCCAGATTGGGCCCAACCGGCTTTTAAGGGAATGCAGCAGTTGAACAGAGTTCAGAGCAAAGTGTATGAGACTGCTCTGTTTAAAGCGGAGAACATTCTTCTTTGTGCTCCAACTGGTGCTGGGAAGACCAATGTTGCTGTGCTCACCATATTGCAGCAACTAGAATTAAATACGAACTCAGATGGGAACTACAAAATTGTCTATGTTGCACCCATGAAAGCCCTTGTTGTTGAGGTCGTTGATACTCTATCTAAACGCTTGAAGGACTATGGAGTTACTGTGAAGGAACTCAGTGGGGATCAGTCACTTACTCGGCAAGAAATCGAAGAAGCTCAGATCATTGTTACAACACCAGAGAAATGGGATATCGTCACCAGGAAATCTGGAGATCGCACTTATACTCAGCTTGTGAGGCTTCTTATAATTGATGAGATTCATCTTCTTAATGATAGTCGAGGGCCGGTGCTTGAAAGTATTGTCGCTAGGACTCTTAGGCAGATCGAAACCACAAAGCAGCATATTCGTCTGGTGGGTTTATCAGCGACACTTCCAAATCATGAAGATGTGGCCTCATTTTTGCGGGTGGATCTTAAGGGTGGGTTGTTTACATTCGACCGCAGCTACAGACCCGTGCCTCTCTCTCAGCAGTATATTGGAATTAATGTGAAAAAACCATTGCGGAGGTTCCAATTGATGAATGATATATGCTATCAGAAAGTATTGGCTGGTGCTGGGAAACATCAGGTCCTTATTTTTGTCCATTCGAGGAAGGAAACAGCCAAAACTGCAAGAGCAATACAGGAAACCGCAATTGCGAACGATACCCTCAGCAGATTTTTGAAGGAAGATAGTAATAGTCGTGAAATTCTTCAGAGTCAGGTTGAACTTGTCAAGAGTAGTGACCTGAAAGATCTTCTGCCTTATGGTTTTGCAATTCATCATGCTGGGTTGACAAGGAGTGATCGTCAGATAGTTGAGGATCAATTTCGTCTTGGGCATGTTCAAGTCTTGATTTCCACGGCAACTCTTGCCTGGGGTGTGAATTTGCCTGCACATACTGTCATTATCAAAGGAACCCAAGTCTATAACCCTGAGAGAGGAGCGTGGATGGAGCTGAGTCCTCTAGATGTTATGCAGATGATTGGTCGTGCCGGAAGACCTCAATATGACCAACATGGGGAGGGAATCATAATCACTGGCTACAGCGAGCTGCAGTATTATCTTCGTTTGATGAATGAGCAACTACCTATTGAAAGCCAGTTTATTTCCAAACTTGCTGATCAGCTTAATGCTGAAATTGTGCTTGGAACCATTCAGAATGCTAGAGAAGCTTGTCACTGGCTTGGCTATACATATTTAAATGTCCGCATGGTTAGTAATCCGACACTGTATGGCTTACCACCTGATGCCGTTGCAGAAGACATAGTATTGGAGGAGAGAAGAGCTGACCTGATACATTCTGCTGCTACTATCTTGTACAAAAACAACCTGATTATGTATGACAAGAAAAGTGGATACTTCCAGGTTACTGATTTGGGACGCATTGCTAGCTACTACTACATATCTCATGGGACAATAGCTACATACAATGAGAATTTGAAGCCAACGATGAGTATTATAGATCTTTGTCGTCTGTTCTCGCTGAGTGAGGAGTTCAAGTATGTCACTGTTCGACAAGATGAGAAGATGGAAATGGCAAAACTTTTGGATCGTGTCCCGATTCCGGTCAAGGAAACACTGCAAGAGCCTAGTGCAAAGATTAATGTTTTGCTGCAAGCATATATATCAAAGCTAAAGCTTGAGGGTCTTTCTTTGACATCTGACATGGTTTATATTAACCAGAGTGCTGGGCGTCTTCTACGAGCTCTTTTTGAGATTGTATTGAAGAGGGGATGGGCTCAACTGGCTGAGAAAGCTCTGAAGTTATCTAAAATGGTAGGGAAGAAAATGTGGAGTGTTCAGACACCCCTTCGGCAGTTTCATGGGATTCCAAATGAGGTTCTGATGAAGTTGGAGAAGAAAGATTTGGTGTGGGAGAGGTACTATGATCTATCTTCGCATGAGCTAGGAGAGATTATTCGAAATCCGAAGATGGGCAGACCACTTCACAAAATCATCCACCAGTTCCCAAAACTGAATCTTGCAGCACATGTTCAGCCAATTTCTCATTCTGTTCTGCAGGTGGAGCTTACTATTACACCCGATTTCCAGTGGGATGACAAGGTACATAAATATGTTGAACCGTTTTGGATAATTGTGGAAGACAATGATGGTGAAAAGGTCCTTCATCACGAGTACTTTCTTTTGAAAAAACAGTATATTGATGAGGATCACACTTTGAACTTCACTGTGCCTATCTCTGAGCCACCGCCACCACAGTATTTCATCCGGGTGGTTTCAGACAAATGGCTTGACTCACCGACTGTGTTGCCTGTATCTTTCAGGCATCTTATTCTTCCACAAAAGTATCCACCACCTACGGAGCTACTGGATTTGCAGCCCCTCCCGATGACGGCCCTTAGGAATCCATCGTATGAAACTCTGTATCAGGATTTCAAGCATTTCAATCCAGTGCAGACTCAGGTCTTTAGTGTTTTGTATAACACAAGTGACAATGTATTGGTTGCCGCTGCGACGGGAAGTGGGAAGACTATATGTGCGGAGTTTGCTATTTTGAGGAATCATCATGAAGGATCTGATTCAACAATGCGTGTTGTCTATATCGCACCTCTTGAGGCTATTGCCAAGGAGCAGTTTCGTGATTGGGAGGAAAAGTTTGGAAAGGGGCTTGGTTTACGGGTTGTTGAGTTAACTGGGGAGACAGCTTTGGATCTTAAGCTGCTTGAGAAAGGTCAGATAATCATAAGTACTCCTGAGAAATGGGACGCTCTGTCCCGCTGGTGGAAACAGAGAAAATATGTCCAGCAGGTTAGTTTGTTTATCGTCGATGAACTTCACTTAATTGGGGGTCAAGGTGGTCCAGTATTGGAGGTAATTGTCTCTAGAATGAGATATATTGCAAGTCAGGTCGGGAATAAGATCAGGATTGTTGCATTATCGACTTCCCTTGCTAATGCCAAAGATCTTGGGGAGTGGATTGGGGCAAGTTCCCGTGGCCTTTTTAACTTCCCGCCTAATGTTCGTCCTGTCCCACTTGAGATCCACATTCAAGGGGTGGACATATTGAATTTTGAAGCCAGGATGCAGGCGATGACTAAGCCAACATACACTGCCATAGTCCAGCATGCCAAGAACAAGAAACCGGCCATCGTTTTTGTCCCTAGCCGTAAACATGCCCGCCTTACTGCTGTGGATCTGTTAGCATACTCACACATGGACAACACGCAGAGCACTGATTTCCTGTCTGCGAATCTGGAAGAACTAGAGCCTTTTGTTAGCCAAATTTGCGAGGAAACTCTGAAGAAGACTTTGCGCCATGGAATTGGATACTTACATGAAGGTTTAAGCAGTCTAGATCAGGAGATTGTTAGTCAGCTTTTCAAGGCTGGGCGGATTCAGGTATGTGTAATGACTAGTTCATTGTGTTGGGGTACTCCATTGAAGGCTCATTTGGTTGTTGTAATGGGGACACAGTTCTATGACGGGCGGAAAAATTCTCATTCGGATTACCCCATCTCTGATCTGCTCCAGATGATGGGGCGTTGTAGCCGACCTCTGCTTGACAACGCCGGTAAATGTGTGATCTTCTGCCATTCAGTACGTAAAGAGTATTACAAGAAATTTCTGCATGAAGCCTTTCCCGTTGAGAGTCATCTTCAACATTACTTGCATGATAATTTCAATGCGGAAGTGGTTGCTGGGGTTATAGAGAACAAGCAAGATGCTGTGGATTATCTTACCTGGAGCCTCATGTACAGGGGGCTTCCTCAGAACCCCAATTTCTACAATCTCCAGGGAGTGAGCCACAGGCATTTATCTGATCACCTCTCAGAGCTCGTCGAAAACACTCTATCTGATCTTGAAGTGAGTAAATGCATTGAGATAGATAATGAGTTGGATCTGTCTCCTCTCAATCTTGGTATGATTGCTTCATATTATTACATCAGTTACACCACCATTGAGCGCTTCAGTTCTCTCTTGGCTTCCAAAACCAAGATGAAGGGGCTACTTGAGATCTTGACTTCTGCTTCAGAGTTTGACTTGATTTCCATACGTCCTGGTGAAGAGGACACAGTTCGGAGACTCATCAACCACCAGAGGTTCTCTTTTGAAAACCCAAAATGCACAGACCCTCATGTGAAGGCAAACGCACTTCTTCAGGCGCATTTCTCAAGGCAAAAAATCAGCGGGAACCTGGCAATGGATCAGCGTGAGGTCCTCTTATCTGCAACAAGACTTCTTCAGGCGATGGTCGATGTGATATCAAGCAACGGCTGTCTGGATCTTGCTCTATTAGCTATGGAAGTAAGCCAGATTGTGACTCAAGGCATGTGGGATCGAGACTCCATACTTCTGCAGCTTCCTCACTTCACAAAGGACTTAGCCAAAAGATGCCAAGAGAATCCGGGGAATCATATTGAAAACGTATTCGATCTTGTGGAAATGGAAGATGACAGACGCCAAGAGCTTCTCCAAATGTCAGATGCTCAGCTACTTGACATTGCCAGATTCTGCAACCGCTTCCCCAACATTGACCTTATATACGAGGTTGTGGACAGCAGCGAGGTAACCCCTGGAAAAGAAATCACATTGCAGGTAATGCTGGAGAGAGACATGGAGGGGAGGACCGAGGTGGGGCCCGTGGACGCACCAAGATATCCCAAGACAAAAGAAGAAGGGTGGTGGCTAGTCGTTGGAGAAACCAAGACGAACCAGTTGCTTGCCATCAAGCGAATCTTTCTGCAACGGAAGGCGAAGGTGAAGCTGGCGTTTGCAGGACCGACTGAACCAGGAGAGAAGTCATATACACTCTACTTCATGAGCGATTCTTACTTGGGTTGTGACCAGGAATACACTTTTTCTGTTGATGTTAAAGATTCTTGCGCCGCAGATCACATGGAGGAATGAATGATTCTTTTTTTTTTCTAGTTATTTTTAGCGTCTGCGTTCAGCGTTTTCTTGTCATTATTTTTTAGTTAGCTACTTTACTTGATATTAACTATTATTGTACAAACTTGGTTACTAGATTCTGCATTTAAACTTGGATGTGAAAACCAGAAAAAGGAGAGAACTATTTTATTGCTGAGAAGTCGTTGAAAGCAGATGCTTTTTTTTCTCAGGGTTTACATAGACAATTTGGTCTATTCTAAAAAATGTTCAGACATGACATTGTTTCCTTCTTTCATATCATTCTCTCTGCTTTCATTAGTAGTATGTACACACTTTGTTGCGTTCTATACGGGCTTCTTCTCCTTACACTTGCAGTTAGCTCTATTGTCGTTTAAAATCTGTGTAACCAAACAGAGAAGTCTTTGTAAGTCTGGTGTAAATCAAATCAACTGGTACTTACACTGGTCCTCGGGTTTCTTCACAATGATACCTTATATTGTCTTTGTAAATCTTTAATGTAGTCCACAGCTAAATCCAACATATCCGAAGTGTTCGTTTGCTGTTAAACCACAGAGTTCCAAAAACACTAAACCGATTCAATGCAAAAGACAGCGATTGTTAAAGATGAAAACCCATTACAAGAAATTTTATAAGGAATTGTACCTTGTCCATATTAGGAACAAGCTCTTGTAATTTCCTCATTCGTTCGCTTATCCGCGTTCTTCTTACCTGACGAGAAGTGACAGAAGAATTCGTTTCAATTGACTTTCTAGATTCAAAACAAGTTTACGTGCCAAAGGATTTCATTGATCGATATGTAAAGACGGTTTTGAACTAGTTGAAATTACCCGTTCAGCGATGCTTCGAGGATGTGTGGCGCAACCACGTTTGGCTCTAACTTTACAAGGTACAGAATCTTGTAGCTGCATAAACTTATCCACTGAAGCCATGTCTGATGACTTTGGTAGACTCAAGTGATGCGACAGTAACTGCATTCGATTTCCCGACTCTCCGTTCTGTACAAACAACCGATAACATCTCTAAGAAACCAGCTATACTTTCAGCTATAGTGCTATGCAAAACTATTCCCAAGAACCAAAATAAACCGGTTTGGTAGCACCAAACCAGGTAGAGAAGCGAGTTACCTGAGCTCCGTTAAACAATTTTGCGTCGTCCTCTGTTTCTCTTTTGAGAGAGGATAAGTTATCAATGAAGCTGGACGGATCATTCCAATGGTTATATTGAAAGTTCGTGGCGATTTCAGGGATCTGAGAGAGCATTCCCAGAGAAGAAAGTGGCCTTGAAGAGAGGCTGCAATGGCGTCTTAATCCGTTGGAATTAGATGGTCTGTCTTCATCTTCTTCTTCACCACCGTAATTCATCAAACTCCTCATCGAACCATAACCTGCGATTGCAAGTGTAGTAGAAACCACTAAAGAGTTAGTTTGTTGGGTCCAAAGTGCCAAACTTTATGGTTTCTGCGCCTAACCCAGTCGAGGATTAGGATTTTCACTTTCCGGGAAAATAAAAATTGCTAAATCTACAGTAAAATTCAGACAAGATCTTCTCTTACGGCTCTGGTATGATAAAATTCCAATTTTTTAAAAAAAAACTACTGTCTAAGGAACAGAAAATATTCAAACTTCTTGAATCAAAGTCTTCGTGTTTCAGACGGAATGAAAAAAAAAACTAAAAAAAGAGGGAAAAAGAAATAACTTTTGACGAGAGAACAAAACGGTACCGTTCTGATCTGAGAGGTTCGTGAACATCCCGGCCGGCGAGCTGCTTTGCCGGAGAAGATTGGATTCAGCTGGTTTAGTGTGATGATTATTCATACCCAGAAACTGATCCAAGCCAATCGTATTCATCATCCCTTTACTCTGTCTCGGGTAATGCGGCGGCAAACCCAGAAAGCTCGACGGCTCAGTCTGCCGCGGCGGCGGCGGAAGAGTGGCGGCGTATGATACAGAGGTGTTCGTCAAAGAAACCGGAGACTTATCCTCGAATTCACTCGGATTCGGCAAGTCCAGATCGTCGTTTCCACCATTAGAGCTCGCGAATCTGGAGAGCAACCTATCGGAGTCGAACCCACTCTTCTCGTCGTCAACAAAAGCGGCAAGAACGGAGCTTGGAGCTGATCGAAAACGAAGAAGACCCGACCCGGAAGAAGATATGTGATTCGGGTCGTAGTGATGATTGTGAGAATTAGAATCCATGAATCAAATCAAAATGCGACGAATTTTTTCCCCTGTCTCTCCTACAACAATAGTGCTCTGTTTCGTAGCGTCAAGATATCTCAGTAGCTCTTCAACTCCAACTGTTCGCTATGGATTCTCCAGAATTTAATCGTGTTATTGTTGTGACACTTTTCCCGGAAAAAATCAAACTTGAGCTTGAGATTTAAGCAGGTGAAGAAGTTGAAAGAGATAAGAGCTTCAAGAGGAAGCAAAGGAAGTTTCGTGTGAAGAAGAAGAAGAAACAGATTATAAGGAAGAAAGAAAACGGTGAACAAAGAAGGGAGAGAGAGAGAGAGAGAGAGAGAGAGAGAGAGAGAGAGAGAGAGAGAGAGAGAGAGAAAAATGATGAATATTTTATCGTCTTTTTCCTTTTACCTTCTGAGTTTCTGCTTCCAACTTTAATTGCTGAAGATAGCGGCGGATCGAAAAGCATACCAAAAAAATTAAATGAAAAATATAAGAAAAGTATACAGAGGAAGACGTCGTTTTAAGCCGCCTGTGAGGCTGAGTCACGGAAATGCCTTTGCATTCGTTTTTTTTTTTCATAACAAAAAATGTATATAGTAAATACTTTTTGGGATTATATATAACTATGGAAATAAATATAAACTCTATAAATAATGTAAGTTAGATACATACTTTCAATACTCGAATACAGCAAGAGCGTATGAAGTAAATACCTACCAAACCCGAGTTACAGATGGACCCGTGACGAATTATGTATGTTCTAATTTTTACCTTACATATATTCATTATATCATTTTCTTTAACCAAAAAAATAGTTTTATACTATTATTGTTTTGTCTTTGTCATCCACCAATTTTACATATAATATACTATTAATGCTATTAGATTTGATTTTTGAAAAAGTATGTGATGTATCTAGGCAAATTTATAACACACAAACAAAATAATTGGCATGCTCCGGACAATATTTAAACCGTTAGTATCAAACCATTACAACAAGTTGCGTCAATCAAACTACTTTAAAAAAACAAAATATACTCGTTATCCAGGAACCAATATCATAGACTTCATAGTCAACAATTGTGCTGACAAATCAGATTTCTTCACATTCGAATAATTACATTTAAGATTGTCTATCATTATTTTGTCCCATCAGAATCATATATATAATTTTAGATGAACTCTATCCATCTTGCTGACACATCAGCATAGAGGACACATGTCCTTTCATTCAATTAATAAATTATAAATTTTAAAATAAAAATTTAAAAACTAATTAATACTATTAATTCTAACTTAACTTTTCTATTTAATATTTATTTCATATGTATTTATGTTCATAACTATTAAGTTACATTAAAATTAAGGCTTTTTACATTCTTAACAAAAATAAATAAACAATATTTCTAATCTTTAATATTTTTTAAAAAAAAATTAATATGTTTTGTACTAACTTAATACCACTAATCTTTTTCTTGCAGAATCATGACAATTGTGCTTGTCATAAATATGAGAACATTAAAAATTAAAGGTAATTATATGTTTTCAAGCAATTCAACCCAAAAAAATATGGCTTTTATCTATGTTTTTTTACTCATATCATGTTTATGATTTCTAGAATAGTAAAATAATTTCCAATCCTTAAAAAAAAGTTATTTGTTTTACAAATATTTTATTTTTAAAAAAACTAATACTAAACAATCAAACAAATTATTATATTCTTATAAATATATATATATATATATATTAACACAAATATATTTTTAAAAATATTATGTGAAACAAAAGCCGCGCGTATGCGCAGATACAAGTCTAGTATATAAGAAAGTCAGAAGCTAGATATTAATATGGGTTCAAAAACACACACAAAAAGAAAAATTCTTTAAATAGAAAGAAAATATTGTCGGAAGTACAGTTTATATATAAAGAGTCAAAACGGCAACTACTTTTTTCTTCAAGAAAAAAAAAAATTGTAGGTAGCTTTTCGATTCCGATTTTAGGGTTCACGGAACCTATAGCTTCTACAAAATAGTGACGGAGGCGACGTTGACGCCGTTAATACATTACGAACGCAAGTTGGCGTCTGATAAGGATTAGTGCCTTAGTGGAGAACTATAATGTATGCGACACACGGTACACCTGCATAAAGCTTGACAAAAGGATGTGATAGAAACTAAAAGTCTAAAATCTGATTGGTTAAGGATAATACATAAATGTCACTCGGTGTAAAAGATGCACTAGATTGCGTCTCGTATAAATCTCCGTCCGCCGTCGTTAATTTCGCACCTCGTTTTCTTTTCTTTTTCCTATTATCTATAAATCTTATCTTATTTAGCTTTAATAATTCACGAGCGCCGTCTTTCCAAAATTTAAATCCAAAAAAAAAAACAACCCGTTTCTCTTCATAAATTCAATTCAGCCCTTTAATCAAGATTGATTATTCATCAGTCCTCTTTAAATTTGTTGGTTATGTTATTTCGAAAACACACAAACAATTTGTATTCTTACGAGAATTTTGTTGAAATATTTGATAGGAAATTTTTATAATTAATTTTACGTAATTTTGACGAAAAATAAATGTGATGAGAAATTAATAGAAAATTTTTTAATATATTGTTAAAATTTCATAAAATATTTTCTATCAATAACTTATCACACAGTTAAAATTTGAAATGAAAATGATAGGATCAATGGATGGTAAATATTTCGTATGAAATTTCTTACCAACTTTTGATAAAAATTATGTGTAGGAAAATTATAGGAATTTTGTAGGAAAATTTCATTTGTTCCACATCTATGATTTGAGATAATTTACATTGACGATTTTTCTACTTTTTAAAATTTTCAACGGTAAAGAACCTACAAAAATATTTAGTAGGAAATTAGTAGGAAAAACCGATTTATGAAATATGTGGTAGGAATATAATGTTGTATATGCTCGTATCAATCTTAAGTTTTTTTTTTTTTTGTCAAAATCAATCTTAAGTTAGCTTTTGCATTGTACGATTTGAAAAAAAGAAACCGAACTGTATAATGTATATGCTCGTATCAATCTTAAGTTAGCTTTTTGCATTGTACGATTTGAAAAAAAGAAACCAAACTTTAGTAAGAAACTTTGTCATATTTGTTTAATGAACCGCATCGAGGGAAATGGGATTTTAGTCTATGTGTTTATCAATTATCACGTTGTTTTTGGATGTGAAATTATTTTTTACGGAGTTATTAGTTACTGTATTTCATTCTATTTTTTATATAGGAACTACGGTTTATGTGCGTAAAGGCTCTCTATCTATAGAGACATAGATCGGTGAGTTGGAGTAGCTACACAATTTACAAATTCCGAGCTGTACTTTAGTTAATCAACAAGAAGACAAAACTGTATGCACAAGCACATGCACCTATATCTTACTATTTAAGAGTAAGTAACAGCAAATTAAGTTATATTAACACGCAGTAGCTTATGAGAGTTAATAATACTCCTAGTCCGGATAAATGTCTACAAACTATCATCATACGAAATTAATGATATTTTCTTTTTAAAACACTCATGTGTGGAAGTAGAGATTAGAGAATATATATGTGAAAGCTTTTGATCAAGTGATCATTAATGAGAAGTTTAATGGTTTTGCATTGGGTATGGGGGTTTGATTTTTAGATAGTGCAATTGCTTACAGTTTATGGATATAAAAATTCAGATATTGTTAATAGAACTGTCCGTTGTAGATTTTTGTGTTGTTGTGAAAATGATATGTCATAAAATTGTTCATAGTGCCTCTATATGGAAATATGTGAAAAAATAAACATACATAACTCAAAACTCAAAACTTTGTCGATATAAATCAAAATCATGGTGCAATGAAAATTCTGTCAAATCATATGCAGCAAACTTGCTTCTTCAAAATCAAACGAATATCTTCCTCAAGAGAATTCATTACTCATTACATGAGATGTGGTCTAACAGCTCTTTTCTAAATCAATACAACCAATATTTTTTATCCAATCAACAGTTTCACTTCTGAACATGTAAAAATTTGGTCCTCATTGGTTGTAAACACGTCTATAAAACACACTCTTCACTAGTTCAAATACTTTTGAGCAATTCAGCGGTGTTATTTTTCTCTTCTAAATTCAACTGGATACGACGGAAAAAGATGGCAAAGAAGCAAAAGAGGACTCGTTAAGTGCAACTTAAAAGTTTGGTCATAAAAGTAAAGCTCGTCCGTGGATGGGAACATGGACACGTGAGACACCATTAGCTTCTTTATGTTGTATAGGTTTTATTTTATATCCGCTATATATGAATTTTTAAAATAACAATAAAACGATTCCCTATCAATTTACTATTTATAAATATTTTATGTTCTGAAAACTATAGATTGCATCGATAGAAGTGGGGAATCGTGGTCCAGCTTTGGCTTTTATAATGTCAACATTAAAATAAAATAAAAATAAAGTTTGATTATCTTTTTAAAAGGAACTTCTTAATTAAGCAAGTGTTTCTCTCTTTTTTAATTTAATTTTCTCGAGTGGGCTGCTATATTGGGAAATAATCGATCGGGCGAGATATGTTTTAGCATGAAGATCTATCTCTCTTTGCTGTTTTTTTTCCGTTTCTTTTATTAGTACTATATAAAAAAAAAGTAATGAATTTGAACGAAGGACCAAGGGTGAGATGTGATATCATTTTTGATGTTCTGACAAAAATGATATTCAGAAATAGATTTGATTATGCCTTTTTCTCATAGCTATTTTATTTATATAATCGACTCAAAGTTCATTTATGATGTACACAATTGAGTTTTTTGTTTTTCCTTTTTTCCTAACAACTATTTGTTTCGTTACAAAGAGAAAACACAAATTATAGATTAGCACAATCCCACTAAAAAGCATCGAGTTTTTTGTTCATTAATCATGCATCTTTTTTCAAAAAATCTATACATCTAATCAAAATCGAATCTCAGTTTCGACCTTTGAAAACAAATATTTGAAATAAACCCACTTGGTTATACTATAGTATATGAAACTTTATCGTTTGGGAAGAGAGGATCTATCATGCAACTCGGCAAGGTTTAGTCAAGGACATTCAACACATTTCGTAATTTAATATATACTTAAGTTTAATAGTTGAAATAGATCTATACCATTATGCAACTAATTTCTGATATAAGATAATAGAAGGCGAGACAGAAAACCCATGACACAACCAAATTCTCTTCCTTAAGACACAAGGAACATGTGATTTTGAACTGAGAGAGAGACTTGATCTCGAAATAAACCATAAACCTACGTTTAAGCTCGCTATAGAAACTACAAAACGCAAGCAACACTTCCCGTGTTCTTTCAGAGATTGATCATTGCGATTTGATTCGGCCTAAGCTCTCAGACACAGATCTCATCCTAGGACGCATGTCTGGATCCATCTCCGTGCAGTTCAAAGCGACACGAATGGTTGCAATAACTTGCTTATCTGCAAAATCCTGTTTCAGAAGCTCCGGGTCTAAGATATCGGTCAGCAATCTCTCTTCTTTGTGCCACTTCCTCGTAATATCAACAAGTTCTTCTCCTTGCAATTCAGAGGAACTATTTGGTAACCGACCAGTCAACAATTCCAACAGAATCACACCAAATGAATAAACATCGCATTTCTGAGAAGATCTGCAGCCAGAAGAATCTCGGGCTTCGGGTGCAAGGTAAGCAGCCAGGGGATCTGAGAGTCTTGTCGCAAATGTTTGGTCTATGCCTTGCATTTTGGTGGATAGTGAGTGATCAGTGAGTTTGGGATAACCCAAAACCAGACGTGTGAGACCAAATCCTGAGATGTGAGGATGTAGCTCATCATCTAACAAGATTTTGCTTGATTTTAGGTTTCCGTGTACATACTTTCTCGAACTGTATTCATGTATATACATCAAACCCCGAGCAGTCCCTTGTGCTATATGTAGCCTCTCCGCCCAAGAGAGAGGTTGCCGAGTTTTTAAAGGTCCACCTACAAACAAAAAAAAAACACAAATTCCGTCTTAGAAACCAATGATGCAGAGTGCCTCAAAAGTACCAACAAAAATCTCAGGAAAACGGAAAATTCTCAGCTTTGTGCCCCAATCTGATAAGAGAATCAAACATATCATGACCAAGGTAGATATTTCAGAGGTTAGACTAAACACATACAGGAGGCACAGAGCTCGGATCTTAATCTAGTCTCTGCTTAATAAAGTAACAAGTACCAAGAAGAAATCTTTTTTGACGTCACATTAAAAACTCTCTTAAGCCGAAACTACCATTAATTCACCTACCGACTATGCTGAGAACAGGACCACACACGACATTGCTCAATCTATTCACGAACTCCATAGAGAACCAAATCTGTTTATTTGTTTTGTTCTGTTTTGTTTGTATTTTTTTTTTGGCAGGAATAGAGATCCCCATGCTTGTCATCTATCTCTACTGTTTCAAGTTTCAACACATATAAACACAGAAAGCTTTAAACAAGAAAACAACAAAGAAGAAGAAGTCAAACAAGTTAGTCAACTATACCACAATCACACAAAGAACAAAAAGCTCTCAACTTTCAAACCGAGAGCAATGACTCGCTAATAAGCCTTATAATTAGCGGTTGACAAAATCAAATTTTAGTATTATTATTGGGAAATGAAGAAAGATTAGCATTTACCATGTAAAGCAGAGTACAAGCTGCCGTTGCTAATGAAATAAGTGATGAGAAGCTTCTCGTCCTCTGCGTAATAGTAAGCTCTTAGCCGTACGATGTTTGGGTGGTTGATCCTACCGATTGTCTCCACTTCGTTCTCGAAATCCTTAAACCGCCACGTGGCGTTACCGTCGCTGAGCCTTCTGACGGCGAAAACGGCGGTGGAGGAGGATTCCGCCGCCACCACTCTGTACACAATCCCGCTCCTGCTCTTGCCTATTACGTAAGCGGAAGCCCTCAGCAAATCCTCAAGCTCGAGCTCGAATCCTTCATCAAAGGCTACAAATTTACCCTCCTGCCCTTCTTCGTCGAACTCTAAGGCCATCGTCTTCGTCTTCGCCTCCGTTTTGTAGCTCCGTTTTCTTCTGATTAGCCATACCGATACAAAAACCGCTCCGATTAAAACCGAAACTCCTGAAATCAGCGAAACCGTCACTGATCCGGCGGTGATCTGCTTCTCATTGCCTTCGTTCTTGCTGATTACACTTGGGTTTGGTTTCTGGAGTTCTTGTGTGCCTTCCGGTTTCGAATCGACGAAATTAGGTGTTCCGATTTCTTCGCACGGCGTTTGCAATGGAAACCCACAGAGATGAGAGTTTCCGGCGAATGCGATGGGTCCTTGGTTCAATAGAGAACCAACCTGAGGTACTTTTCCGGTCAGATTGTTGTGACCGAAATTCAAGCTGACACAAACAGGAAACCGACCGTACGACGGTGGAATCTCGCCGGTGAATTGGTTATAAGACAGGTTTAAGGTTCCGACGAGGCTTCGGAGCTCAGGGAGTGAATCAGGGAGTGACCCGTTGAGACGATTGGAGGAGAAATCGAGGTGGTTGAGAGATTTCATGGACTTGATTTGGGCTGGGATTGGGCCGACGAGTGAGTTGTGAGAGAGATCGATGAACCGGAGCTTGGTTGCTTCGAAGAGACGAGCCGGTACCGGTTTGGAGAAATTGTTGTGAGATAGATCGAGCCGGATAAGCGAGTCGAGTAAACCGAGTTCCGACGGGATGTAACCGGAGAGACCTTTTCCGAAGAGTACAAGGGAGGTGACTCGGCCGTTTGTACAGACGATTCCGGACCAATGGCAAGGAGTCGGGTCGGATTCAGACCAGTGGTTCATCACTCGGGTCGGATCGTTATCGACGGCGGATTTGAGAGCAAGAAGTGACAAGCCGTCGGAGTTTAGAGAGAAGCAAAAGCTCATGCAGAGAAAGATGGAAGAAACAACAAGTGAAAGAATCCAGAGGAACTTCATTTTCTTTTGTCGTCTTCTCTATACAAGAAAATCATTCGTATTGTGATGCAACGAGAAGTTGCAGATAAAAACGATAAACAGTGAAGAAGAAGGAGAAGAATGAGGGAGATTTGACCGAGGTTAGATTCTTTTATGGTTGCATTGTAGCAACGTGGAGTAATGTAGTCATGATCACAAATTTTGAAATTTTTTGTGCGCAGGATTATGGTTTCAAATTATAATAATATAGTATTGGGATTTGTATTTTTGGTTTCTCATGATTTTTTAATTATTTATAGTTAAATTTCAAGTTTCAGATATTGTGTTACATGTTCAGAGTTTTGTCTGCGTTGATGATAACTAGGATAATATGATAAAAAAGATAAGGAAAATGCTAAAGTTGCAACTTACAATATTTTTGATTAAAGTTTGAAATCCGGAACAATATATACCTGGCTAGTGAATGTTCAAAGAAAATGGTACTAAGCAGAAATAAAATGAATCTTCAGTTTGCTACGAAGATGTTTGTCTGAAATGTTAATAGAAATAGCAACAAATATGCATTTTTATATCAAAGAAAAATATTTAAATTTATTCGTACAGATTTACTAGCTTTTGATAGAAATAGCAACAAATTTACTATTTAAGTATACAAAGACGCATAATTCAGCTAAAGTAAATTAAAAGCTAGTAGTATCTCAAATTATCAATAGACAATGGTACAATAAGCAATCATAAGACTGAAGAAAGAATAAACATTTTTTTTTGGCATCAATTTATTCAATGCGCAGAATCTTAATAGGACACCTTGAGCCATGAAAAAAATTATACAGTCCTACTAAACCTACATTTATTTTACTTTACGATACAAATCAGTGATTAAAAAGCTTAAACACAGGTTAATAAAAATAGAAACTAATCGACCTTTACAGGTTATATCTTGTCACGAAGGTTGACGTATTATATATCTGGCTTTGAAGCTATGAAATTTGAATTCAGTATATATATATATATATATATATATATATATATAGATTTTATTCAAATTAAAGGGAGGAAGAGACGATGTATAATTGATTGTGTCAGAGAAATTTTTTTAACCAACCGACAAAAGTCACCAAACACCTTGCATTTGTGAACGATGCCACTTTTGGATTAACAATTCCACCAAGGGCTTTTCCGTAAATTAACTACGTGATGCAAACTACTGTGAATACATCTATTCCATACAATGTACTTATGTACATATATATCATCCCTTCTTAATTTTCTTCTTCTCTTTTCTTGTTTTTAATCAGATATGAATGAGATAATGACGGCTCTAAGTCCAATTTCTTCGACTAGACAGTACATGATGTTAATCTAATACACTCTTTGTTTTTGATCTTTGTTTTTGATGCTTAGCTTCAAGATCAATTTTTTTTTTGGATAACCATTTAATTTGATACGCAGGTGGATTTTCCGAAATTGATAGTATAATATTTTAGTTAATTGACTTTCACATAAAATGAATATTTGTCATAATCCAACATATCAAATTATAATTGATCACATCTAATTTCCTTGCACAAAAATGTACTTTCAAAGTAAATAACTTTTTTAGAAGAAATAGAACAAATCAACAAAGTGTTAACTAGTAGTGCAATCCGTGTACACGAACATCTTGCTATTTTATGGCAGAAACTATAGTGATTAGTGTGACATTACAATATTTGTCATTTTATTTACAAAGTTTAAAAAATACTACCAAACTAAATCCAAAACCCCAACTCATAAGATCAAAAGCGACTATGTGGTTCTCTCTCATCTTTAAACCCATAATGGCTCATCAACATTTAACTATGTCATTTGTTTAGGGGAGTGTATCTTGTTTAACAACTGCATAATGCAATGGTATATTTGAAGCATACTACTTCTTCTCTGCTTTCTTTTTCTCTAATATCACACATTGGAATCAAAGGATACCACAAAACCTAGATAGTTAAAAATTGTTTCAGAAATTGAATTCAATCATCAAAATCATATTTAACCAATATTAGAATAATCCAGTTATGTAGAAATTTAGTTTCATCATCGAAACCCACAAAACTTATAATAATTCAGATAAATACATATATTTTTAATAATATATTTTCATTTAATATTCATTCGTAATAATATATTTTTACTACTAGTCTTACTATTACTATTATTACTACTAGTATTACTACTAATATTATTATTATTACTACTAATATTATTACTAGTATTACTACTAGTATTACTATTACTATTACTATTACTATTATTACTACTAATATTATTACTAGTATTATTACTAGTATTACTAATAGTAGTATTACTACTAGTAGTATTACTAATATTACTAATAATATTACTACTAATATTACTATTACTATTATTACTAGTATTACTAATAGTAGTATTACTACTAGTAGTATTACTAATATTACTAATAATATTACTATTATTACTAGTATTACTACTAGTAGTATTATTAGTATTACTAATAGTATTACTACTAATATTACTATTACTAGTATTACTACTAGTATTACTATTAGTATTACTAGTATTACTACTAATACTACTAATACTACTATTACTAATATTACTACTAATAGTATTATTATTAATAGTAATACTAGTAGTAATACTAATAATATTAGTAGTAATACTAATAACAATATTAGTAATATTAGTAGTAATATTAGTATTACTACTAATGCTAGTAGTATTAAAACTGAAATTAAAACTCTAAAAAATACTAGTTTTTTGTTTGGAAGACAATGACCAGATTTTTTCTCAAATTCAAAAATCCAATCACAGAATCTGAATTGAATTGAATATAAAATATATATCAGTTTGATGATTTCTTGATCTCGTTAAAATAAAGTTATCAAAAAGCCTAATAGCTGATTTGTATGACTCTACTAGGCTTCGATTTACTCTATGAAGCTACTATTTTGAAATCTACTAATTAAAGATGATAAAATACTTTATTTTTTGAGCTTTATAAAAAAACATATTAAATTCTGTGGGTTGGACCGCAAACCTGCAGATATTGACTTGATCCGTAAAATTCAACTTCCACGCAGGTTTGATTATAAAACCCATATTTTATTTAGATAAAATTTTATGGAACCCAAGCGCACCGTAGTGGTTCTACTTGGGCCGAGCCCAATTTGACACTTCTACGTCTAACATGACTGGTTTGATTTGGTCTAATTCTATATCAACCGAACTAATAGAATCGATCAGAAACAAATGAATTAACCGGAAAATGTAATCATATCGAATATAGAATTCGGTTTCAATTTGGGTTCAAAATCTATTATACCAGAAAATCTAAGCTGAAACCAAAATACAAACCGCAAGCTAGCAATTAAACCGGTCCGGTTTGAGTTGAGAAAACCTTTCGTAGGTCGAGGTCGTCTCTAGTTGGGCACTAACAAATCTGTGGATTTACCCATCAATTCGTCTCTTTGCTTACAGCAGAAATCGCAACCACAGCGATGCCGTCGACGCAGTCCTTGACCGTCGCAGCGAAGTCGCTACGAAATCGGATCTTCTCCAGGTCCGGATCTACATCCGCCGGCCCGAGTCGTTGGGCGACGCCGGGTCACGAGGAGCGGCCCAAGGGTTACTTTATGAACCGTACTCCTCCGCCACCGGGACAGTCGCGAAAATGGGAAGATTGGGAGCTTCCTTGTTACATCACCAGCTTCCTCACGATTGTAATCCTCGGCGTCGGACTCAATGCCAAACCTGATCTTTCCATCGAGACTTGGGCTCATCAGAAAGCCCTAGAACGCCTTGAAATGGAGAGGCTCGCTTCCGCCGGAGATTCGTCGGATTGAGCACCGCTTTTTGATCTCCGGATGGTGGATATGCCCCTGATGCTTGATCTGGTATGTCCTTTGTTCCGGGGATTTGAAGGGTGTTTTTTTCCCTGTGTTATGACGATCACGAAGATGGAGAGTTAGGGCTTCGTTCTCGCCACCTGAAGAATTTCGTTTCAATCTCTTTGTTTTGTCGATAATGATGTTCATGAAATAAGTGTTCTTTAACTTTTTCGTCGCACTTGCCCTTACTCTCTCTACTTATTATTACATTTCTCAAATTTGGTCACTTTTTGTTTAGTTTGCTCGTTTTGATCAACATCTGCAGAGTTTGATTGGTCTTCTTACAAATGATTCTATTCGCTTGTTGATTTTTCACATTCGTCGATTCTGAATCTCAGGTCCATCTTTCTACTTGTCATTTGATGTAGTCAGAGGCTGATAGAATAGCTGTAACTAGGAGATGGAATGTTCCTCTGTTTTGTAGACATGGCATGCTTCACGAATGCTCATTAATATAGATTTCGGTATGCTATATGATTATAGCTTTTGTGCAGCGTACACATTGAGTTTGGTATATGCTTTAAAGTGGTTTGGAGTTCTCATGGCATCAGATTGTTAGATGCTGCAATACACTAGATTTCAGTTTTTGGTATTTGAAAGGCTTTTATTGCTCATTGCATCAGTATTGGATGGATGCTTGAAAAATTCAGTTAAGGTTGGAGTAGAGTATGGCATCAGCCTTTGTTAGATTCAGAAAAACTAGATTTCAGTATATTCACTTGTGGCATTTACTAGGCTTTTACTGCTCATTGCATCAGTGCTGGATGCTTAAAACAGTTCAGTAATGTCTACAATGTATTAGAATGTGTGGATATTGAATGGTGAGTCTCTTTTGCAAATACTGAGTTGAGAACTCGTTTCAATATATCGAAAAAGGTCTATGCATGTGTGTGGCTACTGGTGTCAATGGGAATTTGATCAATTACTTGAATATGTCTCGAATTGAAACTTCACTCAGCTCTGGGTAGAGAAGGTTTTTGAAAACATGACAGCTCCTACCTCTATCTCTAACAGGTTCTGGTCGATGGACCTTCTATTGAATAAATCCATTTCGAGTAATATATTGCTTGTCGTTCCAAAGTCTTCTGATAAGTTTCCTTTACTGTGGTTTAATAGTCTTCTCTGTTTTAGTATAGAGCCTTTTTAAAATGTAAGAAAACTGATCATTTCACTCTTCACATGATTTTTCACTGGAGACTTGAGAAGATTCCAATAGTAAAGCCATGTGAAGAAAGTTTGTCCTCTTATCCATTTCTTCTGTACATGAGAACTTTTCATTCGTAAATTCCAATTCATGAAAATTATGAACACTCGTAATCGTACGTTATTTGATGTCGGTGTCAGTCAGATGTTTTAAACGAAAGAGACAAGGACACTACGGTCATTTAAAAGATAAGCTACTTTTTCGGGTAATTGACCGGCTATTTCCAGTAGACAATCCATGTTTTTTTTTTTATTATAAACAAAAATGCACCATAACTTCCCGCACTCGGATATCCCAATATAGTGTGTGTGAAAGAGAGAGAGAGTGTAACAGCAAGAGAGAAAGTAGCTTTATTATGGATTACAGATAAAAGACAGCTAATCTCAGTGACGCAAATCTGAGAGTAGACTTCACTCTGTGTAGATTAAAGTAACCCGTCTTGATGAGGAAGACAACCTAATGGGTTTCGTCATGACTTCGCATTGAAACACCACTTTCTCAAAAGTCTTCTCTCCTTTTGCTGTTCTGTTGCTTCTGGAGAATTTCAGTCACTGGTAATTTGCTTTTCTTTTGCCCCCCATTTTTTACCTGTTGATTTCTTTAGTCCTCATGGTTGTATTTCATGCTCTGTTTCTCTCTCTGTTTCTTACTATATATTTTTTGATACTTCAGAAAATTCAGTTCCTGAAATTCTCTGGATTTTGTTAAGTCTGGTTAATTTTAATCACTCTGTAAATTAGACCAAAAAAACAAAACAAAAAAATCATTCTTATGAATCCCTAAGATTAAGTGAATGCACCCATTATTCTATCTTACCAAACTTTGAACAAGTTGCTGGGGCCTCAACTGCTACAGTAGATTCAGACAAAATATAGCAAGTCCGATTATGTCCTTTTCTTCCTCCATCATGTGGTGTCGTTTTCAGGAACATGAATATATCCAGCTGTGTTTTTATCCTTTAGCTCATCTTGCTCAATCTAAAAATCATTACTTTCGAGGCTTTTCGACAGATTTTTTTCTTTTCTTTCTTCTCTGGAGTGTAGGGTTGCACAATTCTTCTTGGATCGTTTTCTCACTTGGAAGCTGAAAGTAACTGTTTCTTTGGCTGCATCGGAAGAGTTTCATTCATGATGAAGGCAAGAACAACTAACAATGTCCAGTCGAAGCGATCTACTAAGAGTGTAAGAAAAGATCAGAAGTTACAGAAGACTAATAGCCAGAAACGATTATCAGAGCAAGAGAAACACAAGGACTTGGATGCTAAGGAAGAGTCTAACAATCTCTCTACAGTAGCAAGTGATTCAACCACACAATCAGATCCCTCTGAGGCTTACGAGACTGTAGATGTTCGTTACTTGGATGATGATGATGATGGTGCCATTGCCTCTGCAGATGCTCATCAAGTATCAAATTCTCGCAGACTTGTAGAGAAAACGGAGAAGAAGCATAACTTAAGTGGATCCGTTTGTGATTTGGGGAAAGGTGTTGATCCTGAACAAGAATGTAAAGGTGCTAACATCGATACAGATGCTCTTGAAGGTAACAATGCCGATGTCTGGGAAGATGCTTCGAATGGTGCTCTTAGTGCTGGAAGTGAGAACGAGGCGGCTGATGTAACAGAGAATAGCATTGAGGATGGATCTTCGAGAGAGAAGATTGAGAATCTGGAGACGAGAATCGAGAAACTTGAAGAGGAGCTTAGAGAAGTTGCTGCACTCGAGATTTCGCTCTATTCTGTTGTGCCAGACCATTGTAGCTCTTCACACAAGCTTCATACGCCTGCTAGGCGTATTTCTAGAATCTACATTCATGCCTGTAAGCATTTTACTCGAGGAAAGCGTGCTACGATCGCTAGAAACTCTGTCTCTGGTCTTGTTTTGGTTGCCAGATCTTGTGGGAATGATGTCTCGAGGTACGCAGAATATGTTATGACATGTGAGTGAAATTTCAGGATCTTCTAAATAATTTGTATTTTGCTTTCTCTTGGATTCCTACATGTATTAGGTTGACCTTCTGGTTATCGAACATCATAGCTTTGAGGGAGATCGTTTCGCAAGCGTTTGGTAAGTCTCGCATCACACAGAGCTCTGAATCAAACGGGAGTGAAAATGGTGATTCAGGGAAGAAAACAAACCTGAGATGGAAGAATGGTCTTCAACAGCTTTTGGAGGATTGGCAAGAAACTGAAACATTTACTGCTGCACTCGAGAAAATTGAACTCTGGGTTTTCTCTAGAATCGTAGAGTCTGTTTGGTGGCAGGTATAAACAAAATGTTCCTAGTTAAAAATGAGCTTCTAATTAAGCGTCTCACTTTTGTTCTTCTTCTTCTCCTATCTTTCAGGTATTTACTCCTCGTATGCAATCCCCTGAAAATGACTCATCAGCGAATGAGAAACTGATGGGATCTTCATTGGGTGATCAGAAGCAAGGAACGTTTTCGATAAGCCTATGGAAAAATGCTTTCCGAGATGCTCTGCAACGGCTTTGTACTATGCGAGGTGGAGGACATGAATGTGGTTGCTTATCTTTATTGGCAAGAATGGTAATCAGATTTTTCCATTTGTTTCATGCTCAGGCCAAGACACAAGAATCATATTCTTACTGTCTTCTTTAAAACAGGTGATGGAGAAGTGTATCGGTAGATTCGATGTAGCAATGTTCAATGCTATTCTGCGCGAGTCAGAACATCAGATTCCAACGGATCCTGTCTCTGATCCTATCCTTGATTCTAGAGTTCTGCCTATTCCTGCTGGAGAGTTAAGCTTTGGATCAGGGGCACAACTCAAAAACGCGGTAACTAACATGAATCAAAGCTCAAATTTTCATAGCCGTTAGAGAAGTGAATAAATGTTGACTAATCTAATGACACAATATTCTTCCACTTGCAGATTGGGAGTTGGTCGAGATGCCTCACTGAAATGTTTGGCATGAACTCGGACGATACTTTAGCGAAAGAGAAAAGAAACAGCGAAGATGGTCATTTAGAAAGTGAAGGCAGTGATCGTAAAGCCTTTGTTTTGTTAAATGAACTTAGTGATCTTCTTATGCTCCCAAAAGACATGCTTATGGAAAGATCCATTAGAGAAGAGGTTTGTCTTCTACGTATAATCTTCTTAGTCATTCTTTTGTTCTTGGTTTGGCACCTTACATTCACGAGCTTCATCGAGCTTTCTTGTCCTTGATTTATTGGTTTTACGTACAAACAGATATGCCCATCAATCAGTCTTCCACTCATCAAAAGAATACTATGCAACTTCACTCCTGATGAGTTCTGTCCAGATCATGTACCCGGAGCTGTCCTAGAAGAGCTTAATGCTGCCGAGGTACAAAACATATTCAAAGTTTGGATTCTCTTTCTTCTCACAATCCATAAAGTAGGTAATAACATTATTCTTTTTTATGTTATATATCCAGAGGAATGGTGATGATGGGCAGCTATCAGAAGCAAGCTTCCCTTATGCAGCTTCCTCTGTTTCTTACATGCCTCCATCGACCACGGATGTAGCTGAGAAAGTTGTAGAGTCTGCAGGAAAATTGTCAAGGAATTTGTCTATGATACAGAGAAAAGGCTACACGAGCGACGAGGAGCTTGAAGAACTGGACTCTCCTCTTACATCCATCGTCGACAAATTGAGTGATTTTACTGGTTCAGCGACTTCCAATGCAAGATATGAGCTTCTTCGACAAGTGTGGGTTTAGATGAGTGATGAGTGGAAGTGTATAACCAAGTAAAACTATAAGTAGAGTGTTTTACTATGGGATGTATGGATTGCAAAGAGAATTTTCCGATACAGCTTCTGTTACGTAGATACTCTGTTTTAGGTATCACGCAGAAGCTATCATTTGGGTTCCAAACCTTTTATCCCATTATCTAAATATGGACTACAGTATTTTGATCTGATTTGACTGTTGAAACCATATTCGATTTTTATAAGCGATTAAACTATCTCAGAAGATAAAATCTTGAAGGACACAAATGACTGGAATTCGAGCTGTGTTATCTCCAAGAATGATTGGTTTATGTGGTACAAAGGTGTTGTTAATAAGAAACTTACATGATCATTAAATATTAACTCAACTTATGTTAACGATCACAATAACTCCCATAAATAATATATTGTTTTGAACATCAAAAGAGTTTTTTTTTTTTAAATAAAAAATAAATCTCAAGTGGATTGACATTGATCATGTGCCTGTGTAGCTTGATATTGTCGAATTTGACCTATTTATATTGCTTGTTTGAATAATAGAGTGATACAAGAGGTATTGTTACATGCAGGAGTCTATAGTAGGAATAAAATGCGCACAAAATGTCAGATCATTTATCTCCACAAGGTTGGCTCTTTGCAAGGGAATATCCATGTTTCCAAAACTTCCTGAAAGTAATAACAAAAATCGTTGAAATAGTGTGCTATCATTTACCAACGAAAATCAGAAAGAATCGGAGTATTAGATATAGAAAATCAGAAATGCATCAACAAAATAACAGAGTTTCTTCGATCACAGAGAAATTATCTAGGACTGAGTGTGAATTACAAACCCTAACTTCGAATTTCCCTAATTATTATGGAGAAACTTAATTCAAAAAAAAAAAAAAAAACTTAACACGAACTTCCCTAATTGCATTATCGAACGAGTCCAAGGTTTCTCAAGCAAGAACTTAATCTTGTTTCTCCATTGTTTACGTACAAATTGTTAAAAACCAAACTAAAACAATGTTAAAAACCTAACCGGAAGTTGTTTACATACAAATTGGATTAATTGCTCTTCTTATTTTATTTCATTTTCTTAACGTCACTAGTCTTCTTATTTTAACCGTTAGACGAAATCCAAACCGATTTTGTATTTTTTAGCTTACTATAGAGAAACCGATTTCATCTTTGTCCAAAAAGGAGAAACCCGATTTCAGTATAAGTACTACTTAAGTAAAACCATGATTTACTAACGTTGCATATTTTTACACAAACTATATTATACTCTCTGCAAGACTAGGACTGTTAAGGAAACTCCAGACAGCATGTTAATCAGTAAGGCACCATCATAATGAAAAATAAAAATAAACAGAAAGAAAAAATAGAATTGAACTGATACTTGATTTAATACCATACATTGTTGGCAAATTAAAACCCTTACAACTTATATCACCGTGTGATTAACTTGATCAACACCTACTACCAAGTAAAAAAGACGAATAGTGACACAATCTACAGAACAGGAACGATATTGCATCATGGAGGTCTCGGAGGTATAATCTTCAGCTTCAAGGGTCTATTTAAATTTTTCTTAAACTGTGGGGTCTTAGGTGGAACAATCTTCACTTTTGGGGGCTTCTTTGCAATATCTTTCGACTTTAACTCCACAACCGACTTTCTCTTAGCTCCGGCGCCGGTAACCTTCACCTTCTTCTGATCGGAAACTTTCCGGAGAAAGGGATGCTTCAATAACTCCAAAGCGCTTCCTCTCTCCTTTGGATTTCTTGCAAAACACGTTTGTAGAAACTGCCTTGCGTCACAAGGTAGAGACTGTGGAATCTCAGGTGCGTTCCCATTCAACAAAACAGGCAAAAGCTCCTTAGAATCTTCGAACGGCCATGGCAGTTCTCCTGTATACATCTCCAAAACAATGCAACCTAATGACCACAAGTCTAACTCTTTCTCGGCGACGCCGTCGTGAACAGATTCCGGCGACATGTAAAGAGGCGTTCCCAAATAAGGAGAATCAAACTCCCAAGCTTTCGACTCCTTTCCAACTTCCGTCGACATACCAAAATCTGAGATCTTCAATTCATATGATGATTTAAGTCCACCAACACCGTCTTCTTCGTATTCGTGACGTGGAAACACAAGGAGATTCTCCGGTTTGAGATCGCAGTGGACATAACCGTGATTATGAACAGAGATAAGTCCTTGTAGTATCATACGAGTGAAATCTCTGATCATCGAATCATGCAGCAATGATCTTGTTTCCATGAAAGAAGTTAAACTTCCAGCAGCTGCGTACTCCATCGACATTCTGTAAACTCTGACTCCGTAATCGTTGACACCTCTCGACAGAGATGTTCCGAAGGTTCGCACGATTCTCGGACAATCTCTGAGTTTAGACAAAATCTGAAACTCTTTGTAGAGAGACTCATAGTCCTTTGCGTAAGAGCTTTTCACGGCTTGGTCGTACGGATCTGAACCGTTGGGTTTTGTGAATCTGATGAGATCCACGGAACCATACGAACCTTTTCCTAAGGATTTCATAAACTCCATTGACAGAAACGTGTTTTACTCACTTCCCTGCGACCTAAAACCCTAGTTGGAATCTGAATTTGAGGATATGTGGAGAGCAGAAAGAAGTAGTTTGTTGAGTTGTGATTGAAATTGAAGAATATGTGAATTGTTTTCGTATTTGATAAGCCGATAGGGTAAAAAAAAGGAAACATGTTTGTTAAGTAGAATCTAGACTCTTGAAACAAAAAAAGGAAATTGGATAACCCGCCGTCATATTACACAGACGATTTATGGTTGATTCCACCATTAAATGAATTTTAACCGTTTTGATCTTTGGATTTGTTAATCTCACTAGTTTCAGAATTAGCTTTATTTTATCTAAATCACTTCACGCTGATTTGGTCTTTGGATTTGTTTATCTCATTGGTTTCAGAAGTAGTTTATTTCTATCTAAATTATCAAATATTTTCATATTTTCTCTTTTTTTTTGGTCATCATCATATACTTCACATATGTATGGTATTTACTATTCATACGGCTCTATGCAACATCATTCATGCCATATGGCTAACGAAATTGTTAACTAGTGACATATGGTCCGGGCCAAGATCATAGAGATTAGGGAAAGTATTATATGGCCATTTATACCAACCTAACAATATGAGGCCCTCGTCCTTGAAAAAAATAATAATAATAAGATAAAAGAAAGTGCTATATGAAAGTACAAATATGTTGTTCTTTTTTTCCAACGAAAGTACAAATATCATATAAGGAAAAATTTATACTGTATGTTCACTGTTGTCTTTACATAATTACATGGAGAAATATATAAACATATGTTGAAGCTAAAATTTATTGACTTTATCATATATACAAGGAATAAAAGAGAAGCTAGCGTGTGAAAAGAAACAAAAAAGGAGTTGAATGTGTAACATATTCGCAACTTGTAATAGACTATTACAAACATGTTTGTCTGTTACAGAGACTTTCTCCAAGTTAAACTATATGGTTCCCACACGAAGCCTCACTCCAATCCTCACGTTATAACTTTTAATTTTCGTATTTTCTTGACTATGCTCAATTTACAATATCTAGTCATATTATTGGGAAAAAATAGTATTAGTCAATTTATCATTTCTATAGAATTCTCATAGCTGCTGTCATGTTATGTATTAATGGTATAAAAAATGGAAAAGATTGCAATGCTAACTGACTTTCATGAATGTGATTAGATTTTCTAAATTAAAAACAATTCCGAGTAATTAGTCAACAATGTCCCTTGAGTTTATGAGTATCTCTTACTTCTGCCGTATTGCTCTGCCTGTTTTGTCCCATCCACGGACCCGCCAATCATATTATAATGCTTTGATGAATGAATAAAAGTAAAAAAATCATAAGGGGTTAACATAAAAACATATTTTATCACACAACGAAGATCCCTTCAATCTCTCCATTACTTGTGTTATTAACTTATAGTAATCACTCTCTGTGTTTCTTGTTCCACCGAAACAAAAAAAAAACGCTTTGTCATGAGCTCCGACAATCCAGAAGACCGGTTCTGGCAAAACACGACTCATTCTTACCATGTCAACAGCAAGATCTTACTCGTCACCATCGTTTCCTTCTCTATTGTTATCCTCATCGTCTTCGCTTTTCATCTATATGCAAGATTCGTTCTCAGCCGCCGTAGATCCGCCTTCCAAGACCTCCCCTTCTCCATCGTTTCTCAGCCGCCCAAACGTGGCCTCGACACTCTAATCCTCGCTTCTCTCCCTACGTTCGTCGTTGAAGTCAACGGTGATGTGGCGTCAACGGAATGTGCGGTGTGTCTAAGCTTGATGGAGGAGAAAGAGACGGCGAGGATGTTACCGAACTGCAAGCACGTTTTCCACGTTACTTGCGTTGACACGTGGCTCACCACGCAATCCACTTGTCCCGTTTGTCGATCTGAAGTCGAGCCGAGTCCAAGGCTTGAGCCCGAGCCTAGGGAAGGGCCAGTTGGCGACGGTGCACCGCCGTTGGATTTTGTGGCGGCGTCTTCGTCGGAGAATAAAACTGGTGGATCATCGGTTATGCGGTTAGATTCGTTTCGGAGGATTTTGACAAGGGAAAGATCTTCGAACAGGAACGATCATTCTCGCGTTGACCAAGATCGTGTATTGGATCTAGAAAGACAATGAATGGATACATAATCATTAATCTTTAATTCAAGTACAAAATTACTCTTGTTCTTTTAAAATTTTTGTTTATTTACTCAAATCTTTTGTATATGTAAATATAATGGCACACTTTTGTATGTTACTGTAAATATCGACATTTGTACAAAGCCGATGTTGATTAACGTAAGAAGATAAAAAAGGTTGAACTTGTAATATAACTATTTGTCTATTCAGACAGTTTTGTACTCCGAAGACTCTTCTTTCAAGTCAAACTATGTGGTTTTACACGTATCTGCCTTACACGTTTGAATTTATATTATTCGTATTTTCCTGATCATGGACATGTTACATTATTTCTAGGCATATATTGAGATAACACTGAATTACCATTTTTGTTGACAAAAAAACGTGTGTTATCATTTCTAAAATCTGTTGGATGCAATCTTATTTAACCAAATGTACATATTTGTAATGCATGAAATCAAAGAAGACATATATGTTTCCTGGTCCCTACATAGTATTTTTGATACAAACATCAAAAGGTTACATATTTAAAACAAATTAAAGTTTTTAGTATGGATGAATCTTGTCGGCAAAAAAAAAAAAAAGTAAGGATGTCTGCTTAGATATGTACCATACAAAATAACAAGTTAACAACTACTCTTCGTACACTGAATTGGTGACAGAGGTAGATCTATATCGTATGGGAAAGGTGGGGCACGTGCCCCATACATTCTTTAAAAAAATTCTAATTGGTCATTACATTACATCTGTTGATTCTTTTAGTTTGAATTGGCTTTTGATGCCCACATTAGATCTTTAGGTGACGAGATCGATGCCCCATCTTTATATTTGTATCGGCCACGTTTCACATTTTATTTGTAACTCTCTGTAGCCACATAATTTATACTCCCCTTTTGTGTCGTATTCCCTCTATGTTTTCTTTTTATCATTTATTTTTGCTTGGTTGTATAATTATGTTGAATCGGATTAGATCTCGTATTGGATCTTGAATTTCGGATATTTTGTTCAATACTAATTTTTATAATATTTTTTTCAAAATCATTATTGGCGATTCACTTCACAAAGTCTATATAGGAATTTATATCTTCCAAATTTATATATGTATATATATATAATTTCTAAACTATAAACGTATCAATACTTACGAATTTATACGAGCTAAAGTATAAACATTTTTTTTTGGTTCTTAATTAGCCATAGAGTTTAGTGTTTCCATATAATCCAAGTTAAAGTCAACATTGATGAATTTTCAAGCCTTGAAAGTAGCTATCTCCCAAACTTTCTTATTCTATCTACTTGATATTTTTCTCCACCCACCAACTAAAGTATCAACTTTGGAGAAAAAATAAAAATAAATAAGAAGAAATTTCAAGAGTCCTTTATTCCTTATATAATAACATCAGAAGTTAGTAACAATTTCTGTTCACTATCCTTCTCCATCCACCTAAGAAGAAGAAAAAAAAAAAAATTTACACAATGAGCTCCAACGACAGAGACCAACACTGGTTCAACGATCACCAACACCACCACACGTTCTGGCCAAATCCTTCTTCTTACAATCTCAACAGCAAGATCATGCTCGCCGCCGTGGTCTCTTTATCAGTACTTATCATCATCGTCTTCACTTATCATCTCTACGCAAGATTCGTTCTCCGCCGCCGTAGAGAAGCTTTCAATGGCCTCCCCGTCGTTTCACGCCAACCTTTTCAGGCGCCAAAACGTGGCCTCAACGCAACACTGATCGCTTCTCTGCCTACTTTCACCGTTGGAACCATCAGTGACGTGGTGGCTGCTACTGAATGTGCTGTGTGTCTCAGCGTGTTGGAGGAGCAAGACACGGCGAGAGAGCTTCCGAATTGCAAACACATGTTCCACGTCGACTGTATTGACACGTGGCTCACTAGTTGTTCCACTTGCCCTGTTTGTCGGACTGAAGTTCAGCCAAGGCCGAGACTTGAGCCTGAGCCGAGAGAAGGACCAGTCGGCGACGGTGCTGCACCGCCGTTGTTGGAGGAAGTTAGGGTGAATTTGACGGCGGAGGCTGCAGCATCTTCTTCGTCCGGTAACAAAACAGTTGGCTCGTCTGTTTCGCGATTGAATTCGTTTAAGAGGATCTTGACAAGGGAAAGATCTTCGAACATGATCAATCATTCTTGTGTTGACCAAGATCATGTACCGGATCTTGATAGACATTGAGTCAAACATAGAGATACATACTCTGCATATAAATCATACATACATGGATAATCTTTAATGTATACTATTACTCCTTTTTTGTACTAAATCTCTGTTTTTTTTTTTTTTTGTTGATATATTTTTGTGTGATGTAACACTGCTTATATGTTAGTCAAAAGATACATATTGATTAATGTTGATACTTTTCTAGTGAACTCTTCACCTTGGTAAGAGAGTAGAGAGCTTAAGTATCAAAGATCCATTAAAGATGCAGAAACATTTGTAATTACATAAAGCTGAGGATTGGGGAAAGGAAGAGATCAAAAAATGTTTCCTTCAATCCCCAAGCGGTAGCTAATGATGATGAAGGATCAGTGTCATCGTCACACTGTGGCTTAAAATGATGAAGGTCAACGTTGAGCTGCCGAATATCCGTCTTGCTCGGCTTAAATCAGAGTAATCTAATGCAGTTGTTCTCTGCTTTGAGGTGGCATCCGAGATATTGCCATTGTTCAATTCCTTAGCTATTGATATGCTCAATGTTACGTAGCCCTATGGAGAATGAGAACGTTTCAGATGATTTGCCTTTAATAGCTTTTGCAACTGCAAAGTAATTGATACGAAGAATACATTTGCCAAGATCAAAAGCAACCCTCGAGAAAAATGAAGTAACTTTCATCCTTCTATAGCCAGAAACTAATGAATAGAGCTACTCATGATTTCAACCAAAAGCCATCAAACTATAAATTATTTATGACATTTTTGAAAAGAGCCTCAGATCGACCAAAATTGCTCCAAACAGCCTGAAACTAACACACGAATGCTGGCTAAATCGCAATACAAATGTGCATAATTTAATTACCTTGAAGAGAATTTGAATGTTCCCTGACCTGAAAACAAAGATGGGAAATTGATTTCAACGAACAGTACAAAATGCATCAAACTTCCAACAATCAATTCACAATGTCATTCATAATCGAATTTGCATTTTTCATAACTAAAGACTACCCTATAGGACCTATACATCACTCCAACAAATTTGACACAAAAGAAAATGTAAGCTTACTAGGATTAAGGGAAGTAACAGCTGCGTTGTTACTAAAGTCTCAAGCTTTTATCTGCGAGGCCGTTCTTCAGGACATCCGAAAGATCGTAGCTGAATCCCGACGCAATAGGCGCCTCCTGGACCATAGACCCAGTCAATGGACGTTTGGATTGCTGAATCCTCCGCGTTGTTCTTCGTCACGCACCAGAGCTCCGTCTCTATTATCTATCCACCGAACTGCGCAGCAGCCGCCGATAGAGAGATGGATTAGGAGGCAATGAGGCTGAGAGGGAGAATTCCCGGTCATTTTCCGAGAGATAGAACGATTTCCTCTTTTAGCGAGAAAGCTAAAGAGGTGTGTGATATGTCGAAAACACGAAAGATCTGAGAGTTACTCCCAGAGAAAGAAGATGAGTGAATCTGAAAGAAACAAAGAGATGCGGGCGAATAATGTAAATATGTAATTTTGGACTCAACCCGTTATTGAACTCCATAATTTTCAGTTAAACCAAAATTTGGGCCGTGTTAAAATCCTTTGGCCCATGTACTTTTTTTGTCGTGGCCCATGTACTTAACTAAGCGTTAAGTGTCTTTTTAACTCTGGTCAAGTGTTTTTGCTGCTTAAAATAGTAGCGATCAAATCATCTATTGAACACTACTCTTGTCAACAAAATTTCAGTCTTCTCTCTTAATTGAATTGGTAAGTGTGGACTAACATTTTTTCAAAAATGTGACTGAATTCAGAGATTTTCTATAGAAACAAAGATAACAATGGATGTGTCCGTTTTTGAAATTGTATTTCCAAACTTTGGAGCTTTCTTTGTTATATTTCTTCTTTCTTCGAGTTGAACTGTGAGTTGTGACCGTCTCATATCGTTTTGAACCATTTAATTTCAAAAAGAAAATATGAAATTAAATGTCAATATATCAATTGTGACCATTTGGTCCAGTATACCATACCACCCATTTGCTAAAAGAAACTTAAAACCAAATCTTTGGAAATAAATACCAAAAACAATGAGAAAAACAATAAAAACCAAAACCAATTATGTTACGAGAGCCTAGTGGTCCAGTCAAGGAACACATCACGTGAACTCACAGCTTAGCCTTCAGATGTGTCCACATGCGTTCCACTTTTCTTTTCGTTCCTTTTCATTCCATAAGATTTTTTTAGGGACCAATTTCGACCCCAATTCCTAAACTGAATGCAAAAAGGTATACCAATCCAAACACACAATTTCGATCACGAATTAGGTTGTCAAATTTAAGTAATTAGAAAATTCCGAAGTTTTTAATTTGGTCTATTGTTTCTTTAATAAATTTAGATCATAGTAAATCGCTGTTGGTAAACTTGATAGTCTTCTCTTGAATGAGGATTTGAATTGGAGAACAACATCTCAAATTTCCTAATAGAATTATATTCATATTCATTACAGTACATTACAATGCTCTATGGTGAAGGTACAGGTTACCCTCCTTTATAATATTCTAGACTCGTATTTTTTTTTCATCTTTTGAAACACAAGAATATTATTCATTTAGAAGGGGGGAAATATGAAATAATTAAAGTATATCCTAAGTAAAAAAACAGAATATTATTCATAGTTTAAGAATTTGCTTGGTAAGAGCTTTCCTTTTCTTAATATGGAAAAAAATGGAAAAAACATATTGTTTTACTCTTAATAAGGAAAAAACATTTTGTACAACAGTACAGTAAAGTTGATACATTTCATTCATCTTTCCTTTTCTTACAGAAGTGGATATGCCATATGATTTTACCATCTAAATTCTATATGACGTAACAACATATTGTTTTATTATGTCGTTAAGTGACATATTCCTATAATAGTGTACAAAACTGTTGAGACAGAAAAAGGTGAAAAAAGTAACAACCATTATACATATTTAATTTTAGCCGTTCAAACAATTTCTGCTTTCATTTTGTAATTTTTTGTTCATACTGTAAATGTCTATAGACTAATTTAAATTGAGAGTTCCTCTTTTTGTTTGTCAGTATAGTTCTTGTTTAACCTATCTAATAAAACTGGGAACAATGCTTATTTTTTTGCAAGAAGAAATGTAACATAGAGTAGAAAATGATAAACAAATAAAACTATTAGAAGAAATTTTGATTAGTACACAAATCTTTTATCTTTATACACTCCCAGAAAGAAAGAAAGAGAAACAAGAAATCAACTAGATCTTTGTACAAACAACAATGACTTCCCCTCCATTAACCCCAGGAAAAGAAAACGACATAAAAACTAGAGAAAAAATAAGATACATCAGATTAGATTCATCACAACTTTAAAAAAAATGTGATAAGAATTTCAAAAAAACAAGGCCTGCTCCATCTACAATTCTTGACCCAAAGAGATTTTTAGAGTCAAGAAATTTTGCCAAGAAAAGTGAGAATGTAGTTGATTGTGATGACTTATCAGACATTGAGGAGCTGCTCTTTTTCAATAGACGGCTTGATGTCGACGGCCGAAGTAGCTCCGACTCCTGTCGCCGGTGAATGATTTACATTCTCTACTTTCTTGAGGCTTTGTTGTTGATACACTTGTCGAAGTCTCTCTATTTCCTTCTTCAAGGCTTCTTGATGTGCTGCGAATTATTATTACAATTATTTTTATAAATATTTTGTCAGCAATTCTTTGTATCTCTATAGAATTTTTTTTTTTGGGCGTGCTCATATATTGTCAGTGAGAAACTGTATTATTTCGTTGAAAGATATATATAGTTTCTCGAATATTTAAAGTTTGCTAAAAAAAATGTAGGGAAAATAATAATAGGTCTATGAAATTAAAGAGGAAAAAGGAAAAGAAAAAATGTACCATCTTTGAAAATCTTGTCTTGGGCTAAAGCAGCGATTCGTTGCTTGAGAGAGCTGTTGTCGACGTTGAGAAGCAAACGCTGGTGATCCAAGAACGCAACTCTTGGCGATAGCACTGACACTTCCGCCTTTAATTTCATTTTTTCACAAAAAAGAAAAACGTTTAGTCGACAAAAAAAAAACGATTTAAGGTTAACTATCATCATAATTAAATAATTTAGTTAAGAAAGTGTAAATGTATATACCTGCAATGAAGTGACGCTACGTTCGAGCTCTGATATATATTGCAGTTTCCTCACCCTTGATCTCTGTGCTGATTGCCGATTTGCTAATATTCTGTAGAACCATTCAGAAAATTTATTCGAATTTAAATAATTTTATAATTTTTTTTGTGAAAAGGCTTAGCTTAAATTATTATTGATGTGACGCTGATTTAGTTTATATAAAAAAAGTGATGCTAATAAGAATTGATTTTCTATTTATTTTGTATTCTGTTAACCATAATCTGATATGGGTTAATAAAATTGTACGTGCATGCATGATCTTGGGTTTGCAAAAGTAGGACGATGATAAATAAAGTTTTACCTCTTAACCCTTTTGGGATCGAGAATCCGGTTGCCGGAGCTATCGCCGGAATTATTATTCGACGCCGTACCATCCTCTGGCTCCGTCTTGCATTGGCTCTGGACTTCGTCGTTACTGTTGTTGTTATCTTTCGCGTTATGATCGGACGGTGGTTCTTTGTTGTCGTCTTTAAAGCTGTTATGATCGGACGGCGTGGATGTATTCGATGAAGAGCCAGTGGCCCCCACATTCTTGTTGTTGTTGTTGTTGTTGCTATGTGACAGATTATTACGCAAGTCGTCGTCGTCGTCGGTGAACATCGACATGAATTGCTCGTCGTCGAACCTATCGAAGTGGTGGCTTTCGATGCTGACGTGGCCTGTGACGGCAGGAGCTTCGAGGAACGCGATGGAGTCGCTGATTGAGCGACGGTGGTTGCCGCGACGTGACGCTGAGAAGTCGAGGAACTCGTCGACCCATGAGGGGTTTTGTACGGAAACGGCTGAAGCGGTTGTAGCGGCGGGTGCGGCTGCGGTGGAGAAAGGAGAGAGCTTTTGGGAAGAGAAATCAGGCCAATGTGGTGTCATGTTTGGGATTTTAGGAGGGAGTTGTGCCATTGAAGAGAATTTCTGTATCGATCTCTATGCAAATAAGTTTCTACCAACAAAAACAAATCTGATCAATTTACAAGGATTTAGGAAAGAAAAAAAAAACCTTTATTAATTACAAGAAAAACTAACGTTAAAACCCAATTCAGAAACCAAAAACCTAGAATGAAAACAAAGGAAAGAAAGAAAAAAACGAAAATTTGAGGCAAATGGAAAGTAGAATCAGAACAACGTCCTAAACCATTGGAAGATTGAGAATGAAAATTAAGGAAGGAGGAGAGGAAGAAAGGAGAAAACGGAAAAAGAGTAACCAAAATGGCTATGTTTAACAAATGGTAGTTATATATAGAGAAGGAAAGACACACACAAAAAAAAAGAGAATTAATTAAGGAGATAAATGAGTGAATGAGATATATGAAGGGAAACATAATGAATTCGATGTGATCAAAGTGTTTATTATCTCTGAGTAGGGTCACATGGGGAAGAAGAGATTGAGATCGGACAGCTATGAAACAGCTGTCTCGAGTAGAGAGGCTAAGGCCTCAACGGTTTTATTGGAAATTCTCCTCATCCACTGGTTTTTGTTTTCCCTTATATAAAATTACAAAATAATCTATGTAAGAGAGATTTAGAGGAGGAATCAAGAAATGATGACATCTTTGGAACTAATCAAGTTTGTTTTGTGGTATATATATAGTATTGTCTTCAAAAGTTATATTTGCACTTATATAATTTCATATGTAAACATAGTTACAATTATCTAAATAGTATAACAAACAATCAAAACTTAAATTAATTATGTTGTTCTATGAATAACGCGATAAGTTAGCTAATACATTTGTTTTTGTTTTTCTATTTGTTTTTTTTTTTTTTTTGAAAGAAGAAAAAGTAAAAATGATTATAGGAAAGCTAGCTAATACAATTGTTTCATATTTGATTTTTTTGACAGGTACTGCGCCATATCTAATCTCTATAGTATTTTTTTCGTATTTTGACGTAAACAATATCTGTAAATTAATAACTTTTGTACGAGAGTTTATAAACCTACGTACATGATTACATGCATAAGTTAGTGGTAGCAATATATCGCATACGATATTCTCTATAGAATTCAGTCGAATAAACCAACGTGACTTCCTTGTCATACGTTATATGAATATCATCATATTAGTCATATCCTCGATCAAAATCCTTTTTCTCCTTTAACATTTTAATGGATTCTCTTGTTACTATATAGATATCGAAAAACGACTATTCTATAATATAATAAGCGAATGTATCTGGTCTGGAGAATCCATTGGAAGCGCCTGTGGGAGCTCGACTCCAAGAATTTAATGGTATGATTAATGAAGGGGAAATCGATGTCGAGAGGAAGAAGAAAGTAGAGTTAAGAGTAGAGAGTGAGCTGTGACATAAACATAAAAGGAAGAAGGAACAAAATAATGTTCCTAGACCACACACACATGAAGCCCTGTAGGACACTTAGCAGTTTTTTTTTTCTATTCAAACTTGTTTATTCTTTCAATCGTGTAGGTACGGATGTTTTCGTCTGTACATTTTTTCCAGATCAAAAAAGTAAGTAGGAAATTAGGAATAGTAAATGGGAGTTTTTGTTTCTAATCAAAATTGCAATCTTTTTATTTTTTTATTTATTTTTTGGTTCAATTATTCAATCTATTTCACGCTCAAATTGTTGTGGTGGCATTCACAATCTTACTTTGTATTAGATCAAAACTTCTAATTAGCAATATCATCTTTCAGTTTCAGATTTTTGTGAAGATAACGGATGAACATGAACATATATTCTGTATATAGTTAAATATATCATGTTAACTAATAAATTAATTAAAATTTGAGAAATTAAGAACAGAAACATTTAAATCATACGAAAACCATCCGTATTTCGTACATTGATTACGGTTCCACAATAATACACGCGATCACAGATCACAACATGTTTTTGTTCGATCCAATTCTAATCTTTAATATAGTTTCTTGTCCGAAGACAAACCTTAAAGCAACACATGAAAACAATGATTGAAATTGCGTAGAAGATTCAAGAAACTATATATATGATCACAGAGTTCCCTAAGAGTTAGTTAGCTCATCTATTGGGATGAACATTCTTCGGCAGACATCGTCTTCTCTTACACCGAGCACGACGCCTAAGCATCCATAAGATCACCAAGAAACTGATCAAAACTAGCTGAAGGGCAAAGACAAGCTTCATACCTGCAGATAACAACAATTTTGTTTTTGTTTGCTCTCGACAATCCGATTATCAAACATAAGAAACTAGCTTTCTCAAAAGGAGTTGCAGAACCTTGGAGATTCTTGACCATCTCCTGAAGATTAACTGTGGTTTTCGATCCCTTTGGATCTATTGTTGAACCGAGTTGCCTATCAATAGATTTACGGTCAGTTCTAGGTTTGTAGATATAGTTAACGTTACCACCCATTATACATGTGTTGGGACAATGAATGCCACTTTCGTACTCGTCGCTTCCATCGCAGCAATCTAAGAAAGACAAATGTTAATCGGTGTTCTAGAGAAGATCATTCACCAAGAGAGCTTAAACGAGAATCATTGTAGTATATAAGATTCAGAAGATGTTACTGACCACATATTCGATCGTTCACACGAGAAGAGTAAACAAACTTTGGAGAACTTCCTATGTTCCTACAGTAAAATTTGCCATTTGGACATGCCGAAGTTCCTGAAGTAAACGCATTGATGCAATCAATCAATCAATCTAAGAAGAACCCAAACATGGAATCACTAATCAGATACTATAGCCAAAGAACTATCAGAAAGTTGCTAAATTTCGTATCTTGGCAAAAATCTCAGCTCTCTGTATTCTAAAAATTTGCTAAATTTCGTGAAATTAGGTTGAAGGAAAGGTGAACGGAAGTGAGTACCAGGCTCATCGGTGCCGTCGAGACAATCGCAGAAGTTGTCGTTGAGACGGTCTCTAGGAAATGATTTGGAACCATCTTTGCATCTGATAATGTCTGAGTCGAAATATTTTTCATCTGCTTAAGTAGAACATAAAAAGAATGAGAGATCAAAAGCAAAATATACAAATTTGTGAGAAGAAAATTCGAAGAAATCAAACCTAATGGATGAACACCGACGAGGGGAGAGGTCGACTTGCCGGAGACGACGAGTAAAAAAGACGACACGCAGTGCAGCAGCGTAAACTTGTTTCTCGACATGTTTGCTGTTTTTCTTTTCCCAGTTTTTGGGTTTTGTCACTAAAAACATCCGTTGACCCGTTGGTTGACCCGTATCTGCATGAAACGTTGCCGTTTAAATAAGACTCGCCGAACTGTTCATAAGTGGGCTTTGGGCTTTTAAATTTTAATGTTGGGTTACGCTACCCATGAATACTTTTTATCTTGGTTTCGACCAATTCATAGCTTGCGGAAACGATTTGGCTGCTTGAGAGAGATGTTGCATTTAGTGAATACATACATGGATATCAAATTCGTGAACAGTTTCTTGCCAAGAGAAAGAAAACTCTTCTATTATTTATATGATTTTCCCTTTTACTTCCAAATCCAGACCAGGAATTTTGATTTACGATTGAGAGCCCAATGAAGTAACATGCCATTGAAAAAAAAAAAAACAAACTTGAATCAGAAATTGCCCAAAATTAACAGGAAGAAAGTTTTGCTCAAGTTGAGATGTGACATTTTAGCTTTGAAACTTATGAGTAATCTCTGAACTTTGGAATACTGATGACAGTACAAACTTTTTTGACACAATACTAATGGTTTCAGAGGGAAAAATAAACGAAGCTAAAAGAATTTACAACTCATCTCAGAATTCTCAAGATAAAAAGGCGCAAAGATCAACTGTTCCTTTTGGTTGGAGGAGAGGGTTTGTCTGAAGCCACCTCAGGTGTTAACTGTCCCATTTTCTCCATCTTCTTCTGCAGATCAGCTAGAGGGTCTTTGGCAACCTTTGCCTTAGGACTCTTCTTTCCATTAGTTAGTTTGAGTTCTAGTCGATATAAGGCACATTCATCAGATTCATTGATCTGGTATTCAAAGAGATGCCACTCATAGGGACCAGGAGGTTGTGGATCCATATAGTAGGATCTCTTCTGGCCTTGTTGTTCTTTCATCAGTTGTTTTCTTGATTCATGCCAGCCTCGTCCGCTGTAATCTGGAAGTGATCTTTGCTTTCGGTTTCCGCTATCATATGCTCTTCTGGGTTTGTCGAAGAAGAGCCATTCTCTAATCGTTTCACCCTCGACCAGTTCAAGATGAAATAGCTCTGCAAAGTATAAACAATTAGGAAAAGGGTGGTCAGGCTAAACTCAGAGACTCAGCATTTGGTTTTTCATTTCAAAGAGACAATGAAATGGTGAACTACAAAGGATGAAGAGATGCAAAACAAGACTCTAGAGGGCCAATGTGTATATGCTCTCACCTGCTGCGTTCCATGGGCATTTTGTGTTAACAGCTCCTTCACACACTGGGATGCCAACATTCTTACCCAGAGTCTTTGCACGAAGAGCATCAATCAATAGATTATCTTTCAAACTGATGCCCCCCGGTCTTAAAACAGGTGCTGTGCCAGGCGAATCTTCATTAAGAGCCAGGTTCCCATGGTAGTCACTGCAGTAGTCCAGGTACCAGTCAGAGCCGTGAGCAGGTCTTGCGCAATCCCATAGTGCACACTTTGGTCCCAAAAAGGCAGAAGGAGGCACACGGACACTTGATGGAGGAGTAAATTCAGCAAAACTTTCAAACTCGCCAGAACCATCAAGCTTAACGGAAGAGCTGTTTTTGAATTCCTGGCGCACTTCTGAAAGATGGTAATCCAGCTGAGAAGTTATATCCAAGTTGTTGAGTTTTTGGTCATGGAAATCAGGAGGGTTTATGCTTGAATCGAACTCTTGAAATGCAAAATGGAGTTGCTGGTCATGTGTTTCGGTATTATTAACAGCATCCTGATATAGAAAAGATGAACTGTTAGAAAATTGATACAGAATAAAACTAAAGCAAGAATGTAGAGATCAAATAGAAAGTCGAATCATTGGTGTTAAAATTTTTTAGAAGCATGGAACCAACAATCCAAAACCAAGAGACAAGTGCGGAGAATCTCGACATTCATGGGAAATATGTTTAAGCAAAACATTATAGAAGATAATTTGGAAAAATCCTTCTATCAGAGACTGTCATAGTCACTATCAATCTGACCAAGAAACTTGTAGTACCCCAATGAATGTTGCGACCAGGCTAAAAGAGTAGCTAGCTCACCTCAAAACCACTGGAGAAATTTACGTTGAAAGGACTTTGAATAAAAGGCTCATCTGTCCATTCCAAGTGTTCTGGAGGGCACAAGCTTTGAGCAAAACCCTCGGGCTTTGGCGCAGAGTGTTCCTTCAGCGAACTAGTTGCATCGTCCTCCTCGTCGTTTAGCTTCAACAGACGGGCTATCTCCTCAGAGAAATGGCTAATACTTCCACCCTGAAACATATTATTAGAAATAGAAAAGAGCTAAATCACCACAAAATCAAAGTAAACAAAAAACAAAAACGAATATTTCTCATCCAACGAAGCTACTCCTGCAAGTTGGTCTCAATTCATAGAGAAACCAGCCAAGCTACGAGACACTAAGACATCACCAGCGAGTGTTAAAAAGGTTTTGGTAATGGTGTACGAACCAGAAGAGAAGATTCTGGAGAAGGAGCACTGAGTTCTGCTTGCCACTCACGGAGATTCTGAGAGATTTGGGCTTCCAAAATAGCATGATCACTAAACCGCCCTTCTTTCCTGGCAGCCTGAAGATGACAAAACCTCTCCTGGAGTTCCATTAGCTTCTCCACCAGATTCTGATGCGACGAAGATACACATGTGATCTTCGGATTGTTTGACATCTCGTTTAATTCTCTCTTCCTGATCAAGCCGCTCAAAGGATCAACCAAAACCTAACCAGATGAGGAAAGAACAGATTGCCTCAAAATTTTCACAGCAATTATCCATGATTGTCAAGATGGCGGTTGAAAAAATTCACGAAAACAGCAACAAAAAAAAACGCATAAAATCTAAATCAATCCAACCTAAATCAAAACATCAGTTCATTTGGTTCTACACCAAACCATCAATCTCAACCCTAAATTCGAAATCAATTCTAGAAAACGAACAAAACCCTAACATGATTCTGACTTATGAACCCTAAAATTGAAATCAATTCAAAGAAACTCACGATTTTCGGTTGGGATCGATATAGCTTGGATAAAGAAGAAGAAGAAGAGGGAAAAGGAGTTATCGGGACAGAGAAGAAGAAGGGAAGTTAGAACACCGAAGAAGAGGAAGGAAGGAGACTCATCACGGTCACACGAAGTTTTAGTTTTTCTCCTTTTAATGAAACGCTGCGTTTTCCGGTATCTTTTAAAAACAAACGGACCCTCTTTTTACTGTTTACTGTTTCTTTTACTGTTTACTAGAGCATGTATATGTCAGAGAATTTTATTAAGAATTGCTTAAAATTACTAGAATATTTTTTTATAAGCAATCTTAAGGTTAACTCTAAAAACTCTTCTGCAAAGGTCAGTCCTTATATTTTAGACTTCTTTTTCATTATTTTAACCTAAAATATTTATTAGCAACCCAAATAAAAAATGTGAAAGATTCTCAATGGAGATGGTCTTATGCGGGCTCTATAAATTACTATTGCGCGTATTTTTGTCAAAACCAAGTGGGCTACTCCTGCTAGCAAGTTCTTTTTAACTGCTAGTGTTAATTTGTTAGTTCAATGTCAAATGTGTGAGTTATTGATATATAAGCTGCAATAAACTCTTAAGGACAGGAAACGTCATTGTCTATGTCGTTAATGCATACACAAGCCTTGTTTGGTTTGTTTGTTTCCTTTAGTTGTATTAATACACTTTCTACTCAATGTCAAAATCAACTACTCTAGCTACTCAATGTCAAAATCAACTAATAATTTTCTTTCTTTAAGGCCTCTATGACCGTAATATATGATTATAAGAGCATGCCCATATGGCCATCTCTCAACACCAGAAGAGGAAAATGCGTGTTGATGCATTTAACATATAGCTCGGTAAATATGTATCTATAATTGTGTGTGTATTATAAGTCCAGATATAATGAAGAGAGTTGTGGAGCCAAGATGGAATATGATGAAAATGAAATGGCAAGTCTCCTGCACGATTTTGACACAATATTAATGCAACACAGAGTTCCCATACTACAATAACATTGGTCTCAAGTAACTTCCAATTATAGTAATAAGGAGACACCTTGCAGGCATGAGCATCATGAGTAAGTAGCCTCCATTCAATTCCTCTCTCTCTCTCTCTGTTTCTTAATCATGAAACTACTTCTTTCTCTTTCTTTTTCTCACTTTTTTATATTATTTCCACTCATCAAATCTAATCGAACATAGCCTAGCTATATACTCATTATTCTCCAATATATCAGACCAAACATGTAACAGACTTAAACCCTAATAAATGATCATCCGTGCAACTAAAGACACCCTCAACTAAGGATAAAACCATCTTTTTTCCTCTCCCTTCGACTCCATACAACACAGTAACTCCTCCATAGCTATTCTTCCTCAGATACTCAGCAAACGTAAAGCTCAAAGGATCCTCTATCTATCTACGGTTTTCATCATCCATCCACTCTTATTCTTTCCCACTTCTAAATTGATATATACGCCAGATATATATAACATGTTTTATTTAATCTCATGCAGGAAAGCATCATCATTCATCACTTACGTTGGAGAATATGAAGAGGACACATTTGGCAAGTTTCAGCAGCAGAAATAAAACCCAAGAAGATGTAGAAGACACTAACGGTGACAACAGAATTTCCATGAATCACTACAAGAACTACGAAGCTGGGCTGATCCCATGGCCTCCCAAGAACTACACTTGCAGCTTCTGTAGAAGAGACTTTAAATCTGCTCAAGCACTTGGAGGCCACATGAATGTCCACAGAGAAGACAGAGCAAAACTCAGACAGATCCCTTCTTGGATCTTTGAACCTCACCACCAAATACCTATTTCTAACCCTAACCCTAAGTTAAACTCTTCTTCCTCTTCAACACCACCAGATCATCTTGAGCCTTCCCTAGCCATCCAGAGATACAAAACAACTCCTTTTTCTTCTACCCGGTTTGGTCTTTTGGAAAATACTACTAGCTATGGAGGTTTGATGATGGAAAGAGAGAAGAGCAAGAGCAATGTATGTGGCAGAGAGATCAAGAAGAGTGGAATGGTTGCCTGTCATACTCCAAGAAGTGAGATAAGTCGTGGAGATATGATGAACAAGAGAGATGAAGTCACTGGGTTGGAGCTTGGGATGGGTTTGATAAATACAAAACAAGTTCTCGATTTGGAGCTTCGACTTGGCTACCTTTAAACAACTTTGATTAATAATGTTACTGCAAAATTATATGAAAGATCAGCCTAGCAGTGAGAAAGAGATTGTGATTGCATTTAGGTTAACGATATTAAATAGTATTACAATTTAAGTAGATGGAAATCAAAAAGAAATTAATTAAACAAACTTGGAAAAAGCCGATCCAATTTCTTTCCAGGGTTTGGTGCCTTTTTGAAGAAAGAAAAAACTTGAAAATATATTTAAGTATCTCTTTTTTTTTCTCCATGATTTAAGTTTTATTAACCAACAATGTTTGTATTTCTAATGAAAGAGTCAATTTAACCTTAAAATGGATCTATGTGGTGTTTGAGTATGATTTATTTCTTCTTCCCTTTCCGTTCAATAAAGAACTCTAGCTATAGTGACGAACAATACAAGCCTTTTTTTTTATAAAACAAAACAAGATTTTTTTTTCTTTACGCAATTTGTGAAATATCAAATTGTATAGTAAAAAAATATTTGTTTAGATGGTGTATCAATATATATAATAGTCCATAGATACATAGTAGAATTACGTGGAGTAGGAGTTCGAAATGACTAAAGAAAATGGGTTGCATATGGATGTGAGTATTAAGGAAGAAATAAAGTGATAAAGAGCATTATTATAGAGATGGGTTGATGAGACACAGACGCATGCGACAAAGTGGTACTATGAAACATATAAAGATGGATGATGATCAATTGACTCATGAATAGTTAATGTTTTCATCTTTTACACTCACCATCACATATAATGCGTAGCTTTATACATAATATATATGCAGTAATTCTCATGCATACCATGAATGCAATTCATGCTGTGTGTGTGTGTTCAATTGTCTGATATATTTAAAAAAAAAAAATCGCTGCGAAAATTGTCTCTGTGCGGTTTATGTATAGCTAAGAAATTATTAGGAGTACATGACAAGTTGCGAATATGAGTTTGATGAAATTATGGTGCCTTTTTTTCTTTAAAATGAGTTTGTAAAGCAAAACCTAGATATATAATATCAAAATATGCTATTATCGATTGGTCTTTGGAACGACTTAAGGCCAATTAAATTTAACCACTCATATCGACCAGTACAAAGTTACTATTATGTAAACATTTTATAAAAAAATTCCATCAGATATATACACATGTGTGAGTTGTGGATATCTAGTTCAAGAAAATTTCATTTTAATTTGGGAATTTGGAAGTAAATATATATGTTCCTGAATACAGGTTGCATTTATACATAAAATCATTAAATTTGAACTGTATTCCATGTCATGGCTTGTGATTAATACATCAGTGCTTTCCTGGCTATGAAGCACAACTCCATATCAACTTTATATGTGTATTTATATTTTTATATATATATATATATATATGCATAAAGTGTGCATGTACATACAGTACTATACTAAAAACGAATGTACAGAGTACATGCAGATCAAGAGCCAAGAGTGTAGGAGACAAGATTAGAAAATTAGAATACAAGTGATGTGAAAAGGAAACAACAAAATGGAATGTTTTGGTCAATACATTTGAGATGTTTGTGGTTTCCCATGAACAAATTTAATCTGACATTTTTCATCTTCCCCAACAATTTAATTTTCTATACAATACATCATCACCTTTCCCTTTTTAGATTCTATCACTTTCCTCTCCAATCTCTACCCTCCCGATCAATTCTTCCTTTTTTTATGAATAACAATTACAATGACTTTATTTGTGTTTGAGTGATGTGAAAGGTAAGAGTTTTTCATCATGCACCCTAATGTTTTTCTTTTCTCTTACAAATTTGCCCCCGAATTTTCTTATGTAATTATTACAATAATCAGGTAATCACATTCCATTGTCAATGCTACTCACACCCATACTGTAACGTCTTTTAGATTGAGTTGTTACTTCTAGTTATAGTGAGAATTGATTTGATCAAACCCAGAGATTATTTGGCTAAATCTGTAAAACTTAATAGAATTTGTTAACTGTCCAATCGCATTGACTTCTGTCTCCATCTCAAAATCACATGCGATCTCTAGTTATGTCTTCTCACCGGTTCTTTCCAACCCAAGAATGTCTTTAGTTTGTTGATCTGTCGAACGGCGTGACATACGTATAATTATACTCTAAGTGAATATATTGGCACTAAATGTGAGGAAGTTTGTTCATACTTCGACCAAAGAAAACAAAAGAAAATAGAGTACGTACTAACTAGTAATTAAGGGTGATAACAATGCGTTAGCCAAAAAAAAAAAAAAGGTGATAGTAACGGGAATTATATAACTAATTTAGTAAGTTAACAGCGAAGCACCAGTGGTCTAGTGGTAGAATAGTACCCTGCCACGGTACAGACCCGGGTTCGATTCCCGGCTGGTGCATTTTGTTTTTAACAAACCATACCATTTAGCCATGAGTTGTAAGGTAGGACTATCTGGGCTTTAAGAGCCCATTTATAAAAAATCAAATTGCATACTGTGCATTTTTCCCTATGTAACGCAAACTCCAATCGTCTCAACTAATCCATGAATAAACTCCAGTATTGCTGATCCAACTTTTACTTGTAATTGGTGAAAAAAATTGCTGGAGTTTTTGGTGTAGTGGTCTTGAACTTTTGATCATGTTTCCTCACTGATTTAAACTAAACTAAAATTATCTTGTACTCAATTTAGAATACCGTGAATTACAAGGTATTAACTGGTACCATACTAGCATTTTTGACTTTGAGACAATTAAACTGAAAAAGAACTGAAAAAATTGAGCTGATATAGATTTTTTTTTTAAAAAGCTGAATTAGCTGAAATATATTTGATGAAAACGAACTGGATTACTTTTCCATTTACGATGCCATTTTTGCGCATGAACCAAGTAATTTGTATCTTAATTTTGTTGGGTGTTAAAAAGAAGAAATTTTTTTTGGGTGTTTCGGAAAAATATAGCTGAATTTATATAATCGAAAATATATGACTAGCTAGGTTTAGAAAAATGAAAAGAATTTGCCACTTAAAATCAGTAGGACATATCAGCGTCATTTGCTTGATAAAATGACTAACACGGTAAATTTAAGTTTACCGGCTAATCATACCCAGAACACGATAATATAAAGCAAAAAAAAAAAAAAAAAAAAAAATTCACGAATACGAGCGTTAAGTGAAAGTCACATGCACACACTATCCTAACGGCATCACACGATCTCTCTCTCTCTCTCGTGTACAATATCCATAAGTACATGATATTATTTTTTGGCATATTATTAAATTATATGATAATCTCTTCAGGTGATTTGAATCCTAGTCTGTACCAGCTAAACACTCACTCCATGTAACCGAATATTCCTAAGCCACCTAAGCAGATCAGCACAATCAATCAATTTTAGTTAGCTTTTGTGTTTTGTCACAAAGGGAGTTTAAATACTGTAGCTTATAATTTCGTAATTAACTATTATACTACAAAAATTGGCCTCCAAATACATTTATGGCTTTAGCATTTGTCGGTACACCTTTACCGGCATTTGCCGGTTTACCCGGTCCCCCGCGTCACGACAAACAGCAGCAGTTCCAATGTCCGGCGTTCGGCGGAAGAACTTATAAATAACTCTTTTTTTTCAATTAAAAGAATTAAAGAAGGAAAGAGGATAGAAGAAAGTAAATGATTAATTGAGTTAGCTTTGATGAAGCTCCAAAACGAAACGTCTCCGGTTATAAAATAATACGAGAAAAAGTGATAGAAGACCTAAGACTAAGAATACGGATATTTTCCTATAAAATCCACGAATGAAAAGGAAAAGAAGATGGAGTAATTAACTTAAAATCCAATTAAAAATTAAAACTATAGTGAATTTAATAAAATTGAAGCCTCATGTTGCAATCTCCATTATGGATTGTCTCCTTGCTATCCAACATGTGACCCTCCATTGTCTACCATTCACACCCTTGGCTCACTCGATAAGTTTGGACATTAATTGCATTCTTTTTCTTAATTGGTTTTTAATTCACTCCATTTGGGTCACTTAATGTCAGTCACTTAGTTGGAAAGATTTTAAATTAAAAAAAAATTATACTTTTTGTTATAATTATATAGATCTTGATTGTGAATGCAAATTATACTTACATCAGTTTTCGTATAGATGTTAAAATTTTGACCAAATGTAAGTTCAAACGGAAAGATTTATTTAGTTTGATATTTGCATTCAAAATATAACATACTCGATAGGTTACGATTGTGGTCTATAGTGGTGGTCGATTTAGTAAAGATATGTAGGTCGAAATTCAAATCTAGAATTCGAATCATTACCAAAACGTAATTTGTTCACGTACGAAAGTTCCTTGAATCCTTGTGTAAGCAAACTCTAACATAGTCTAGACGCCATCTATTTTTTTTAAATGATGATATTGGATTTATGAATTCATCATATACTACAATTTCTAAACGAAACGATAAGTATGGCTCTAAGTCTAGTGATGGAGAATTAAAACATTTTATATACAAAGATGACACAATATGGTAGACCAAAAAAAGCTGATCAAATACAGTTATATTATTATATTATGTGAAATGATCATTGAGTGACCATATAAAATAAGCCGGGCTTGGAAAAAAGACCTCTTCTCTCTCATCATGATGTTCCTTTTATAAAATCCACCCAAAGACACCAAACACTTCTCCATCATCATTTCATTTCTTTTTCTTTTTCCTCCATCACCATTTCCTAGTTCGCTCGTGCACATCTCCGACGATCCCAATTCAAAATTTATCACTTCTTCCATTTTTTTGTAACTAAAAAAGACATAAAAGAGAGTAGAAACAAGCTAGAGAGTAGAGAGTCCAATTCTTTCTTTTGGTACAAAATAACATTGAAAAATCATCACCAGTTTTGTTTGTTTCGTTGATGGCATCTTCCGGTAACAGTACAACGGCAGGGACAGGTTCACCGTGCGGAGCGTGCAAATTCCTGAGGAGGAAGTGTGCATCGGATTGTATATTCGCACCTTACTTCTCATCAGAGCAAGGAGCAGCAAGATTCGCAGCTATTCACAAGGTGTTTGGAGCCAGCAACGTCTCTAAGCTCTTGCTTAATGTCCCAATCCATGATCGATGTGAAGCTGTTGTCACCATCGCCTACGAAGCTCAGGCTCGTCTTCATGATCCTGTGTATGGCTGTGTCTCCCATATTTTTGCCCTTCAACAACAGGTAAATTAACCAAGCAATCGCTAGTGATCCATCAATTTTGGTGGTCACTATATGGTGTTTGATTGGCATAAGATTTAGTGCATGGATTTAGTTTTGTTCCATCAAAACAGTTGTATCAAAATCTTGAGGAATTAGTATCAACTAATATTCCCATCAAAACGTTTGTTTACACATTAGGGTTTTTTTTTTTCAATAAAAATTGACCGTTTAGATTTTGATTAATATAGATTTTAGGAAACGTTACAACAATCCGTAATCTGTTTTTCGATAAGTTCTTGTCATGTCGTTTTTCTTTCTTGCGTTTGGCATTTTCGATTTGGAGTAGACGACAATAGCTCTTGCCGTTTCATAAAATAGATGTTTAAATGACATTACTTCTTTCCGTTTCATATAGATAAATGTATCAAAATTTTTGTGGATATTAAGATAACGCTTAAATAAGTAAGCATATCTCTCATGATTCATTTATTGTTCTTGGAAAATGAACACTATAATTATGTAATTATATAGGAATATGTTTAGAAATACCATTAAAATTTTGCATAAAGATGCAAACCATTTTATTTTTGGCACAAAATATATATTTCAATAAAAACATATATATATGTTCATGTCGAAGGGGCTTTTATTAATTCCTCTTATGAGTTTTCAAAATTTGAGTATGATTGAATCAATCTTGTTTAACTTAGCGTTTGATTCGTTTATAAATAGGTGGCTTACTTGCAAGCACAAGTCATGCAAATGAAGGCACAAATCGCCGGCCACCAGACGTCAGCCGCCGGGGATCTAAGAAATAGTCCGGAAAGTGCTCACCAATTCACGACGTGGCAACAAACTAGTGGCTCTCCGATCGGCAGTACTGCATACTCTACACCATATAATCATCATCACCATCCTTACTACGGTCACGTAAACCCTAACAATCCAGTCTCGCCACAGAGCTCGCTAGAAGAATCTTTTAGCACCACGAGCAGTGATGTCACTAGAACAACTAACGTGAGTGAGACTCATCAAACCGGAGGAGGCGTATACGGTCAAGGCGGGTTAGAGTTTCACGAAGGATATCCTAACAAGAAGAGATCAGTGAGTTATTGTAATAGCGAGCTAGGTGAGCTTCAGGCTTTGGCTCTTAGAATGATGAAGAACTAAGATAAGTTGGTAACTTATGTAGACAGACAATGAAGAGATGAAATGTTTTTTTTTTAAGGGGACAAAATGCAAAAAAGACAACAAAACATTCGATGTTCACATGCTATCACCAATAAACATGCCTACATCCATGTTTGTTTTGTAGTCGTTCTCAATTGCGACCAAGAATAAGTGACTAAGTCACTGGTTCAACGACATATTTTGGCGATTAAAATTTTATTCATTTCGTAGTCATTAAGGACAAATTTTCAAATTATCAATGTTTTAATTGTTTGTGCTCTATGGACGAAATATATTGCTCAAAAATGATTTGGTTGTTGATCATCGACAATTGCAAACCAAACAACAAAATGAACATGGCTGTTACCAATACAATATTGGCAGAAGTTATAAGTTTTTGTAGTACCCTCAATTTCTAAAGTTATGTTGCTGTATGTGTAGAATCTTATAAGATATTAAATTTTACCGCACGATTGTTTCTTAAATTTTGATCTATAAAATAAATTAATTTTGATTTTCGGGAAGTAAACAAATTCATGAACAAAGAATTTTACAACAACAGAAACAGTTGAGCCACTGCGATTCTTCCAAACGAAAAAAACAACAACAATTTGCTTATAGTTCAATGGTTTCGTTTGTTGAATGATCATTATAGATGTTTCGATTTGAATAATGCAAAATTCATGCATGATCATTACATGTCTTAGATTATCACAATCTTTTGATCACCCACATACACAAAAAAAGGTTCAGAAGTAACTAAATGAGTTTTTTGACCGACATATTTGAAATACAATCACGTATTCACAGGCTCACAAATATATCAAAGGCAATTCGATAACCTAATGGCTCTAATATGGGCAATCTCTATCTCCTTGAATCTCTTATTTCTTTATTTCTTTCTTTCTTTTTGTCAAGGTAAGTTGGTAACAGTTCAGAAGATTAACCTTTTTGTATAAAACCTTAATATTGTTTACATTTTTAGCACAAAAAAAAATTAATTGACGACTGTCCTCTCGTATCCCATGCAAAAACCTATGCAAAGATAATGTCACAGGAGTAAAGAGAAACTGATGTGAGGATAAGTTGATAGGTTTTTATTAGAAACGATTCTATGCAGGCAGATGTAAGAGTACAGAAAGGCTCCATCATCTTGTATGAGTTTGTTTAAGGATTCACTAAATTTCCATAACTTACGAATATATTAATTGTAGACGTGTGCGCTGCATCCAAAGCGTTGACTTTGATTCACACGACGACACACTTATTGAAATCCTTAAAACTTTTAATTTTGATTTGTTCATAATTCATTACCTATAGAGTCTATTTTGCAAGTTCACCATGTATTACAAAGTAAAAAATAATTTGAATTTAAAAGAAAAAAAGGAAGGAAAGAAAGTTGAGCTTGTATTATTTAACTTAAACCCCACAAACATTTCTATGAATTGTTCTGTGTATATGCTTTCAGTTAAATGTCAACTAACAATTACTTTTAGCATCTCTATGAAGGCTAAAAGGTATTTGGTCTAAACAATAAAAAATTATAACAGTCAACTTTATTTTCACTAGAAAATTATAATTTCATAAATAAATAAAAAATAAAACTGCAACAAACATCTTAAGAGAACAATTTGAAGAACATAGGAGGGATGTATGTTATGATTGTTTGTCAGAGAAACAAATCATCGAAAATCATTTCATCTAAAAATTACATGCTTTAATATTACATTTAATAAACATGTATACCTAACATGAACTAAGCAGTGTCTAGTTAATTATGATATATAGCACCAATCCCCCATATAAATTGTAGTGGTCCTATTAGACAATATGTCCCCTAAATTGTATGCAATCTTTTAAATTAAATTCAACTAATGATCTTTAATTAGTTTTGCTTTGCCAACTCTAACCAATCTCATCTAAGTCTAACCCAATTCCCCACCTAGAAGCTTCGGTTGTTGTCCACACCTAAAGTCACAAGTGCTCTTTAGTCTTTTAAGAAAAAGGACTTTGTGGTTTGTAATCTCGAGGTAACATAATCAATGCATTTTAATTAAACGAGTTATTAATAGTAGAAGAGAAAACAAGTTTGCTTAAGCACCTGATCAATACTTAACCTAGACGTTTTAAAAAAAAATATCAGTACCTTCACTGGCCTGAATAATTAGTTTGACAGTTATTAATTAAATGTAACATGATAGTCTACGTTAACATTTGGCATGGTACCCATATATTCAGCAAAATGTGTCACTCCATACTTACTTCATCATTAGCATATCACAATGTTGGTTGTTTCGACATGGTAGTGGACAATTTGGACAGTCTAGCTAGCATATAAGTAGTTACATTCACGATTTTTTTTTTCTAAAAAATTACTTTTTGGAATGAGTTGACAACAAGTCATAGACGTAAATCATAGCCACTAGTTAATAAACTGCATCTCGTCGATATTAAGATATTTTAAAGTATGATATGATTTAGGTGGGAAACTTCGAAAATTGTTTAAATTCACATTTCCAAACCAAGTCCTATCAAAATGTTATTATGATTGTGTAAGTTATGAACATGAATTCGGCGTTGCCTATTCTTAGTCAAGCAATTTATGTATGTGTACGATTATTAAATAATATCCGAACTCTTCGAGCCCATTACCAAAGACCAATTCTATTTACTCTTTTCAATATTATATAGAGCACAGATCAAAAGAGGGTAGTCAAAGCAGGATATCACCACTTAGACAGTTAGACATTCATCAAGAAGACAAGAACGTATATATGTTTCGGAAATACATTAAAAAAATAACACTGATAGAAAGAAAAAAGTTCATCATCGAGGATATAATTGGATGTGTAAAAGGTTTATATTATCATCAGAGAGCATTATTTGTGAAAAAAAAAGAAGGAAATATCATCAGAGAGCATTATTCTATTTTATTTTTCAAGCGTATATTTTAATACAATGACGTGTCAACTGACAGGGAATAAACACGAACTATTGTCATCGTGTCAGATCTGGAATTGAAAATTATAAAGTGAAACGAAGAAGAAAGGGACTGAAACGGCAGGAGTTAACGCACGTGGGGCCCGTGGCTTAACTACAGTCAAAGTCTTTGACCTTTGAAATATCACACGTGCGGTTTACGTAGGTTGTTTGCTCGCGGGACCCACCTCACAGTTTCTTTCCCCAGGCCGCGAGTATATTTAATTAATTTGCTTTATTTTTTTCTCTAATGACTAATCTGAGACGTTCGAGGCCCATTATTTAGAAAAGTAAGCCCACTAAGCTTTATAAACGGGCCTACTAGGTTTTAATGTTAATACGCCGCTAACGCGAGATCAGAACTTTGATACTTCGTCTTTCGCATAACCATTGAATTTATTTTTCTTTTCCCTGGGGATTTACTATCAAGTATGTGTTTGAAAAATTGACATTAAAACCCTAGAATAGTTTTGTGACAAATTACAATTAATGAGAAGCAACTCGATCAGAATTATAATGATATAAGAAAAAAATGGTTTTAGTTAGCAACAGCTTCATCACGATTAATTGTTTGACTAAATTATAGAGTGAATATATGTCACGTTCACGAGCATTCTCGAATACTTAATAGTACTATATGTCACGGAAAATATTTGCTGTATTTAGACAATAATATTTATAACAATCGGAAAATTCTCCAAACCAAGAAAAAGAAAGTAGTTGGAGACTTATCAAAAATTAAAACTTATCAAAAAAGAAAGTAGTTGGAACTCTACAAACTAAAGATGTTTTCAACTCCAACTGAACCCGATTTATTGAAAATCAGTATTAAAATGACAAAAAAGTTCTCAGTTAATTATATCAAAAAGCTACAACGACAAAATCGAAAACATTCATTGTATAAGGAAGTACCTTAAGTGATTTGTAGCCAACAATAGCAAAGTAGATTAGGTTTAAATAATATTTGGTTCGAATAATAGCAAAGGCGGAAATCATTAGCCTATAATGTCTCAAAACAGATTTTCTCAACGAGGTAAGATTAGCTGCTTGCGGATTTTTCATTTGTGGTTTCCCAATATTAATATTTGACAATTTGTCACTAGGCGGGAATCATTACCCTAATATCAAATGGAAACTATTAAACAAAAAATATTTCATTCATATTAAAATAAACTTAACATATAGAATAATTATAGATTTATAGCCTTTCTTGATCATGATCATCCATCTCTTTCATCACGAATACGAGATGTACCCAAAACTCGAGGATAGAATATCATTGCCACCATGATCATGCGGGTTAAAGGTGTTTAAGTGTTGTTCTAATTCAAAGTAAGACGTCATGATATAATTAAGATCGGAGTAGCGCTCAGTCTCCATACTTCCGTCTTGATGATGATTATTATGAGGGCGATACAGATCTTGTGATTCTTGAAGGTGAGTAGGCTTAGTGTCTCGATGGTAATTCGGGTTTTCAATGGATGGAAAATCAGTTGCCATCATGCTTTGTGCTGCTTGTTGCTTTAAAATCTCCAGCTGTGTTTGTAAATTCACAACCTAACACATAATTACCACACAACACTCAAGCCTCATATATCCAAATTATGCATATATACGAAATTATTATATCCAAAATCAAGATTAATTAGGGTTTAGCTAGGAATTAGTGATATATATGTTACTTGTTGTTGGAGGGAAAAGATATGAGAAACGCAGCCATATATGGGGTCTTGGAGGCGAGCTTGGGCTTCATAATAGATTGTAATGGCGGCTTCGTATCGATCTTCCATGGGAAGATTAGAGAGAACTTTAGAAGCATTGCTGGCTCCAAACACTTGGTGAATGGCTGCAAAATGGGAAGCTCCTTGTTCATGGCAAAAGTATGGTGCAAACACACATCCTTTTACACATTTTCTTCTTAAGAACTTGCAAGCTCCACAAGGAGAGCCAGAGCCAGTCATGGCCTTTGATGAACGATAATTATAATTAACCTTGAGTAGCTTTAAGACTCGAGAAGCATTAGCTTAATTAGGGGAAAGTTTTATATAGACGAAGGTGAAGGTGGGTTTCATATAATATTACATTGTTTAATCAAAATTTGTGTACTTAGTGGCCTACGCCTGAAAATTAATATGCAAGAAAGTTTACTAAGCTAGTACAAAAGGAAGAAGCTATACACAAGTACCACACACTCATATTATAATAGTTTTCTTTCTTGATCTTTATCAATATTTTTGAAGGATTTGAATATCAACAGTCAAATACTCAAACTACTCATGGGTTTTCTTTTAACATAGTCTGCAACTGAACCAACATAATTAGATATCTTATGATGCCAAGGAAAAGTAATATACTAGAGTTTTACCAAATCAAACTAAAACAAGAGTTTGGTTCTAGTTGGGTGTATATTTCTGAAATAAAAAACTTAATCTGAAAAACCAAATACCTCGAATTTCTGAAGAAATATATAATCATCTTACTTTATAATTGCATTTCATTATCGAGAAATTTGACTAAGACCGGTTAGCGTCTTCATTAATCAATGAGATTATTTTATCGTTCATCTTATAACCAATGCGCAAAGAAACATATTTTGTGAAAGAAGGAGCCAAAATATAGTATTGTACTTGTCACTTGATATATATTTCACGTTTGAATGGGTGCGTCAGGGTTTTTGGTCCATAGTTTGAAACATATATAATAGATTGATTGCTATGCTACAAATATACCTAAAGAAATTTTAAAAACTGTTTGTGTCACACTTTAAATAAACTGTATACATACTTCCAAATTTTTCTTTCAACCTAGTGATCTGTACAACGTATGTTAATGTTAGTGAGGGATCTTGGTGTAACGAAAGACATCATTTCTTTATTTTCTCTGTACGTAAATTGTAAACTGATAATTTGAAGAAATGATAGTTCACAGAACAAAAAAACCCACCTAAATATGTCAACTTTCATCTGCATTAAATGTTTAGATTTGTACGTTATTTGATGATGAATTAAGAAAAAATCATAAAATGCTGGAAAATGATGCTGACATGTTCTAGCTTGACAAGTGACAACAGTCAACCCCGGCAAGGTAGGTCCGTTACACGTACATTGAATCTGGCTACTTCAAGATGATTAATAAATATTATTTTTTTGCTAAACTTTATAAATATAATTAAAGCTACACACAAGTGTACACAATATAATGATGTATTATATAGAACCATATGTTTTGGTAGTATCAAAAAAATTATCTGTGGTAGTATCCAATATGCAGAAAGTAATGAATATATTCAAAGATATAATGAGAAATTTATGTTCCTAACTTCCTATGAGTGGATTCGTTTGATGTACTACGTGCACGTACGCTGATAGACCTATATAATGTCGATGGATTCTCGATCGGTGATGTTAGGTACACTTGCATTCTCCTCTCCACATGTTATATATCTATGTCTGTGACAAATGATTGCTAATTTATATGGTAAGGATGCATGCTTTTGTGTTTTGGTAAAAGCATATCTTTTTGACATAGTAAAAACATACCTAAACAGAAATTTTCTCTCTCTATCTCTCTCTCTCTCTCTCTTAGCACTTCTCGTTTAACAAAAATTCTCGTCTATTTTTCTTTTGTTTTTCGGGATGAAATTCAGATTCTTGTTTATGGCTAACCTAAAAATTATATCTATATATTCCCGATCGAACTAAATGTTGCATCTGTATCGTATAATGCACGCACTCTCTATATATGTAATACATGTATGTAAATGTAAATCCATAAGCTAGATAAGGTTCTAGTTGATTATTGAGTTTAAAATTGATATATAGACAAGAAAGACCCGTGAAAGTGATGTTGTTGGATATATTTGCGAAATAACTATTTTATTTTGAAATGGATACATTCATATCAACTAAATATATTATTCAATAAAGTTATTAGTTTAATATTTTTGCATAATAGTTAGGGGTGCGTACTTTAGTTAAAACGGGAGGCAAATTTTCAAAGCCTTAACCTCAATATAAGGGATTGGCTTAGTAAACGTAATACAATTAAATAACAAACAATAAAGTTGTCTTTTCAAATAGGTTGAGGGATGACATTTCAAAAAAATATTTCAACTAGAATTATCGATTCATCAGTTATTATAAAACACAAGTTGTCCTTAATTTCATGATAAATGGCTAAATAGGTCTTTGCCAAAAGAAAAAAAAAAACGACACAGGTAATTCCTTTCAATGACCTATATTATGCAAGCATGAATCTAGAGGATATAATACCAAAATGAACACAAACATTAAATTATATGAATCGGTAATAAATTTTAATTCTAGTATATTAATATAGTCGTTGGTGAGGTTTTTTTTTTTTTTTTCGTAAGTAGTTTCATAGGTGTTTCTGAATTCAAAATTTCACTCCAAATTAATTATTTCACAAACTTAATTTGTTCGTTATGGTGAATTGAACCGAAAAAATCTAGACCAAAGCTTTGCCAATTAAAGTTTCAACTGGTTTCTGAATTTTTTTCTCCTTTAAAGATCAAAAACGACCAATGTAAAGCTACGTATTTACATTTCGCCACAGAATTCTTGTAATCTCTGATAATTAAAAACTAACGATAAACAATCGCTAATAGCCAGTGGCAATTTGGTTTTTCGAAGTCCTCTAGCTTTCGTGTTGTTTCTACTAGAAAATACATTTACCATATGTAAAACTTCTTAGAAAACATGCAAAATATAAATAACAATTGTAAATCGCATTTTTGTTCTGGTGCCGTAAGTCCCGTATAGAGCAATATTTATTTCTCATTAGATTTATAGATATAACGTCGAACGTCAAAAGTTAATGGAGAACTCTCTTTATTTTAAAATATGGAACATTATATTAGGTATACAAAACATTACCAGTGTTCCACTTACTTTATGTTCTGATTTACGTATATGTACATCGAATTTATCCAATTGCCTAAATCATAGATAAGCCAACACTACCAGTCTACCACCACTGTTATTTCGTTTTTTTTGGGTTGTCCAAGCAAACTCATATAACGACTATTGGCATTGTCTAATATTTGTTTTCTTACTTATGACTATGAGCCTAGTCTAATCAGTGCCGTGCCAACACATTTAGTGGCCTAAGACAATTTATAAAATTGAGCCTTTTATAAATGTATAAGCTTTACAAATCATAGAAATTGAAGATATATCGAACTGTAAAATCCATCACTAAAATGTTATAAAATAAATATATAAGATATTAAAGTACCAAATACCTATAAAAATATATTTAAATGATAGAATAACAAATAATATGTGGATAAATAAAATTAAGTTCATTACATTTTTAATAAAAGGATGACAAATAAATTATGATTTGAAAGTAAAAATATAACACTTGAACTCGTGAATATAAAATCTCTTATAAATTTTCACAACAAATTTTTTACTTAACTTAACTAATATTATTATTGATATATGGCCTAAAAACTGAAATTATAAATGTGGCCTAAGGCCATTCAGTGACGGAGGCAGAAGATTTTCTTAGTGGGGGCAAAAATTTATGTTGTCCAAATAATTTAGTTATGGAGGCAAAAAAATGATTATGAATGGGGGCATCTATTTAATACCTTAATAATTTGCATTAATTAAACAAATTTGACTGAGGGCAGCTGCCCCCCTCTTAGATCAAGTAGCTCCGCCACTGAAGCCATTGCCTTTTTTCCATCAAAGGAGGCACGGCTCTGAGTCTAATATAATGTACATACATAGGAAACCCTTTGAGAACACAAAAAAAATGAATATTCGAAGAAATTGGAAAGCTAGGAGAACTTTTATACTAATTTTAAATACTTTGCACAAGTAATAGTCTGATTAATTTATAAGCTTACAAAATGATATAAAAGAAGAAACAAATGAGACAAACATGCGGCGGCTAAGGGAAAGACAAAATTGAAAAGTATCAAAGATGAAATTCATATGGAAACGCAAAAACGTAACTTTCACTTTCTTTTCTTGTGGGTGTTTGCATTGCAGTAGCTCCCAATCAGTATATTTTATTCATCATTTTTCTAGCGTAATTATTAACCTCTTATCTCATCATCCATCCACACTCCACATGCTGTATATAAAATTAGTTAACGTAATTTTTACAAGAATAAAAAAATGGACAAAAGAACTCACCAAGTATTTTTTACATGCAAGTACTTTTCGGGATCGGTGGAGTGAATAGTGACGCCGACAGATAGGAGAATCGTGTAGGAACGGGGTTAAAAGAAAAGTTTATAATATTTTACTTAAGACACGATATAATGTCTGTAAATAGAAGTAAGACTTTATGCAATGAATTATATAAAGGTTAAAAGAAGAAATGAAGCACACACAAATCGACTTTAAATTATTCAATTATTTATATATTATGGGGCATGATGCAAAACAGTTTGTCAAGCACAAACCAACTCTAATATCTATATTCTTTATTTCTAAAAGTAAAATCAATCAAAGACAGCTTTTGAACTTTTATAATTTCCAAGGTAAACACTCTTGAAGCTGTGATTAACTGATAATTTATTCTTAAAGTGTTTGCCGACAAACTTAAACATTACGTTCTAACCATAGACGAGACAAACATCTCACTTGCATTGCTTCTTAAAGATGTTTTCGTCGATGAAACTGGGAAATCCTTTGAGCACATCTCGCAGCGCGTAGTAATGGCTATCACATTTATGGTCTGTAATGAAATTACCTGAGAGAAGTATCCTCTGAAAATGTTGTCCTGGATCTCTCTTCCATAGACTAAAGTATTCAACTCTTTTTCCTGATCCGCCTTTCGGGTTTCCTCTTAGGTTCCTCATCAGGTAGTAAACCGCGCCCGGTACATATAACTCTTCTGGCAATTTTACAACATCTTTATTCGTAGAATCAGGGATTAGTGCATCAGACCGGTCGTTCTTGGATGAAGGGAGTTCTGGTAAGGATCACGAAAGATGAGATTAATCGAGTCTTAAGTATATATATAAGTCTTGTAGTGATACTCGGAGTTACACGAGAGAATAACGTTTTGAAGTAGTAGTTACCAGGAAATTCTTTCTTGTTTCCGAATTTTGCATATTCAGAAACTTTCCGAGCTGCGTCTTGCACTGAGGAGACAACTTGTTTCGCGTTTGTTACCAAATCTAGTACGCTCTTCCATTCTTCTTTTTCGATTACACTTGTCCTGTATTTACAAATCATGGCGGTAACCAAACAGATTGTAGAAGGATTGTAATAAAGCTTGAACAAGAGAAAGTGTTTGCTTACCAATCTGTCTGAAGGATTTCATTCCTCAATCTCGCTAGAGAGGCTGTACTTAGTCTAGGTATTATATCATCCTGAAATCGGCATAAAATGCTGTGAGTTCCAAGAAGAGATTAATTTTCAGCAAATCTTGAACAAGAAAAGAGGGATTTTTTTTTTTTTGTTCTGACCTGCATCACAATAGTTGTCACAAACTCAGAGCAGTTCTCTGCGAGCTCTTTGGAAACACAAGGAGGTGTCGCATAGCCAACGGCTGAAATAATTTCAGCATCGAATCCTAATTCCTCCCTTGGCATTTTCCTGAGCATAATCGCCATTAAAGAAGCTATAGCGCCGCCGAGAGAATGACCAACAAGCCTCAACTTGTATCCCTACGGATCGTTCATTGCATTATAAATCCATCCTCCTCATGCCTCAGTAACAAACGACATGATGAACAATAATGATCATGATCCTCACCTCGTATTTCTCTAAGCACCTTCTTATAGTTTGCAATTCGTGATTAAGGAACCACCGTGCAGCTTCAGCGGTTCCAAAGTGTGTTGAGTAGCCTTCAAAAGTGACCTCTTCATCGCTTGAAGAGACAATGTCAGTGATAAGATCATAAATTGTATGTGTCCCGCGTATTCCAAAGACTACGAGTTTCCTTCGATGGTCAACTCCTACGTAATAACCAGGCCTCATAACGCTTGAATCTTTCACAAATTTAAGAATGTTATTCTCTCGAAGCATCGTGTTCCTCGCAAGACCACTCACACTATCCCTGTAACAACCTTTTGCTAACTCTGCGTTGTATATGAGATCATAAACCTGAAAAAAAGAAGCTGCTTAGAAATTGGTAAAAGGGAAGTTATCATCTAAATGACAATGACTAGAATAGTGCACTTACCGTAGATTCTGAAACAACTTCTACGCCCTTGACGTCCTCAAAAGGAGACAAGGATGCTTGTCTAAGGTAAATAAGATAGAGACCGATTGTAAGATCACCGAGAGTCCAACCTTCAATCCCGAGCTTACTCTTCTGAATACTAGCAATGATCTCTGACAAAGATCGACTACCAGGCTGTGATTTCTCTCCTGGGGAGAATTAAACACTACCTCAGCAATATGATCACCGGCCAAAAAAAAAGGGTTTAAGAAGTACAATGAATGCACCAAGAATCAAACCATGGATGATAGAGACCTGTTGGAAGAGCCCATCTACGCAATTGAATAGCTGGCTCAAGTGCTTTTGTGAGCCAAGCTAGGTCTAGTTTCCACTTTCCATCACCTGTATCTTCATCACCGGAGCTATCACTGTCGAGGCCTGATTCAAATCGTCTTCTATTCTCTAACCCGGACCTCGAAGAAGAGAAGCTTGGCGTTTTATTGGCTTCATGTTCTTCCAACTCCTTATCTACCTTGCCTGATTCTGATAACTGCGACTGAAACCGCTTGATTACATTGTGAACAACTCCTTGATATAACCCACGTCTCTTCTTGAACGGCGAATCTTCTACAACTGAAAATATTAAGAAAAAAGAACCTGAAATTTCTCAACAATCTTCACTAAATTTCAAAACTTTTATATCAAACATACTAAAACTCAGTGGAAACTTTCAGAGAACAAATGAAGAAACCTTAAGGAGATTGTTTTTTCCCTACTCCCAAACGTCATAAAACAAGAACAAAACCATGAATCATCGACTAATCAATTCACATTCAACATTCCCATTCATCAAGATGATTTCTGAGTGTTTTAACACTCTTATCTCCAGAAGTTAAGAGTAATTAGAGCTTACAGAAATTCCATAGTAGCCGATTCAGTGACTTGTTAGCCATTGGCGTGGCTCAGAAATGAAATTGTCCAGCCAAAACAAAAATTCAATTGCCCCCTTTCCAGTTTCCAGTAAAAGGAACCCTCCCGAAACCGACGACGGAACAGAGAAATATTAAGTAAATGCAACTTCGAAGAGACGGCGGGGCGGTGGCAGGGTTAACTAACGGCGAGGCCGAGCAAATCGGAAAACAAAAGCTGATGACGAGAAGAAAGCACACACCGACTGGGATTCAGTGATTCACCCCGTGATCGAGACTTTTTCAGTCAGGCTTCGAAAGAGTTTACGGGCTTAGTTGGGCCTAATTTTTGACCCAAAATATATACAACTAAAGAAATTGCTGGAAGTTCGAAATTCAAAACAGAAACAGAGAGAAAAAAAAAAAAAAATGAAGAAGAGCGCCAAGACTCGACCAAGCAAAAGCAAGAGCAAGGAGAAAGCTCTGTCAATTTACAGGTATTTCTACATTTCTTGAGATCAAAAATAGCTCGATTTGAATTTGGAATAATTGGATGATTTAAATTTTGATAATCTATTTGATTTGAAATTCCGGTAATCTTAGATTCTGATCAACTTCGACTTTTGGTAATCGATTTTATCTGATTTTGTGTATGATTCATCGCTTGTTACTATCGGATTCTGTCAAAATTGGTTGCAATCATTTATATGGAGATATCGTCTCGTTTCTAATTCTATACATTTGAAGATTATTGGTCACTCCTACTTTTCAAAGTATAGAAATCAGGGTTCAAGCTAGCCTCGCTAAGATATGACTTATTGCAGTGGTGATGAGAAGAAGGCAAATACTGAAAAAAGAAAAAAAATTATGAAGTCAAACTTGTTTGAAAGAGAAGTTTTGATAAGAACTGAAACAACAAATCTTCCCCACCTATGCTTTATTGTGATTGGATCATAACACTTTAATTGGAAAAATAGTCTGAATGAAAACTCCCCCAAACATTCACTAAAAAACATAGTTAGTGTTTTGAGATTAAGAAGCAAGACAGAAAGAATCTCCTTATCAAAAAATCTATGAACCTACACGAGTAAAATGAAACTGCTTTCTTCCTCTCCAAGGAAACCTCCTCAAGCTTTGACTTCAACCAATCCAGCTTAAAGCCCGCTTCTGTTAGCTCTCTCAAGTCGCTGTCGGCGTTGTTAATCTCAGTCTCCGACAAGCTCTGAGGAGGCTTTCCTAGTGTCTCGATGAGGCCGAGGAGAATATTCATGTAAGCTGTCTTCACCTCCTTGATATCTGATCTGATACCCACTGCAACGTCTGGGTGCTGTGCGAAAATCTTGCTCACTGAAATAACCTGCCAATGATAAAAAAGACAATGTAATGATGCTAAGTAGATCCAAAACCTAGACTGTATCTCAAAGTGGATACACCCAAAAAAAAAGAAGACAAAAACCAAAATCCGGACTGTATATAACCAAGCTGGTTTGCATTTGTGAGAACCAAAGAAGAAAAATAAACCAGTGGCTCAATCCTTCACTTACCTGAGTATTAAGAACATGGAAACCACTGACAGCTACCATTTCATTCTCAGTTGATTTCCCTTCATGAATAACTTCAACTAGGTTAATGTAGACTTGAATGGTTAGTTTATTGTTCTTAAGAGACCCTTCTTCTTGAAGCTTGCTAAGAGGCAACATTCTTTGATAACCCCAGCATGAGACCTCAGCGCTGAACGATCTACGTTCTTCTGTAAATACAAAACATATAATTATGAAAGATCAACTTTCATAATTAGATATGATGTATATATAATCAAACTGCTCCCAGGTCATAAAGATTCAAAAAAAAAAAAATGGAAGATAAGATCATATAATTACCAGCTGTTCTGGCGAGAACTTTGCCAGATTGATTCAACAAAACGAAGTGATAAGTAGCTCGTCTTCTCCATCCAGGTAGCAATGATCCAGGTTTCGCAACGGACAGGAACAGAGCCAAGTGATCATCCACATAATTTCCCTTGGGATACACTTCAAGGCACCTAATTAAGAGAAAACCTCACATTAAGCAAAGTAATCTATCTAGACGATTTATCTAAGGATCTTTATTCTTCTCGTTTTACCATTCGCAGCCGCCGCTTGAGAAAATATCAGACTCAATCAAACCGTTCCTGTTGGAAAAGTTGTCTATCTCCCACTTGAAAGTGAGAGTCTTCGTCGATTCCGTCTCCATCTGCTCAAAAATGCTCTGTCGGTATTAGGGTTTAGCTAGTGCTTCGCAGTGAGGAACAACAACTTTATATAGGACTCGAATACTCAAAAATATATTATAGTTCCTAGGTCAAAGAAACGTTACAATACATATATATACGAAACCTATAGAATACATGTACAACTTATGTCACGCTGACGCATTTACTAGTATTTATCGATTTCTAATATTTAGATCCCTCCATGAAGATGATCATATTATTTTTCTTTTCCAAAATTAAGCATCAAAGTGTTGGTAACTTATTCATTGCTTTTGATATTATAAGAATATATGAAAAAATTAAAAGAATGTACATAAATAATTATAAATCTTCGGATTAAGTGCAAGGGTTGTGATAATAAGTTGAATCATGACTCTATCAAATTACATACATATATATATATGTATATTTTCTGCCTCTCACAGATTCAAAACACGGAAGGTAAATTCGTTACCAGATGTTTTGTAGAGCTAATTCAACCAAACAGAAAAATAAACTAGCTTGCAACGTTCAAGAACAGAGACATAACCAGGCCTTTTCACTAAGGCGACTCTAGACTATTATAGTCTTCATAAAGCAACATAATTAAGAACCAAAAAAAAAAAATGAAACGAGATTAATGTCTTTCTAAATAAAAAACTATAAACTAAGTAACTTGATCTCGACATCAAGCAACCTCGTTGACCAACAAAAATCCATCAGCACAAGATTTGTCCTTCTTCTTGTCCAGTTCAACGTTGAGATACGACACCATCACCTCAATATTCTTGACGCTTTCCTCGAGTTGTTGAACTCGAGAGCCCTCAGCTTCATCAGATTTCTTCCTCTCTAAAGAAACGTCCACAAGCTTTGTATTCAGACGGTCCAGCTTGAATCGCAAATCCTTGATACGTTCCTCGAGTTGTTGGATTCGAGACTCATTAGCATCAGAAGCTTTTTTCCTCTCCAAGGAAACCAACGCAAGGTTTGTATCCAAACAGTCCAACTTAAATCCCGAATCCAGCTCAAGATTCCTGACGCGTTTTTCCAGTTTTTGGACCCGAGACTCATCAGCATTATCTGATTTCTTCCTTTCCAAGGAAACCTCATCAAGCTTTGCATTCAAAGAGTCAAGCTTGAAGCCCAGTTCCATAAGCTCAAGATTCTTGACACGTTCCTCGAGTTGTTGGGACAGAGACCCCTCAGCATCTGATTTCTTCTTCTCCAAAGAAACCTCCTCAAGCTTTAGTTTCAACCAGTCCAGCTTGAAACCTACGTTAATCAGCTCACTCAACTCGCTGCAAGCCTTGTTTAGTTTAGTCTCTGAAAGGCTCTTTGGAGGCTTCTCAAGTTTGTTGATGAGGTTGAGGAGGACATTCATGTATGCTGTCTTCACAGCATGGTTCTTTGGTTTGAAATCTTTTGCAATGTCTGGGTGTTCTGCGAATAATTTCCTCGCTGAAGTAACCTGCCAAGGAAAAGTATGTTTATATTACTCAGAATCGTCTGAATCTCTCTATACGCCAATATAAAAAAAAAAAAACAAGTGGTTATTCAAAAACAGATTGTTTAAACTTACTTGAGAAGCAAAAACTTGAAAACCATTGATGATTGCAGTCTTATTCTTGTCGGATACATCTCCGCCTTCTCCATCAACAGCTTCAACAACTTGTATGTAGACTTCAATGATGAGTCTGTCCTTCTCCAAAAACCCTTTTTCCTGAAACTTGCTAAGAGGCAAGGTCTTTCGTTTTCCCCAGACTGAATTCTCAGCGCAAAATGTGGTTGCTTTTACTACTGAGAAACATAAATAAATAAATAAATACATAAAAGACCAAATTAAAAGTGAAGTTAACTTCTTCATCAATCAGATTCACATGTATATATAGTGGCTACCTTTTCAATATTCAAACTCCTATTGCAGCAACAAAAGAGATCAGATTATTGTGGTCCGAAATAAGCTAATAATCACAGAAGAGATCATGCAAAATTGGCTTATATATGCTGCTCTTTTTCTTTCTTTCCACTTCTACACTTGTTTACCATTACTTCTTTTTTGAACCAGTAGGTGATATGTTGTAGTGTATAACCGTTTGTAAATTCCATACTCAAATGACATGTCAAAAGAAAAAACAAAAACATATGGAAGGATATGTATGACGTGATTGCACCAAAGAAAAAAAAAGAATGACAAAACTTCATTACTTGATGATCTGTAGAGCTCTTTGTCGGATTGATTCAACACACGGAAATAATAATTAGCAATCCTTTTCCATCCAGCTCCCAATGATTTAGGATTTCCAACGCTCAGGTACATAGACAAGTATTGACCATCAGCAAGATGGTCTCCTTTGGGATAAACGACGAGATACCTGAAAGAATATGATACAAATATTAAACCCTTTTTAGTTAATTAGTGCTAGATTACTGATATCTCCGAGAACACGTTATTCTTCGAGACAGAGACAGAGAGAGATAGATATAGATATATATATATATATAGAGAGAGAGAGAGAGTTCAACAAAGCTAAACTAAAGATCTGATCCTCGATTCATTATACCATTCGCATCCGCCGCTCACGAATGTCGTAGACGATAATACTCCAGCTTTCTTCTCCGAGAAGTTATCTATCTCAAACCTGAAACTCGGCTCTAGACTCCACATATCTGACCAAAACCCTTTCTTAGATTTTCTTATCTCTCGAGCAAATTAAAGACGGAGTTCTCAGAAACTCTGTTTGTTACTTTCGCTGATAAAGAAGCCTACTGTTTATTGAGGAGGCTAAAAGAAAAACTTCTCAAAACCCTAACTCAAAAGGAAAACTGATAAACAAATAAATTATTTATTTCAAAATAGTTTAATTGGACAAAAATAAACCATTCCTCTCCTCATGATATAACCTCTATTTTTTATATTAAAAAAATACTATCTCAAAAGAAATACTAAACCCTATCTCCAAAAGAAATTCTAAAATTAATTTTTTAAAAAATAAATCAAACGCGATAATTATTTCACCAAATCTTATCATATCCTCTTTATTAATTAATTCAATAACAGTTCTACAAGTTTTCTCGGAGTCTCTTCAACAGTATATTTTCTTACCTAAGCACCACCATCAAAACGATCAAAGTATCCATAATTTTATAGGAGTTATCGAATCAAATCAAATCAAATAAAAAAGATCGTTAACAGCTGACCAGAAACAGAGGAAGAATATCTCAAGTTGATGGTGTAAGTTTTATAATCTATTGTCCTTCTCCTTGATTTTTTCATTTGCAGCCGCCGCTTAGCAATATATGAGAAGTTATCGATCTCAAACGTTAAAAATTGGGGAACTATAAGGAGAACTGATTTGTTGGTTAATTTTGGGATTGAATCAGAACACATTGACTCAAAAAATTAAAATTGATTCGAACGAAGTCTAATAAAAGTGACGCGGATAAACAGAGAACGAAACCATAAACATAACAGTAGCTATGTCTTTTGACAATGCTTAATCTCTAGGCTATCAGGATTAATTTAAAGCAATTTAAAAACAAAAAACAAAACAAAGGAAACCACCGTTGTCTCTACTAGAGAAAATCTAAAAACTAATACTGTAAGTTGATTTCTAAATTTAATCAGCCTCATCGACCAAGAAAAATCCATCAGCAGAAGATTTGGCATTCTCCTTGTCCAGTTCAACTTCGAGATTGGACACCATCTTCTGAAGATTCTTGAAGCTTTCCTCAAGTTGTTGGAACCGAGACTCATCAGCATCATATGATTTCTTCCTCTCCAAGGAAACCTCCTCAAGCTTCGATTTCAAACAGTCCAGTTCAAAGCCTGACTCATTCAGCTCAAGATTCTTGACGCGTTCTTCAAGATTTTGGAAACGAGACCCATCAGCATCATATGACTTCTTCCTCTCCAAGGAAACCTCCTCAAGCTTCGAGTTCAACCAGTCCAGGTTAGATTTCAAACAGTCCAGGTAAAAGCCTGAATCCATCAGCTCAAGATTCTTGACGCGTTCTTCAAGTTTTTGGACACGAGACCCATCAGCATCATATGATTTCTTCCTCTCCAAGGAAACCTCCTCAAGCTTCGATTTCAAACAGTCCAGATTAAAGCCTAACTCCATCAGCTCAAGATTCTTGATGCGTTCTTCAAGTTTTTGGACACGAGACCCATTAGCATCATATAATTTCTTCCTCTCCAAGATCTCCTCGACCTTTGACTTAAAACAGTACACCCCAAGATTCTTCATGCGTTCCTCCAGTATTTGAACCCGAGATCCATCAGCATCATCTGCTTTTTTCCATTTCAAGGAAACTTCATCAAGCTTTGACTTTAACCAGTCAAGCTTGACTCCTACTTCCGCCAACTCACTCAACTTGCTGCAAGCGTTGCTAATGGCATTCTTGTATTCTGTCTTCACCACGTGCTCCGCGAACATCTTTCTCACTGAATTAACCTACCAAGGAAAACGTGTTTATTGTTTCTCAGCCCTGTTAAAGCATGCATGCATGAGGTTTATTCAAAAAAAAAATAGAAGATGAGACATATATCCTCTTTAATTTACCTGAGAAGCAAAAGCTTGAAAACCGTTGAAATCCACACTCTCCTTCTTCTCTGATTCATCTTCGCCTTCTCCATCAAGGGCTTCAGCAACTTTAATGTAGACTTCAATGATGAGTGTGTCCTTCTCCGAAAACTCTTTTCCATGAACCTTGCTAAGAGGCAATGTCTTTCGGAAACCCCAGGATAAAGCCTCTGCGCAGAACAAGTTGTTTGCTCCTCCAACTGTGTAACATAAACAAAAAAGGACAACACAAAATTAAGTAAAGTTATTCATCAATCACATTATTACTACCTCTTCAAGATTCAAACATGAGTTTAGGCCTAGTTCACGTTGTAACTAACAACGTCCTGTTATAGATAAGTGATGAGAGATCTTGCAAATCGGCTTTTTAGATCCTAGTCTCTAGCTAGGGCATATCACCGTTTGTAAATACTAAACATATGGAATTTCAAAAACAAAAAGGAACAAAAAAAAAGTCAAAATATAACTTCATATTACTTGGTGATCTGAAGAGCTCTTTGTCGGATTGATTTAACACAACGAAGTAATAATTAACACTCCTTTTCCAGCCAGTTCCCAATGATTTACGATTTCCAACGGTCAGGTACAAAGACACGTGACCATCAGAAAGACGATCTCCTTTGGGATAAACCTCGAGATACCTGAAAGAATATGATACAATTATTAAACCCTTTTTTAATTAATTCAGTTCTAGCTATAGGTACAAATAGCTCGGAATCAAAACAATCAATATATCTTAGAGAACACGTTATGCTTCAAGACAGAGAGAGAGTCTAACAAAGCTAAAGATAAGTTAAAGTTCCGATTCTTCTCGTTTTACCATTCGCATCCGCCGCTCACGAATATCTGAGAACTTAAGACAGATTCCTTCTCCAAGAAGTTATCTATCTCAAACCTGAAACTCGGCCTTTGATCCCACATATTTGATCAATACGCTTTTGTAGATTTCCTAACTTGGCTCACAAGACGAGTTTCTCAGAAACTTTTTTTTTTTTAGACTTTCACACATAAATGTCCTCTATTTATACAAGTCGCAAAAAGAAGATGAACAACTTTGTCCAAAACCCTAGCTCAATAGGAATACTCTTTTTAAAAAAAAAAAAATAATAATAATAATGATAATATCAGTACTTTAAATTAAACGAAAAATATTTTTTTTCTATTTCTAATATAACTACGCTATATTTTACTATTAAAAAATATATATTTTTTGGTTAAATTAAAGCTATTAATGTCAACATTTTTATCTCTTTTTTTTTACAAAAAAAAATATAAAATACTGAGTTTATTAAATTATTTATTCCACTCCTTAATTATGCACAAAAACAGAGAGAGAGAGAAAGGCTTTAATATTTATTTCGATTCATCTCGTTTTACCATTCTACATCAAGCTACATCGTAGACCAACAAAAATCCATCAGAAGAAGATTTGGCCTTCTCCTCGTCCAGTTTGAAGTTGAGATCTGACACAATCATGAATCATCTCAAATTTTAAAACGCTTCCCTCGAGTTGTTGTGGATCCAAGACATATCATCATCGCCTGATTTCTTCTTCTCCAAGGAAAAGTTTGTAAGCTTAATTACTACAGTCTACATCAAGCAACCTCATCAATCAACATGCTTGTGTCTAGTTGCTGCCTCCTCAAGATTCAGACATTAGTGTAGAAATCTTATATATAAAACTTGCTCAACTCTCTCCAGCTGAGTGACACATCAGCATTAGAGAGAGTGACACATGTCCATTTACAATATTAATAATAAAAAATTAATTAAATTTAAAGTAAATACATTAAAGAAAAAAAATAAATACTTATATGTATTTATATTAGAATGATATTTAAATTTAATTTAAATATATTAAAATTTATAAATATTATATAATACAAAAATTTTTAAATGCATTCTTTTTTTTTCAAGTGTTTTAAATTTTAATTTCAAACTAAAAATATAATTAAATTTTATTGTAAGTGAAAACAAATTATGAAACAGAATAAGTTAAAAAGTTTCAAATAATTTTATATAAAACTCCAACTAATAAAATGATAAAACACAACAAATATTTAATAAACAATTAAAAAGATAAAAATTATTACAAAAATAATAATAAAAAGGTGTCCACATGAAAATGTCATACAATTTTTTAAAAATCAAAAAAATGGAATCAATAAAATATATATAACCAAAAAATTTTAAAATGGTAAATTAAAAAAGTTAATAAGTATTATATTAGTAAGATTTACAAGAATAATAAGAATATGAAGATCAAAGAAAAATTAAATATTTCTCTATGATATTCAACGTATATTTTTAAGTGAACTATTACGTTTTCATGCAAAAATTAAAAAAACTATATTTTTAGTCTCTTATTATTTTAAGAGAAAAATTAGACTATTTGACATAAGTGGTGTAGAAGAGGTTACAAATAATATATCATCAAGAAAAAATCGAATATAAATATTTTAAATGCAAAAACATTGATAGTAAACATAAAATTCAATACAAATTCTAAAAATATATTATTTAAAATATAAATTAAAATAAGACCCACGCATACGTGCGGGGTCTGTCCTAGTAATTCTAATTAAGGTTTTGATTTGTTTCCCTTCTAATATATCCGATGTTGGGTATTTAGGATACCCACATAATTACGAGTTTACCATCAATCTGCAAAAAATAAACTTACTGAAGAAGTTCGCGGTGTTATTTTGGGTAATTTTACCCTACCCGACCCGAACTCAAAATGTACCCACCCATTATAAACCTTATTTCAATAAACTCTATTTCAATTAACTCTATTGGGTTTTATTACCGTATAGTATAACCCGAAATAATCCCATGAGTTTAAGATTACCCGCGGATACCCTAATTGTTTTTCTCTGTTTTTTTGTATCTTGCTCTAGTGATTCCATGTTTATAATTATAACTTATAGCTTATAAGGGTCCTTTCATTCTTCTATTAAACAACGCTTTGCTTGATCCATCTTGAGACTAAGTAATTGAATTATATAATTATGTTCTTTTGCAATTCACAGAAATTACACTAAACCCGATAAGATATAACCCGAAAGGGTAAATTGAAAATAAGATCCGTCCATTTTAAACCCGCGTTTTTTTCTAAATGAAAAGAGCAATGGGTTCGAAAAAAACTAAGGATATAGGGTACCCATTGGGTAAAAACCCAATAATAACAGCTCTAGAAAAAGTGGTTATCCAAAACAGAAGATGTGGTGCGTTAATTTAATATTTTCAAATACTGACGTAGCAAAAAAGTTCTAAGAATTTGCTCGGACTCGTATGCTTGAGAACGAAACGACCAAAACTCTATTTCTTGCTCTCTAATATCATCAACCATCTCAAAAGAAAGGTCAAACTTTTCTCGATTGACATTTGACAAGTCTTTTTTTTTTTAAATTTTAAAACAACAATGTTGGAGAAAAGAAAAAGAACATTTCAATGACAAAGGTCTTTTAGTCTGCAACCAGCACACCAAACAACGAAAGATTTCAATCCGAAAATGAACTGAGCAACACCAACGTCTCCAATTTTGTATAACAGAAAAAGCAACAAAAGAAAAAGAAAAAAATTATGTCTTCTTCAAAGCTTTGAGAGTAAACTAGTCTGAAGAGGCTTTGGTGCTACAACCTCTTTGACCTCACTGTCCTTAGTATCCAATTCGCATGCTGGATTCGGTGGAACATCTACGGCCGGTGAGCAGTTGAAAAATCCATGTGGCTGTCAAAACCGAAAAAAAAAAAAGTTAACCATTTTAGTCTTCTTCTCTTAAAGAATTTTGATTCAAAGTTAGAGACAATGATTTTACTTACCATTAGTGTGAAGCCAATATGTTCGACGGGCATAACCGGCCAGTCTTCAAGTCTAGGAACATGTATGATTCCAAAAACATACCTGTGAAACGAAAATTCCACATTATATCACAAATTTGGTAACTAGTAGTTTTGAACTGAATCAGAGATATGAGAGAAGAAGGATACAGACCAAAGAACGACATCAGATTCTTCCAAGGAGCGGTTCTGTTTCACCCATGTGGCGAGACCTTCACCAGCACGTGGGTTTTGGTTTGGGAACTCTCCTCCTGGAAATTTCTCGTCAGGGGCATAACGGGTAACCCAAAGGTTATGCTTCAGGAATGCAGCTCTTCTTAGAAACTTGGCCTCGGGTCGAGCTAATGGCAAACAATTTGAGCCCGGAACAAGTTTATATCCTGTTAATTGTCCCGTCCTGTTTACTGTCCTTGTGTTCCTTACCTGACAACATATTACCAATGAGTTGTTGATGGCAAAACTTTTTCATAGAATATACATCTTGCTTAAGTATACCACTTATAAATCAGCTACAATAATAATTCATAATCAATGAAACAATGCGATGAGTCTAATTATTGTAACGAAACTCAGTTATGACTTCATAAGGACACAACTTTAGACTTGGTAATAGGTCAAGTGATCTATTCCCCGAATTTGCTCGGGGATAAGAAGTAGTAGATTATTGAGGATGAGAAAGTTATTGATGGCGCCAGATGAAGTGTGTGTGAAAGTAACGACCAAACACTCTAGTTAATAATGCAATAAATTGATCCTTTCAGCCTCAGATAAGAGGAACAGTAAGAATAGTAGACGAGATCATGAAAAGTACAGATGGCTTACAATCCAATGTCGAGCAGCAAGGGGGTCACAGTCACGCATCGCCTCTGCCTCAGATCTAAGTAACTTCTCTTCCGCATAAAAGGCATTGTTGTGGACATTGTTCTCACCGGGCTCGTCAACTCTAGCATTTACCTCCACTACCTACAGAGTATCAATATCACATGATCACATGTATCTAAGATTATTTCAAGGACTGGAGATTTCTAAAATTCATATGCTACCAAAGCCATTCCTAGAAACTGAGAAAATAATCCGCCTATGTAAGTAAACGGCAAGAAGGACACAGCAGCAAAGTAAAGTACCTGATTAAAAGCTTCACCAGGTTTACAGTCAACCGACATATCCATGCGAGCAATGAAGAAATGTTGATGGACTGGTGCATACAACCCAGGAGCGATAGTAGTACCGTACTTTCGAGTTTCTCCTGGCTGCAGCGCTCCTAAACTAAGGATACCAGTAAGTTTTACTTCAGCTTCGATTTTCCCATCCTACAGTAAGAGATTCAAGACGCAGAACTGTAAATCAATGCCCCCAACTGAAGAACAATTACAAGCAGAGTGTTAAGGATTAAACCATTGTGAGCTGAATATTTATTCTCATGCAGCGACATATCATTGTCTTCTCTACAGAAATTAGATGCAAAGATGACTAATATCTGCTTCATCTTTCTTTTTTTTTTTAACAACTCGACGACAACTAATATCTGCTTTACTCTAGAAATGATTACTAAAGTTTTCCACTTACCTGGTAGAAGTGCCAGTAAAACCCATACTCGTAGTTAGCAACAGTACATAGAAAGGAGACAGTTAGCCTCCTAGATCTTCGCACTTCGGCTAATCCTGTTCTCCAGTCCTGATGTTTCCACAAAATCCCATGGTCCTCTTCATGCAAGCATACACAGTTCTCAATTGTTTCAACTCCTCCAGTGAAATTTGTGAAATGGGCATCGAAGTAC